TTAAATGCTTATTTAACTTGATGAAATGCCTGAGTTTGGCTACTTATTTTCAGAAAAATATTTCTAATTATAGTTTTTATTTGCAATTAAGATTGTACCTCAACCGAAAGTCTATATATTTAGCCTCATCTGTAAATAAAACTGGAGCAGGGAAACTTTCTGTCAGTCAGTCACTAAGTCAGTGAGTCACCCAGTCAGTTAGTCACTCATTCAGTCAGTAATTTATTTCAATTCTGGTGTCTGAGCTTCAGGTCCCTTGCACTTGAATACATTTTACAGCAGACTGTCTGTCGTTTCGGTCCGCTCATGTTTCAATGTCAGAGATGAGTGTTAGAGAGTGGGAGAGTTTTCCATATTATTATTTATGAATACGACTTTTGGCTGACATTTATATTTTGCGGCAGATGCTCGGGTTTTGTACTAGTTTCGCTAGAAGTCGAAGAAGTGTAAGGGGTTTACGGGCTACTTGTGAAAAAGCTCTTCTAGTTTTACAACTGCTTCAGTCAGGGCCAGCGAAACCAAAGTAAAGTGCAGTAAAAGTGGAAAAATTATGGTCAGGTAGTAAACCGGAAATTTCCCATTACACGAAAAGCTAATGGAAGTAAAAGAACTGGTCGGAAGTTCCCATCATTGTTGAACAACCTTAACCTAAGTGCATTTTTAGATGCATTAGAACATTGATATGATTCTATTAGCTGGCACACTCTGGTTTTATCACCTCCAGAAGGGATCATCAAGAAGGACATTAAGGGAAATGGTAATTGATGGGGAAAATGATGGATGCCTCAGGATGTCATCGATCCATGAAGAGGTCCTTGGGTAAACGGAGAAAGTTGAAAATTGAAATTACTCGAACACCTTTGGAGTGAAAATGGTAAAGAAAAAGCTTTATTAGTCGTTAATCAAGTTGAGTGGTAAATACCTCAGAAATTATTTAAGAGAAGTCGAAGTTTGTGTCCATAAAAAGAGCTTATATGAAAAGTTTATGAAAGCTTAAGTAATTTTTATTAAAATAAAGTTTTTTATGTTTCAAAACAGAAGCGAAATTTGTCAAGATTTTTATATAATATTAAAAATAAATTCAAATTAGAATTAAAATGGATTTAAGAATGGAAAAATGAATTTCCTTCTCTCTTCTTTTTTGAATAATTTTCTTATTAATGCAACTAAAATATGCAATTTAGTCCTTAGTATCACCAAAGTTAGTACCTACTGTTAGGTAATTAAAGCTAAATATAGCCGCACTGCAGGTATCAGACCAAATCAAAGGCAAAACACTAATCCATAATTCAGACTTGGTAGAAAGCCGCAGAAAGTCGGGCCAAAGTGCTTAAAATAGAAATAATAACAGACACGCCAGCAACAAGCGCAAGGAAAACCGGGAAAATGCGAAGGAAAATGGGAGGGAAGGTAAAATGCGAGGGAAATGACAGCCAGCCGAGCGAGGAAAATAAACAGAAAAACACTCAAATTAAATTGCGAACTGAGCTTAATGCACTTAAAGTTGGTACATGTTGTTGGCGAGGAAAGCAAAAGGGTGGCCCAGTGTGGGTGGTAACTCAGTGGCAATGTCAGGGAGAGAGACAAAGGGATGGATGGATGGGTTGATGGTTGGATTCCATTGACAGGTAAGCACAGTGGCAAGCTTTCCCTGCTTTTCCTGAAGGCACTCGAACACGCGCCCGAGAAAAGCCAAGAACTGAGAACTGTGAATCGAGTGTAAGTCGCCGCGGCTTATGCAATGCGGCCAACGAGGCTTGACAATTTGGTTTGCTTATCTGCGTTTTTTGGCCCAAAGGGCTTTCATTCTGCCTTTTGCCATGCAAGGCGGCCATTAGTGACGTTGACTATATATATTTCCTGTTCAATGGGTCTCTTTCACCTATTGATTCATTGCGACGAAAGAATATTTAAATATCAAGTTGGCCAAGTAAGTTTATTTTCTTGGGGACTCTTTTTTTTCGTCTTCGATTTCGTGGCTACAACTTTTTATCTGCAGGATTTTATTTGTTGTTTTTTTCTGCTTTTATTGTTGTTTTATTGATTTAATTTGTTTCGGCCCTAGGCTGGAAAGTATTGAATATTCATAAAGCTGTTGGGGAAAAATCAGTGAAAAGTTTTCTTGTTTATTCAAAGTGACACTGACTGAAAGTTCACTTTATTCCCAATGCAGTTGTGTTTATTTTTTAAAGAAAAAATATCACAAAAATTGGGAGATTCTATAGAAAGTTAAAGTTAATTTCCTTTAGTTAAGGGAAACATTTTATCTGACAAGTTTAAAATTTATAATAATTCTTTCACCCATATTGATTTATGTTTTACTCAAGCTGCAAGAGATAGAATATTCAAACTGCAATTGGAAAAAGGCAGTTGAAAAGTTTTCCCATTTATTTAAAATGTTCAATCTGGGATTAAGATATTTCATTTGAAAGCTGGCTTTTTGGATAAACTATTGTTGTGGTTTCTTTGGTCTTATTTAAGGCATAACAAAAAGGAAGATTTTATGTCCTGGAGAAGACAACTGCAGCTGGAAATTGGCTTCCAAGAAATGCTGTTAACTTCTTTCTTGTTTTTGTCTAAACAGAATTTAAGTCATAAATTCTTTGAAAAAGTTATTTTTTCGCTGCTAAAGAAGTTAGCTCCTATTTCCCTTAACTCCCTCATTAATTTTAGTTTCCCACTAAAAATACCAGCACCTTCCTTTTCTATGCAAATCTCTTTTACAAAGTCAAGTACCTACGCAACTTAGTCCATAGCTCATTACACAATTTATATTAAAGACGTAACTTAACCCTTGGCATCCAGGGCAACATTAGCTGGCAGTTGGAGCAGGGCCAAAACTATTTGCCATATTGCACACTGAATTGCAAAAGTTCTCGGCCAGCATTCCGCTATAATCGTATAAATACACGTATACAGTTCTAGCACTTCCATTCTCTACAAACATTTATATTAAAAAAAAAAAAACAACGAGGAAAAACAAGGACAACAAAAGGATGTTTGTGGGGTGAAAAGCGGAAGAGGCTCAAAGCCATTGCAGTGGGTGAAATGCAATTTCCAGGCCATAAAATGGATGGGCTGGGAAAAAAAGAGGCAGAGAAGTCCTTTCACTTGGCCTTAACGAAAGCGTTTGCAGGTAATGACCATCATCGTTGCCGGTTAATGCGGGCCAACTTGTACCAATGGCAGATAACACGAGTTCTCAAAGTTCCGCGGCGAACAATGCGAAAAGTTTCGCTGCAAATTAAATGAAAAGTTAATATTGGCAGCGTGTTCGATAAACAATAGGGACACAGTCAACAAGTTTATCCTAATGCGATTATTGCACAGTGCCTAATGTCTTTGCGAAATTGGCAAGCCATTTAAGTTGATGAGGTTTGATCAAGGAAATCAGATGTTTTCGTAGAAAATTTATTTAAAAATATTTTTCAGAAAACTCATAAAAATTTAAGAGTGAAGGAATCAGCTGTTCTGTTAAGTTCTTCTATCTTCTAGAATGTTCTTGATTTCATATTTTCTGCTGAATTTTTAAGTTTTTACCAAAGTGATTTTAAATCCCAAGATATTGTCTTTCCATTTTCCTCTCCTTTTTTCAATAAATGTAAAACCTTGTTAAGTACTCTTCGCACTTTTCGCTCTTCAAATTCAAATTAGTGGCGATTTTCTTGAGTGCCATGAACAGTGTGCATTGCGAAACTCATTTAGCGGCAACAGCTGCTGCAAATTTATGCTCACGGCTTTTCTATTCTGAGCCGAGCGTTGTTTTAGCCACAGAGAAGCGACCGCAGGAAACTGTCAACGATTCCCACCGCATATATCCGGTTGCCGGTAAAACGAGCAACCGAGCTGGCTAAATCCAAGCCAAACTACCACTGTTCAAAGTCCACTTAAGCTTAGCTTAGCATTTGATAATTCCAGCATGGAAATTAATTTGTTTGTTTTAACATTAATTTGAATCCTTTATCTTGGCTTAAATATTTGTAAATGCACGTAATTAAAAAGGCCGAAAAATAAAATATTTGGCCTGATTAAGAGCTGTTGTTTATTAGGTTTAAGCATTGGGTTTATTGATTTTATTTTACGAGTTAATGTGAAATTTTTCTAGGGATTCAAAAAAAGAAGCAAAAATATTAATTTCAAAGCCGGAAAGTATGCAACGGTAGCTTAATATTTTCACATTGTTAGAGAAGATAAAAAGTACCTTAAAAAATTATTAAAATTTCATTAAAATAAAACTAAAACCGAAACCTTATCTACTAAAAAAATTTTAAGTGATTATTTTTTTTAAAATTTTTATAAAATAAAAAACAAGCTTACCATACTAGGTTCTTGAAGATGTAAGAAAAATACAGAACTTGTGCAAAGCAGCGGAAGGTTGATTTAAATAGTGGCCTTCCCTCCCCTTTGGTAATTATTTTTGTAAGTGTTCCGCTTTCAACCGCAGTTTCTTTTCCGCCCCAACATCATCTGCAGCCCCGCCTTAAGCCCAGAGCTTTCCTTTCTTATTTTTAGAGCCACCCACCTGGGGGTGGCAGTACGAGACGACTGCAGATGTGGGTTGTTCAGCAATTTTGTTTACATTTCTTGTTTTTCTTCTGCTTTCCGCTGGTGTATTTAACTCACAATGACTTGTGACAGGGGCGGTGTCAAGCGATGAAAAAGTAGGGGACGACGGTGGAAAAAGGGAGGTCACTTGGGGACCGCGTGTAGGTGACGTCCTGTCTCATTTCAGCTGCGGGGAATCCCCGCTCACGAATGCAATGTCGACGTTTCCTGCGCTGCACTGGGAATCCCGCAGCGACCATTTCTCACCCAACATACGTATCTATGTGTGTGTGTGTGTGCGAATGTTTCTCTGTGTGGGTTTCTTGTGGGTGTTTCTGTTTTATGCTATTAATTTGACAGTTTCTGCTGCGCTGACAACTGGCTTTTCCCCCAGACACCGAGCATAGCCTTTAATGGCGGCAAAATTAATTGTTGTATTCCCTGCTCTTCCCCAGATAATTGCCCAGCATCCAAGTTTCCCAACGAGGACAAATAAACTTACAAAGTAAAAAAACAAAGCAACAGAAATGGATTCAGCTGCTGCCGCCGCCGCCAAGCGCGTTCAAATCGAGAAGGCCCACAACTTTATGCGCCAATATCGCGATCCCGAGTCCAGGGAACTGAAGAAGCTATCGGCCAATCAGTTCATGGATGTCTGGGCGCATTACGATAAAGACGGTGAGTTAAGATTTAATCAGGAAAAGTCAAAAAGATATCTTTAATGCCATATTACATATTTCCTTGTTCAAGAAACTGCTGATTATTATTCCAACTTAATAAAAACAAATTCAAATCAAACATTCTCTTTCTCCTTTGCTAGGAAATGGCTACATTGAGGGCACCGAGCTGGATGGCTTTCTCAGGGAGTTCGTCTCAAGTGCCAATGCCACAGACATTAGCCCCGAGGTGAGTTTCAAGTGGAATCGACCAAATGCATCTTAATCTTTCTTACTCTAACCCCCAGGCTGTCACGGACACCATGCTCGAGGAGCTGAAGTCCTGCTTCATGGAGGCCTACGATGACAATCAGGATGGCAAAATCGATATCAGAGAGGTATGTATTACCTACGGCGTTATTCAAGCCCCCGCAATGCTTTCCTTTACAGTCCCGAAAACTGACCGCACATTTGAACACAAATTTCGTTTTGATGGTGGCCACCATGTTGTATGCGCAATGTTGTCTGTATGGGCTTTTTGTATTCGAAATGACATTTCCTTGAGTCGCGGTGGCGCCTCTTTTGCCTTTTTTCAAATTGGTTTTTAAATGTCTCGCCCCACCCCGAAACCAATAAATTATTTGGCGTTTTCCCCCGACGAAAACGGAAAAAAAAATCAACTTTCTGGCAAGGTCTCTACCCAAAAAAAAAAAACTTTTTCTTCTTTCTGATTTTGTGCGGGGCCACATTAAATGAGTTTTTAATTGAAGTTGGACCGGCAGCAGCGGCACGGACTATTGAAAGAAGATTTTTCTGTATGGTTTTCTTTTATTATTTTCCTTTTTTCCTCTTCCACCAAATAATAAAGCGCACTTTTAGGGGCGTACAATGGACTTTGTGATAAATGAGCTCACGAAAAAAAATAGAAAGTTTCTTGGTGAAAGAAAAGTGAAAAGTTCAAGTAGCCGGGTCCCTCATGGATTGCTGATTAAGGTTTGCTGGGAATACAAAAGGCCTAAAGCAGAGCCCGAGCATTCATAATTCATATAGTTCACATTATTCATACGCCACGTCGAACATCGATTGAAATGACTGTGGGTTAATTTTCGCTGTTTGTTTGTGGGTTTCCTGTCTGGCTTGGCTTGTCAACATGGTTTTGGCCTGGGGATAAACTTTAATTGCGATAGTCCAGTAATTACCAGAAACATAAAATAAAAATGTAAATTCCCCAACGACAGCGAATTATAAAGTTTTCCCGGCCACAGCTGATTACTAGTGAAGGGCGAGAGCTTCAATTCGACACTTAAATTATGCCGGAAAGTTTTAACGAATGCCGAGAACGAAACTTTTCGAGTTGTTCTTCCCTAATGAAAGTGCAGCAAGATTTTCCCAACTCTCAGGCAATGCACCGGAAAAATAGTTGAGACTAAAGAACCCACTAGACCCTTTTCTTTTTATAACTTATTTCATCGTCAAGTCACGCATTAAAACAAGAGGAATTTCCTCCTTTTTTTTCTGCAGCTTGCTCAACTTTTGCCCATGGAGGAGAATTTCCTTTTGCTCTTCCGCTTCGATAATCCCCTGGAATCTAGCGTTGAATTCATGAAGGTAGGTGACAATCAGGAATTTTCCAACCTGGAATTCCCCCAAATTAATTTGCAATCTTTTCTTGTCTTTAAATTAGATATGGCGTGAATACGATACCGATAACTCGGGTTACATTGAAGCGGATGAGCTCAAGAATTTCTTGCGCGACTTGCTCAAAGAGGCCAAAAAGATCAATGATGTGTCCGAGGACAAGCTCATTGAGTATACAGATACTATGGTAAGTCATTAGAAAGGTATTTTAAACATTAAACATTAAAACATTAAGTTCTTAATATGAATTTGTATTAATTAAATAAAATTATGGACTGAACTACCAACAGAAAAAAGTATCTTGCTAAGATGAAGTGGTCATTCATCTGGAATATTTAATTTAAAAATTACTTAAAAATAAGAAGACATTTTTTCAAGCTATTCACGAACTATAGAGACTATAACTTAAATCTTCATACTGACTTCTCACCTAAATAAATTATAAATTCCATTAAACAAACCACAAGTTCAGGTTCATCATAAGTAAGACACGAGTAGATGATGTCAACACACAAGCAGAATTCCTAAACAAAAACGATTCAGTGCTAATTTACATAAGTACGACAATGCTATGATTATTGAGAGATGTACTAATGTATGCAATTGACACACAATGGTGTAAATAATTTAGTTTTCCTATTAGCCAAAGATAATGTATGCCCATTCCTTTGCAGCTCCAAGTATTTGATGCCAACAAGGACGGACGCTTGCAGCTGTCGGAAATGGCCAAGTAAGTGTCCTTGAAGTCTCAAACTGAAATTTCAGACAGCAGCAGAGCAAAACCTAACTTATTTATTGCAGATTGCTTCCGGTTAAAGAGAACTTCCTTTGCCGCCAGGTCTTTAAGGTAAGTGACAAGCAACGATAACCCAATGACTTCCAGTTGAGTCAGAAAACATCGTTCAAACGAGGAAATTGCCGATAGCAGTAACAAATCAGAATTTTGTGGTTTTCACAAAAAATGTAATATTAAGAATTCAGTTAAAATACTCAAAGAAAACATACGCGGCTTGCCTTGAAAACAAAACACGTTTAGCACCTAGGTTAGCCTGGATTTATTGGTTCCTCACTAGCTGCAGCCTTGACTATCTAATTTAGCTTTTGCAACTAATAACTCAATCAATAATGCATTTTTATTTTTTGCTTTCAATTTTGTTGATGTTTTCTTTTAATTTTGTCTGTGCCGAGTTGGAGGGTAAATAACATTAGAGATAACATCAATGCTAGTTCATAGTAAAAAACTTAAAGTTAGAGAGAACTACCAGTGGGAAACCATCATCAATCTCCTTTGGAAAGTTTGGGATTAAAAAATGTACTCATAGATATAATAATAGGGGTTTAATGGCTAAATGTAATCATAAAGCTTGTCCTTTTTGGTAATAGCCAGTATATAGTTAACCAACTTTCATTTCAATTTCACATGAACAAGCAATTATTGGATAAATGCCATGCAATGGTTAAGTGCATTCCACTGCATTTCCGTGTAATATAAAAAATATATAAAAATCAATGGACTAGTGTAACGAAAAACTTTAAAACCAAATGATTCGAAAGGCAAAGTACTTTAAATATATATAGCGTTTTTATTTTGACATTCCTTTCTGTATAGAATCCTGAATTGGCTTCGTTTTGTTAGGCAAACCGAACTTGAAAACCCTTTTAGAGCTTTTTATTCCCGCTCGACAGATCAGCAAATACAGCTCTTGAAAAGGACAAAGCCACTATTTATTTGTCCTTTCGCTTTCCAAACAAATTCGACACTGAACGCAACATTGAAAAGTTGTGGCCATAATAAAAAAAAAAAAAAAAAGAAAAACGAAATACTCAAGCCAATTCTGACTGCGTCGCAACAAATAAAGCCATGGCCAAAACCAGAAATAGCTGTTCCGCTGAAGAAGAAGGCAGCAAAAAAAAAAAGAAAATACCAAGAAATATTGTCTGCAATCGTAAAAATAAACGAAGCAAAATGGCAAAGCTCAGCTGAAACTGGCAGGTGCTTTCACCCACTCCCATTTTCCTGTCTTTTTCTCTTTTTCCACCGAAATAAAATGCGTGGGAGCTGTGTTAGAATCAATTTCCTAAAGCAGACGCTTTTCTTTTCTTTTCTTTTTTTTTGTGCTCAAGCGTCAACAGATTTGATGTGATTTGAATTGGGTAGTAAAAAATACAACAAAAAAAAGAATAGGAAGGAGAAGCTAAACAGCAACCACTGCATAAACAGAAGGTGGAAAGTCCCCCAAATGGCTGGCCATTAAATACTTTAATATTAGTTTGCCTCAGACAGATACCCGGAGCAATTAGCAAAAAGAAAAGCCATGTGGTGTTGGGGGAAAAACAAACTTTTTGGCCACTGCCGCCAGATGTTGGAGCTTAAAATTCCCCTGGGAAATTCGGCGAACCCATTTCGTCTTGGGCCAAATGCTGATGATGCCAAATGCGGTTAAATGAAGCTATGTCATTGCATTTGAGGCTGCCTCTGAATGTCACGTAACTTCCCGCAGGCCAAAACTTGGCCAAAATATATATATACTCGTATATAGAGAGAGCATGTTTTCTGTTCTCGCATTTTAAGCATGTTGGCAAAGAATCGGGACATCCAAACACCAAGAATTCTTTTTTTTTATATTTTTGCAGCACCAGCTGCTTGAAAAAGTCTGAAGGAAAAAATTCCCCAAATTTATGCAGGCCTAAGATTGATATTGTAAAATATTTTTATAGCCATAAAGAGAAATATTACTTAGTTAAATGATTATTTTTAATGATTGAAATACAACATTGAGTTTTCCTTAATTTCCTTAATTTATATCCAAAAACTTGATTAAAAAATGTTTATAGTTTGGAAATAAAATTAGTTTAAAATCATCAAAAAGCCAACATCTTTGAGACTAAGCTCAAATTTTGGTACATAAACCAGACACTAAGAAACCCTTCTCTTTTAATATTAACGAGGCTCCACTGTACAATAAAATATACTACTTAATCGAAGCAAGCGGAAATAAATGTTGGACCTTCAGCCTTCAGAAAACTCCCAATTTGCTGAGCCAGCCCCTTCGAAATTTTCCAACTCGCGTTTCCCACGCCTTAGGGCAACCTCTTTTTTTTCCACCTCTGATTCGTTCTCATGTTTGGATTTCCTTTTTGCTGTTTGCCACATGAACCACATCCCTTCACATATGTATGTCTGAGTCCATGGAACAGCAAAGAAAAACCACCTCCATTTGGTTTTTCGGTGTTGTTCTTGGCAATCAAGTGGGCTAGATCCACAGAAAAATGTTCTGAAGCAGGGGGGAAAATCGGAGGGCATTGAGAGCTCTTATTGTTATTTGCTGCAAATGTACGTGCTTCAGTCGCATTGACGCTTATTCTCATTGCTCATTGGCAGCAGTTGCCGAAAAGTTGGATGGTTTCCGAATATCGTGGAGCTGTCGGGGGAATTTCGGTGGATGGGAGAGTGAATCCTCCTACTCCTTCCCATCCAACCAAATGGTATCAAAATCAAAAGTGTTGCATTCAGGCTGTACTCACTTTGTATTGGTTTGGTTTGCAATTGGATTCCCATTGCACTATTTCACTTTGTTGGCTGCTTGATGGCACTCCCACGCGTTGTTCGGAAAATCGCTAACGAAAATTTGCCATTTCCAATGCTGTTCAACGCAAAGAAAACCCACGCTTGGTAAACTCTACTAGTTCAAAGCTAATTAATGTCGTATTTCCAAAGGAGGAAAAGAAGTTTTTGAGGTGAAAACAAATACTTGGAATTCCAAAGGCAGAAATAGCTGACCTTTCTTGGTAAGAGAATAAAGTTTAGTTTTTCAAGGACAAAACTGCAATGGTAAATCCAATAATGGGAAAGTGTCGTAGCAATCTTCATAAAATTCTTTCTTAAAATTCAAAAAAATTATTTACTTTTGTTTATTTTTCATTTCTATATTGAAGTCAGCTTTATGTCGGCTTACATCTTTCACCCTTTCCGAAAAAAAGGGAAGCTGGTGTAAATTCAAATTCAACTCGCATGTCCTTTCAACGAGATATTTCTGTGGTGTGTGCGAGTGGAAGGGAAACCCTGTTTCGGGAGCAGGAACATGAGCAATGTTGCGATGTGCACTCAGTGGAGCGGCAGTCCGAGCGAAAAGCAGCAGAAGAAGCCACAGAATTGCACAACGAACAATGTTCAGTGTTCATGGGCTGCATGCTGCATGCCGCATATTTGCTCATTGTTACGGCTCGCAGCACAAACGACATTTTATTTGGTTTTTATTGATGGCATGGAGTTGGGGAATCAGGACTCAGAGTCATGCATAACAATGTAGCGGGACAAGTTGGATTTTAATCGAAAAGCCACGACGCGGACATGGCTGATGTCTCTCAGTTCCGAGCCACTGAATCTTTAGGAATATCAGGAACCACAAAGAAGCCAAGGCACCTGACCACCAAAGATATGCGTACGTTCAGCGCAGTACTTTCGCCATCGTAATTCGGTCGTTATGAAGTACCATAAAAAGCAGGCATCGAGGGCTCAGGCAGCCATAAAATAGGCATTTCCAGCACATTTACCGAAAAGGTGCAGTTATTACTTTTATACTTATATATAGATATATAATTTCTTGGGACCATAAAAGCCAAGGCATGCATCAGCATTTTGATAACCGCAGCGGGACAGCAGCTGAGTTATATGCAGGACTCCGATGCAATGTCCCTAAGCTTTTACAGGACTCACCCCGAAACTTCTGTCTCCGGGCGTCCAATTATGTGGCACACTGTATTGCTGGCTGGTGGCCAAAAGTGCCAGAAAGCGTTATGCTAATGCACATCACGTATTCGCCGCATGCACCGCAACGAACAGTGACATAATGTGCTGCAACAGGAAAAGCCAGTGGAAATGGCAATAGGTGTGGACAGGGTGAAAAAACGGGGGAAAAGTGGTAGAAGAGTGAGGGACATGAAACAGCAGGACATTGGGAAAAAAACAACCTGGTACTCGTACACTTAGCTTTTTGTCACTCTCCTTATTTTTAATGTTTTTCGGGTTTTGCCGAGGCAGCAAAATAAAAAATACAGTCAAGGACTTTGGCTAAGTGAAAACGTGACATCGCGGCACAGACAATTTTTCGGTTGATTTTCTTTATGAGTTTCCTTAAGACTTGCAATTAGATCAAACTTTTAGCGATTAACTAACAAAGCCGAAATCGTTTTGCTCTCAAATTGGTAATGCATATGTTTAGTTTACGTTTAACTAAGCGTATACTTAATATTTTTAAACTTTTCATTTAGCTGCATCCAGATCTTAGATCTCTTTAGCTTACTAAAACTAACTAAAATTCTAGCTTAAAATTACTTAAAAACTTAATCAATGCTGGCAAATAAATAGTATTTATGCCCGCCTTGATTGCAATTAAAAAAAAAAAGAAAAAACAAATTTCATTTTATTTTATGACTTTTCTAACTTTCTATATATATATCTTTTTCGTTTCCCCCTCCGCCTACCTCCTCTATGCCATCTGTATCTATATGAACATAACAATATATACTATATATCTTTGCATATACTTCTATAATCTTGTGCATTTTTATTTCGAAAACCAACCAACATAATAATAACCAAAAATAAAAATAACAATTGCCGAATTAACTATATACCGTGCACGTGGTGTAAAAACATTTTGGGCTGCCACCTTCAACTTCCGACTTAACTCACAAATGCAATTTGAAAATCAACTCTAAAATAACTAAACAATTACCGCAAAAATCAAAACCCTTTCTGGCATCTGCTGTATATACAAAAATTTGCATACAACAATCTGCAACCAATTGCACTGCCAACAATGAAAACAAACAAAAATATTTCGTAAAACAATACACAAACTATTTACATTCCTGCAAACAAAACCAAACCAAAAAAAAAAAAAAAAAAACAAAAACCAATAAAATGAAATAAATAACATAAAAAACTATTATATATATATATATAAACCACACACTAAAGGAGGGCATTGATGTAAGTATCTTTCACCCCATCATCAAGCATTCAAACGGCAAAAAAAAAAAAAAGAAAGTGCCTCTCAAAAAACAATTAATTCCTGTGGGTAAAATAACGATTATAAAGACACTGGTGGCCCATTTAAACTCTCAATAAAATTGTATAATTTTGTACTTTGGATAATACAAGTGTTTAGCTATTGTTTTTTATTTCACACTTGATGAAAATTTAATATTTTCAATTGATTTGTTGTTTTTCATTTTGTAGTTTGCTTGTTTTTCCATTCGATTTGACAAACAAAATAATAGGAACACAGAAAAACCACTTAAATGCTTTGAATTGGCTTGGAAAAGTCTTGCTTACGAAGAGAAATGCATGGAATTTTTTCATTTATGTGGCTTTCTAAAATTAAACTAAAATATTTCTCAGTATTACTCAACTTAGTTCTGCGGTATGAATGATAAAATCTTTAAATAATAAGTCAGTTCTTAATATAAATTCTTGCCTAAAAGTATGCAACGATTTAGGTTTAGGAAGCACACTTTTAAGCAGTTCTTTAATTTAGTTGAAGTGTCTAACTATTTTAATCTTTCAATATTTCTTTGACAATCACCCAAAAACTAAAGTTGTTTGTTCTTTTTGAAGTAATTAGTAAAAGCTTATTGCTTATTAGCGATAAGAAACTAAACTTTCTGCCAGTAAAAGTTTGAGTAATTTGCAATCTAGCCATTTTTAGGGTCCTAACCCAAAAAACCTTTCTCAACTTACCAAATGCTACTCTACTCCAACCACAAGGCAACCGACTTACAGCAAGAGAATGATAGCTACGAGCTACTAATTAGACTTTTGATGGCATTGGTCCACCCCAATTCCCCACTTAACACATCCCGAGCCCAAATGTACGTGAACAGCTTTGGCCTTAACGATGTGAGGTCCACGCAAATTACACGTTGATGTGGAATTCCATCTCCTCCTCTATGGGAACCTTTTGCATAATTTAGTCATTCAGTTTGTGGACTTGGGGTGCGGCAGAAGGGAATGGATATATTTTGTGGCACTTCCATATGGATAATGGCTGCCGCAGGCTGACACGCTCTCTGCCACCGGCTTTTCAAAGTGTTGAAGTGTAAAATAATTACTTCATTTCATCAATGTGTGGGCGTTTTTGGGCATCACATCACATCACGTTCAAGGCGCAATTCGACTTAAGTATGAGCAATTTGACAAAGAGCCAGACCACAAAAAAAAAAATGTTGAATATATCTTCCTGTTCGTGTGAAATTCAATTTAAGGAGCTTAGCCACCGCTAAGTGGAAACGGGTTGGCAATTTATAATGCCCGAGCTAAGCACATTTTTCTTTAAGCTGAAGCGGAAAAGGGTTCCCGCTTAATGGGTTTCTAATCCCGTTAAGAACGCAAAAAGAATGCGCCAACTGCGTTTTCATGGCGCCAGTAAAACAAATGTTATCAGACTTTCCCAAGGCTAAAGAAAACAAAACCTTAAGTTTCACCTCGCAGCTTTACGCTCGCACCTTAGAGGCACTGAAAACAACCGAATTTTCTTTCAAATTCAAGGTTTGAATTTTACTATATCTATTTTATATTTTTACAAACTCTTAAGAGATTTTAGATATCAAAGTTTATTATAAATGTGACTTAAAGTGAAAAATCCTCAATAAAAAATATCCACTATTAGCATACAACATTTCCCCCAGTGCCCTGCTGAAAACTTTTGAACTTGAGGCGCCACCTTGGCCACATTGCATAACCCCCAAAATTACAAACTGCATGACTGTGTGGGAGTTTATGTGAATGGAGGCTTACATATAGGGAAAAATAATTCGAGCAATTTGCCGTTCGCAAATGGAATCGATAAATTTCGTGTTTCCCGCGAGGAAAACACATCCGGGGCAATCCCAAATGAGAGCGGTGAATGGTAAAGACAAATCTGGTGTACCTGGCCCATAATTCATATTAATTAGCGAATGTCAACGGCAGAAGACACACACGTATATTAATTGGCTGTATGTTGCATTTAGCATAATTAGGCTTTAGCCGTAAGCATAACGAATGAGTGTGAATATGGAGTACCTTTCCTTTTTTTTTTTTCTCTGGCATGATACTTACTCCACTCCCTAGGGATATGCCTAAGTCAGAGTTATCGTTTCTCATTAAATAACTAAAAGCATGTATTTTATTACAATTATTTATTTTTTGCATGAATTAATGCCTTTGGCGCTTTAGATATTTAACCAATCGAAAACATAATTGCACCAAAAGACACAACTCGACCAGTAGTTTAGGTTGATAATGTTCTAAGGAAAAGCCATTGTAATAAGTTGCAGGATAATCGTGGTACGACTTCGACGCTGAGAAGTATGCTATGGATTATCCTAAAATTTACATCTAGATATTTGTTGTTCACAACATTTTGTATTTAGTTGGTTTATGGATTTAGCATACTTAAAGTACATAAAAACGAATAAACTTACAGACTTTTCCTTTAAATTTCCGCTATAAAATATTTTATTTCTCTTTTAACTTTTAAATAAAAACTTATGTTGTCTACAGGACTTCAGGACTTAAAAAGTATGCCAAATCTAGGTTGTACCCCAAACTTATAAATAAACCTTTATGTAAAACATGTATATTAAAGAGTTCTATTAGAGAATATAACAACTAATTGATATCATTTTATATCCACAGGGCGCCACAAAGTTGACCAAAGAAGATATTGAAAAAGTATTCTCGCTCTACGATCGTGTAAGTAAATAAGCGAATGATAACAATAATGAATAAATAACTTGGTATATTAACTAATAAAATAAATTGAAATCCATATAGGACAACAGTGGAACCATTGAAAATGAGGAGCTTAAAGGCTTCCTCAAGGACCTTTTGGAGCTGGTCAAGAAGGTGGGTTTCTATAAAAGAAAAGGTAAAGGGAGTTTTAATACTTTACCGTTCTTTCCAGGACGACTACGATGCCCAGGATCTGGCTGCTTTCGAGGAGACCATCATGCGAGGAGTTGGCACCGACAAGCATGGCAAGATCTCCCGCAAAGAACTGACCATGATCCTGCTGACACTGGCCAAAATATCGCCCGACGATGAGGAGTAAATCGAAGAAAATCGAAAAACATACCAAAAAGAGATTTTAGCCAACTCTATTTTTGTCACCCGATTGAAGGGATATCCAGATATGAGGCCAACCGAGGGCTTCGAGGCAATTGTTTACTTTAGAGCTGCATCCAGAAAAGGTCAGCAAAAAAAATACAGATTTTGATATCGGCGTAGGATCCTGAGCTAACAGCGATCCCAGCCGAGACGAAGCTATTGGTAACATAAATCTAATATAAATGTTTCAATCTTAAATAAATGTTTATCGTACGTTAAGATGTTGAGAGTATATTTCCCCCCAAAAAGTCAAACCAAAAAAAAAAAAAAAATATGAAACGGAAATTTATCCAATCAAACAATTTGCAACACTGAATCGAGCCACTTAAAGTAAACAATTAGGAAATGATAACATCAAGAGGAGATCAGTACATCGATTTTATATTATATTATATTATATTATATATGTACTTATATTTTCTATGTGTATTTGCATAAAGTATTTTATTTAATTACCAATTAAAACTTGAAATAAAAGTAGTTATATTTAAGGATACAAGATTTATTTGAGATGACTACCTAAGTATAAAAAATACCATATGTGTGGCTACAATCTGTAGATAATTGTTGTTAATATTTGTGACAGTATCCCTTTAACACAGCAACATAAACGTATTCTATGCAAATTCTCTACAAGTGGGTGTAGTTCGTTCTACATCCAAACTATATGTACTTATACTATACGTATGTAACTATATCTCCCGCAAACATCAATCAATCAATCAAGAGCCACTTGCAACAGCCCAAGGGTGGACGCCACTAATGCTGGTGAATGGGTATGCGAATGGAAATGCAAATGCAAATGCATCTCCCACCTGAACGTGACACTGTCATCCTGAAGGGTGGAAATGTACCTAGTTAATGTTAGACACACTCGTCCTTGTATTTTCCACCTGAGGGTCTGCGTAAGAGGAGATTATGTGGTGCAGATTGAGGGCAGTTGCTACTATAACATTTTCAATCAATTTCCCTGCTTAGGCAAAACGCTAAAATAAACTTAAAAAATGAAAAACTTAAACTATGAACTATCTAATGTTTTTTCAAGGTGCTATAGCTATATGTATTATTACTCATTTCTGTCCATATTCCTTTTCCCAAGCAGTTTTCCATTCTATATATTATATATTTTCAAAACCAAACTAATTTAAAACTAACTTAAGCTTTAAAACCAAGACAAATTGTTACAATCTTGAAACGGAGTTTACTCAAGGATTCATTATTAACTTGATTAACTTTAAAAATGAAACCATTAGGAAAAACCGATTGTACACACCCGTACATGCAACAAAATGCCAACTTAACATATAAATAAACTAATTACGATACAACTCTATATGATAACATACTTATGCTAATCCTAAGATATTGTTCAAAAAACCACATGCATGTAAAGCTTCGAAATGGACTTTCTCTATATACAACAAGATACCAAAATATCGAATATCTAAATGGATATATGTCTAATACTATGGAAATACAACAGAAATGTTTTAATAAAATAAATACAATCTATGCAGACATCAAGGGGTCAGCACTCCAATCACAGTCTTTCGATTTCCTCTACTTTATATAGCCGTATATACCGTCGATTGCATTTCTCCTGGCGTTCTAGAAGATTGTTCAGTTTTTTCAGCATATCAGTGGCATTCAACACTTGCTCGGTCAATGCGGAAACCAGAGGTCCATTCTGTTCCACTTCCGGATCGACGAGATTGTTGGCAATGTCCATGATATTCTTAATGCGCAAACAGAAACTGAAGTGGGGAATTTATAAAGTTGAGAGTTTCAAATAAATCATAAATATATTACCACTTGGCCTCCTTTTTTCTATTGCTGGTAATAAGCTGCCAGGCCATACAGTTCTTCAAATGCCAGGAGCAAAAGCCACTCTCCAGAGTTTCCGTGAAGGGATCAATCCATTCCTTTATCACCGCACACTGGGTTGGCGGAAATCTAACCTTCTCCACCAACCAAGTATGCCAAATAGTAGATTCGCTTTTCTGGAAATCTTCAATACTTTTCCATAACTTCAAATTATTGGACGCCAGACTCTGGTGAGTTGCCATTGAAGCTTTGACTTGGGGATTCCTTCCAAAATGCCGCTCTAAAAAGGCAGCCACCTCCTTTTGATAGTTTTGGGAGTTTGGCTCAACTACTGGGCCTTGCTCCATCATACCATTTTGGAGGTTCAACCAAGTGGGATTCGAGCAGAAGGATCGTGTTGTGGCATCTGAATAAGTTATAAAGGTTTCGCTAACGGATTTCATTTTGGAGGTTAGAATTGGAAAATATCATGAAAAATATCTTATAGAATATAATAAATAAGATTTTTTAATCCATAATTAAAATAAGGGTACTTTTAAATATATATTTTAACTTTTACAATTTTATTTCGGGTTAGAAAAAGGGATAAGTGTACAGTACAGAAGAGAAGAAAGACAGAGGGTAACATCAAAGCTTAAGGATTTCCCGTGATCGATCGTTGACATTATTTTGCTTCATTTCTTCATATAAAACTCACCCGCTGTCTATGCTGACCACCAATTTGGTAATAGTACCACAACCGGGCGTGGAAATTTCCGTTCGAGTCATACGGGCAATTTTACAGAATATCTCGAAAATTGTACAAAAAATAAACGGAAGTAAGAATCAGAGACTACTTGGATTATCGTTTTCCTTCTTTCATGTCCTTAGCATCTAATCTCTCCTGATATTCCAGTCTCTGAAGAATCGTGGGATGAGTATGATGCCAGCGAGCATAGCAATTGTCGTAGACCGGAAAACTCATGTGATCAGCATAGATCTTGATGAGGGCCATCCTCAATTGAATGGAGTATCCCATACGATGGGCAAAATTATCGGCGGCATATTCAAAGCGACGTAGATTCCATAACATTAGGACATTGGCCAGCGTGAGATATGGTGTCAGGGCAAATCTCAGGACAATGATGAATCCCACAATGATGGGCATAACGCCAGGTGCGAAACCAACTGCCATGTAAAGTTGCGGACAATGGAAGCATAATCCAAATAGACCCATGGTCAGAAAGAAGTGAACCTTCATGATGATCGTAGCCTTGTAGAAATGTCCATACTTCCAATGACCCAGCTCGTGGCAAACCACTCCAGCCACCTGTATATTTGTCAGTCCTCTGCCCACTTCGTAAGGTTGGATTTCACTAACTTCTTTTCCCTTGTTTAGTAGCAAGGTGTCAAAGATCACAATTCTTTTCAAACAGCAGCTTCCGTAAAAATAGGCATTACTATACTGCATTGTCCGGGTCCTAATAATGAATACACGCTTCATGGGAAATCCAACCACATCGCAGACTTTCTTCACCTCTGCATGCAGAGCAGTGCCCTCCGGCAGAACAACCTGTCGTCCAATGCACGGAATACAGCAGTAGGGCAAAAAAAACACTAGAATCAGGGTAAAGACGGCCCAAAACAGCCAAAACCAAAGAAAGAAATAGTAGCCGATTATTTGTACACTAATCACAATAAGAATCGCCACCGGGATAAGGACGAACTGGCTCAGGACAACGGCCAGGGCGCCAATACAGCAATAGAGGTACCACGGAAACTTGCCCGACATTCCATAGCGCAGCTCCAGCAGACACTTATCATAGATGAGCACCGGCAGAAACCTTATGCAAATGTATATGGTCAGATAGAGAACGAAGATCATGGTGATATAGAGCTCATCAGAGGTGATCGGCTTTAAGGTCTTGACCGAGAGACCCCAGAGAAAGGGATAGAAACCCAGGGCCAGCTCACACAGCGATATGATCAAGTCAATGAGGTACTTCCAGAGCTGTAACTCCGTTTTGTGCAGCTCATAGATGCGAGCCCGATAGTAAATTTCCGGAGGAATAATTCCTCTTAGGTCCTCTGGTACCATTATCGCATTAAGACACACCAATTGCTAGAAAAAGATATCTTTAATTGCCGATAAGTCATCATAACCATACTTACCTGTCTCTTGACGAGTATCATCAGCCATATCCGGTCAACTAAAACTATCAGACATAACACCACCAGCACAATAACTGGATCTACTTTTGGCCAAGAATCGTAGAATGCCATCAAAACTTATCATGTTCCCCCAACAAACAACAGCACCAGTTGTAAAAGATATATCTTATATTACCCAGATCAGATAATTCAATCAGAACCTACTATGTTTGATAGAAGTAGCCAAAAAAAAAAATATGTGTATGTCAGCTTATCGCCCAAGTCGCTGCAGCCGATCCAAGCGATCCAGAATGGTGGGATGCGTATGATTCCATCTGGAGTAGCACGGATCGGAGACAGGAAATGCCAGGTTATCTGCATACAACTTCAGAAGCGCTTGACTGAGTTCTCCGCCGTATCCGAGTCGATAGGCAAACTTATCAGCCTGGTATTCAAAGCAGCGCGTCATATTTAACATTGCGAAGTTGGCCAGCGTCATGTAAGGTGTCATTACAAAACTGAAGGTTATGATCAATCCAACGATTATGGGCTGCAGACCGGGTGCAAATCCCACCGCCTGGTAGATGGGTCCATGGGAAAACAAGACCGCGAACAGCAGGATAGTTAGTAACATATGAACTTGAAAGATAATTATCGCCTTGTAGAAGTGCCCATTTTTCCAGTGACCCAGTTCATGAGCTACGACAGCTGTCACCTGAGAATCCGACAGTCCTCTGCCAACTTCTTCTGGTGCTAGTTGGGAGAGATCTTGCTTTCCTCTATTCAACAGAAGGGTATCAAAGATCACAATTCTCTTGAGGCAGCAGCAACCGTAGAAAAACGCATTGCTTCCCGTGTTGGGATCATGCACCCGAATTATGCGAACCTGATGCATTGGGAAGCCCACCTGCCGCGTTAAGAACTCCAGTTGGTTGCGTAGGTTTGAGTTCTCCAGCGGCACACGCTTGCCAAAAAATGGATCGATAAGAAATGGGACCAGCAGAATTACGAATGCAGTTAAGATCAGCGATTGCACATACAAGCCCAAGGGAGCATAGGCATCCAAGCCGATGAACATGTAGACTATGGCAACTACCACTATGATCGTAATAGCAGTTCCAATAATTAAGTCAAAGATAAAGTGACAGATGCGAAACGCCAAAGGAGGATTCTTTTTGGGTTGCAAACTCTTGATGCAACACTTTTCGTAGATCATGGCCGGGATTATTTTCAGCCAGAAATACGCGCTCAGTAAGATCACAAAGATCACTGAGACGCAAGCCTCGTGTTCCATCCACTTCGCTAAGGCACATTTGGTGGCTATTCCATACAACCAGGCGTAAAAACCGAAGTAAAGCTCTAAAATACCAAATAAAACCACCATAAGCAGGGTGTTGACAATAGTAAACCAGCCCTTGTGAATCTTATAGAGGCGCATCTTATCATACAGTTCCTGCGACAAATACGGGCTAATCACACTCGGAACTTTGTTCGTTTTATAAGTCACGTTTATCTGAAACAATAAACTAATTTCAAAAAATACTTGTAAGATATTCTCAGCACTTACTTCTCGCAAGAGCAGATAAATGGCCCATAGATTGTCGATGACCAAAAACGCAATGATTATATAGAGTATTGCTATTGGATCATCCCAGAAGTACGCAGACATCTTGGCCTTCTCTGACAATAGCTTGACATTTTAGGCATATTTTTAAAATTTTGAAGCTCGTTAGGTGAACATTTTTTAAAAATGTTCTGTTTGACGGATTTTAGACAGCCAATTTATATGTCTTTGATCTTTTGTAAATGTAGAAAACTGGCAAAAGTTAATATGATATTTTCAATAAGATCTGGAATATTTGGTTGGGGTAAGAACCCTTACTTTATTGTTTGTACGTTAAAACAAAGGGAACAGTGTAAACTTTGGTCTTCAGTGACATAAGCGGTCTTAGTTTAGCTTCTTCTCTTCCATCAGCTCCTTGAGGCGATTTAGCCGCTGGAGCAGAGTGGGATGTGAGTGGTTCCAGGTGGAGTAAAGCCAATCATAGACGGGAAAGCCAAGGTTGTCCACGTTCAACTTGATAAGGGCCTGACCTAACTGATCAGCAAATCCCAATTTGAAAGCAAACTCATCAGCCTGGTACTCAAATCGTCGCGACAGGATAGTCATGGCGAAATTCATAAGAGCATTGTAAGGGGCCAGGACGTAAGTGAAAACGATCAGCAAGCCCACGAGAATGGGGCGAGTGCCAGGCTGGAATCCCATGGCCACGTAGAATGGTGGATACTTAAACACATTACCGAAAACCAGGAACATCAGGAAAAGATGGACCTGCATGATGATGATGTTTTTGGTGACGTGTCCAAGTTTCCAGTGTCCCAACTCGTGTCCCAAAACAGCCAGCACCTCCTCGTCGGTGCAACCCTTTCCTTTTTCTTCCTCGGAAAGCTCAGATTCGTCAGATTTACCTTTGTTTAGCAGCAGGGTGTCGAAGAGCACAATCCTCTTTGAGTTCCAAAGACCATAGAAGTAGGCATTGCTGTGGGAGGAGCGTTTGGATCCTTCCACCACAAACAGCTTTGTGAGCGGGAACTTAAGCGAGGCTGCCAGATCCTCGATGGATTGCCTTAATGCACCCTTCTCCAGCGGAGTGTACTTGTCGAACAAGGGAGCAATGAAAATCGGATACAAAGTGAGTAGAACCAGTGAGATAACACCCGTAAAGATCCACAGCCAAATAAAAAAGTTATCGCCACCGCGCTGGACGATGAAGATAATTGCTGCTGTAATAGGAATCATTAGGACTTGTGTGACCAGGAAGCCCTTGAGTTGATCCCATGCAAAGAACCGTGCCGTCTGCTTGTTGAAGCCGTGTGTTTCTTCCAAGACAAATATCTTATAGATCTTGAATGGCAGCCCTTTGAATGTGCTTAAAACATTGGAGATCAGGACGAAGACGCAGCTGACGATGATTTCGTTTTTGGAGTCCCACTGCAGGTTATCCACCACCTGGACGGACAGCTGCCAGAGCAGGGCTATCAGTCCGATGTACAACTCTAGACATAGCAGGCCGACATCCATGACCACTGCTTTAAAAATGCCGAAGCTCTCCTGGTCCAGACCATATTTTCTCGCCTTGTGAAACGTCTCCTCGCCCATGTGTGACGTCAGTTCGGCGGGCACCTTAAGTGCAGTGCGGTACACTTTCACCTGGAGGCAGAGAGAGAGAGGGAAGGAAAGCATTTAATGGGAGCAGTCCGTGCGGGCAATTAACATTTGCCACTCTAAATTTATCATTCGCATTGATAAAATTCCACGCTAAATGTCGCCATCTCGCTCACAAGTGCCGGCACACCGAAAAAAAACTTACCTGCCGCAGCGATATATAGATCTCCAAAGCATTCTCGATTACAACCAAAAACAAAATGCTAAGCAGCACGGTGTCTGCGTCCAATGAAGACATATTTATATGCTATTTCATTAAAAACTAATAAAACTGGAATTTTATTTTACAAGCGCCAGTCCAGTGACGAATGCTAGTGTGACCGTGGCGCAGCCGTTAAAATAAGTCAAAACACATGCGGTTTGATAGATGTGGCAACGCTGGCTGCAGGCGAATTAAAATAAAAATAAAGATGTTATTCGTAAGGCGGTTTTATAGCAAATCTGAACGAATAGCGCACATATTTAATTCCCATAAGCCAGGCGACTCTTTAAGCATAAAGGTAGATAACATAAATAAGAGTATTAACTCTGTGTTCTTTGAAATAATTTTCTTTTGAAAAGGGCTGGATCAAAAATGTTCGCCGGCTCAAGAATAACACATTTCTGGACATAAATGATGGATCTACAAGTAACAGGTTCCAGGTGGTGGTGCCCCGAACTCCGGAAAATCAGCATTTAGGTCCTGGCAGTGTTATTTCGGCGGTGGGCCAAATCCAAGTCGCTCCAAATGGCAGCTTTGAGTTGCATGCGGATCAGGTGGAAATGTTGGGTAACTATAGGCAATATAAAAATTGGGGTATCCTTTAAATTTCTCTCTCTTTTCCCAGCTGAAGGGCACCTTCAAGAGGGCTATCCCTTTAGTCCAAAACAGAAACACCCACCAGAATATGTCCGCGAGTATCTGCATCTCCGATCCCGCGTTGATTATATTGCTGCCCAGATGAGGGTCAGGCACAAGGCACAGAAAGCTATTCATGACTACATGGATGAGCTAGACTTCGTACAAATCAATACTCCCCTGTTAACAACAAACGATTGCGAGGGAGCTGGAGAAGTTTTCCGAACTCAACCGGACTCTGAAGCTCTACTGAAGCAAATGGTCAGGCCGAATGTTCCCATGGAACAAAGTTACTTTGATAGCAAGGTTTTCCTTAGTGTGTCTGGGCAGCTGCACCTGGAGGCCATGACATACGGTCTTGGTAATACATATACCCTCTCCCCAGCCTTCCGAGCCGAGAACTCCAAGTCTCCATTGCATTTATCAGAGTTCTATATGTTTGAAGCGGAGTTGGCCCAATTGGAAGAGTTGGATAAGTTGGCGAGGTTTATTGAAGAGATGATCAAGTCCGTGACAACTCGCTTACTGGAAACGAGCTCCGAAGACCTTAATTTTTGCCAGAAAAATTCGAACTCAAGTTGTGATCTGCCTTGGTTGCAAGTTCCTTGGACGATAATGAGCTACGATGAAGCGCTACAGGTGCTTCAAGAGAATAAGGATAGCCTGAAGACTCCCATAAGCCTGAATGAAGGCTTTTCTAAGGACCAGGAACTATTTTTAGTTGCCCACTGCGATGCTCCCGTATTCGTTGTAGATTGGCCAGCTCAGCAAAAACCTTTCTATATGAAAGTCTCACGTACTAATCCCAATCGAGTCCATGCCCTGGACCTCCTGATGCCAGCTGTTGGCGAATTATGTGGTGGAAGCCTGCGTGAATGTGATCCAGAAGTATTAAAATCACATCCGCAAATGCCAAAGGATCTGTCTTGGTACGTTGACCTGCGAAAGTACGGAGGAATTCCCACTGGAGGATTTGGCATGGGATTTGAGCGATACTTGCAGCTAATCACGGGCGTTAAAAACATCCGAGACGTTATACCCTTTCCCAGGTATCCGCACAGCTGCAAGATGTGATTCGTTAAAGATTTAGAATATTTGGAGCTATTATTGTTAAAATTGTAATAAACAAATATTACTTTAAAGTATGTTTTCAATTATAAAGTTTAGAAAATCGTAAAAGGTATCTATATAAATTTCTACGAACATAATTATTGATGGCTTGTAATCTCCCAAGCTAGGTAATAATCCATTACAGCTGCCCCAACATTGGTTTTCGACCTGGCCAGGCCTCTTTGGCGTATTTCTTTTTCTGTGGACACAGCGCATCGCCCTCACCACTTGAATCATGCGGGTCCTCGCCGTACCGTCGCACTGAAATAGAAAAACAGTTAATCATAGAAGAATTAACAAAATAATTGTCGTTAATACTATTACCATTTGCATTAGCCACGGCGAGCTTTTGGGCCAATGTCGAGGTGGGTTCCAGGGCCTCATCAAAAACGGGCATAACCTCGGGCGCGGGATTTGGCAACAGCAGACCCAACTTTGAACCAATGCTTAGCGGAGAAATGGGCTCCAATTCGCCCTTGCCATGCGTTTCAGCCGGAAGACCTTGATATAGAGAGTTAGTAGGCGAGTGGGGAACTGCATTGGGTGGAGGCATATCTCTGTGCTGCTGCTGCTGGTGCTTCATATCCGCCAAGCTCTGCTGGAACATTTGGTGCACATGGGCGGCATTGGCACTTGACAAGCTGCTACCCGAGTGGATACCCATGTGATTGACATCGAATCGGGCTCTCTTAGCGGGCACCACAGTAGTTTGCACTAGGTTCCTGAAACGTCCCACATTGGGATCTACATCCTCGGGATTAATGACAATCTCCTCGTCGTTAAATGTGACATTCCGAATGCGGCGACCCTGCTTCAAAGCGTTTTGCTTTCGTAAATTGGTATCATCATCAATGCCCAACATTGAAATGCGACGGTTGTGGGCCGTGTTGTACTCCGTGAGATTCTTTAAGGTAATACATGATTAGTTAACATGTTAAGGATCAGTCTATATACGCTTAACCCACATCAAGTTCAGTTTGGCTTTCGGGCAGTCCTAACAGCGCTCCATCGCTGGTTTCACTGAGCGGCAAGTCTTCCATAATATTGCTATGGTGACCAGAGGGTCGTTCCCTGAGTATGTAGTTCCGGGTTGAAGCTCCAAAATGAAAGGTACTATTAATCTGAAGCTGTGTTGGCTTGTGCGCCTCCAACCTGAGCGTTCCAATAAAGGTCCCATGGGCTGTACAAAGATATTAAAGTGTAAATATGCATAGCTTCCAAATAAGACAACTTACTGGACCCCAAATCCACGAGGTAGGCTATGTTAAGGTGTTTGTGGTACACGAATGCAGAGTGAACTCGTGAGCATGAAGCGTGGTCTATGCAAAAGTCGTTCATCTGGCTGTTACGACCAAACAAATAACATCTTTTCTCATCAACCATCAGTTTCTGTACCAGTTTATCGTCCTTCAAAACATCCAGATGCAAACCAGTGGGTGGTTTACCGGCCCTAAAAATAGCAAAGATTAATAGCTTCCGATGAAAAATATTTGCAGCATTTATTCACTCACCAACTGGGTATATCGTAGCTGTTAGCCATGCGCTTAGTTTTAGTTACTTCGTACAGAAGGTCTCTGTAAACTAAATTTGTTTATTTTTATGAAAAATCCTTGGCTGATGGCCAGTGTGTACATAAAAATAATGATTCAAAACTAATAGTATCGTTTTAGCCCTAAAATATCGACAGAGGTATTCCTTAATTTGATTTAAATTTCTTGAAATAATTATTTAAAATTCTATAAATAAATAATATGTTTTTTTTATCATTGACGAAATACAATAATATATAATTGTAGAATAAAACATTATAAAAATATTATAAAAGATAAGTCACTATATTGTGAGAAAACTATCGAATATACAATAAATTAATGGTATGTGAGTGGAATATTTACATGATCATTCTATGGTCACACTAAGCATAGGCAACGGACAAACAAGTAAACAGAACTAACGACAGCTGACATTCTAAAAATAATATAAGCAACTAGCGCTAGTTAATCCAATTAAGCGACTTAATCAATTAGTGCGTGAAAAACAACGGTTACATAAATGAAAAAAGCCTGTGAAAGTTTCCCTTTCGCTTTGTTTTTTGATACTGTCGCATCTATAAAACCTGTTTTGGATGCCCGTGAAGTCATCTATAGCCCACCTTGTGACGTCCATAGACACAAGTATTAATCATAGATAATTAGGTGACGAAAAAATGGTTTCGACTACGGCGATTGCGGATCTGTGCATTTTCCTGCTGACCTGGAACGTAGGCACGAAGTCGCCACGGGATCAGGAACTGGGATCCCTTTTGTCTCTCAATGGCACCACCACATGTCCGGATAATCAACTGCCCGACATCTATGTGATCGGATTTCAAGAGGTGAGCACCACGCAGGTGCTGAAGATCTTTCAAGACGATCCGTGGGTACTGAAGATCGCCGGGACCCTGCAGGATCACGAGTACGTTAAGGTGGACTCAAAGCAGCTGCAGGGCATCCTCATAACCATGTTTGCCAAGCACAAACACATTCCGCACATGAAGAACATCGAGTCGGAGGCAACTCGAACGGGATTGGGGGGTCTTTGGGGAAACAAGGGGGCTGTGAGCATCCGGCTTTCTCTCTACGGAACTGGAGTAGCCTTCGTCTGCTCCCATCTGGCTGCCCACGATGACAAGCTCAAAGAGCGCATCGAGGACTATCACCAGATAGTTGACAACCACAAATACAATGCCCAAGGATATAGCCGTATCTTCGATCACGATTTTGTCTTCTGGTTCGGTGATCTCAACTTCCGCCTTTCTGGAGATATGTCCGCCTGGGATGTGCGTACGGATGTGGAAAACATGCGCTATGATGATCTGCTCAAACTGGACCAGTTGAACCTATTGCGGGAAAAGGGAAGCGCCTTCAGCCTGTTGGAAGAGCAGCAGCCCAACTTTGCGCCCACCTTTAAGGTAAGTAATTAAATCTACTTTCTTATCTTTGGTTATATTATCTTCGCTTGAATTTTTAATTTCCTCTTTGGGTCTTGGGTTATATTGGGTTTGTTTATTTATAATGCATTTTTTTTATATATTTTATTAGAGATTAAAGTTTGTTAAGCTTTGATCTTTGGCAATTCAAATAAGGAAATTTTCCATAATTTTATAATACACAACTGTTAGGGAATTCACACTCGCTTTGTTCGGTTGGGGAATCCCCTTAAGTAATCAATCAATTAAATCCAATCGGCTTAACGAATTGAAAAACTAAAAAAAAAGTAAATTAACCATAAATTTAAAACCTAAGACATACTCCCTATTTTCCAACTAATTTAATAGATCGAATTTAATTAAGAAATTGATATAATTCACCTTATCTGAAGTACCCATAAAATCTCTAATTGATTTTCTTTGCAGTTCGTTGAGGGCACAAATGATTACAACCTTAAGCGTCGACCGGCTTGGTGTGATAGGATTTTGCATCGCGTGCAAAGCAACATTTATCCGGGCATTTCTCTGAGTGCCAAGCAGCTGTCTTATCAGTCTCACATGGACTATATGCTCTCGGACCATAGACCTGTGTCCGCCACATTCAACTATAAGGTCGAGGCAACCAATCAGACATATACCGATGAGGAACTTCACGAAATGACGCACGGTGCTGCTTCAACTCCAACCGCTCCAAAAGTTAGTTTAACCTTCGCTTTTATTGTGTTTGTAGCTGTGTCGTTTACTCAACTTTGATTTCGCTTCCTTTGTAGTTATTTAACGCTGAGCTAGAGCAATGGTAGCGCCGCCATGACGTCACTTAATTGTAAACTTTTAAATCTCTTAGCATGCTTTTAGATGAGATCTGTGTATATAGAGTAATTAAAAGACTTCCTTACAGAAGGAAACTGGCAAACGAAAATAATATCAAGTACAATGTGATGGAATCTCTGCTAATCAAGCATTCATATAAGCAATTCTCAAGTGATTCAAATAATGTTATACGTAGCTTCCAAGTATCTAAACATGTAGTATCAGTCAATTAAGATGAGATTCAGTTATCGTTTAATTATATTAAACAAATGTATTTTTGTACAAAAACCTGTTGATCGAATAAAGAAAAATGTTACCTCTCGAAATGACGCATTTTTTGTTTGCTTTCACAAATTAATTCTACGAATACCATAAATAAAATAACAGATAATATTTCTTAGAATTGTTTTTGGGTTTATTTAATGCTGATGACAACCACCTGCACTTTCTATTTCATTTATTAGCTATGTTTCTTGGGTCGAACAGTTCTTTATACATTCGCCTGGGCAAATAAAATTAAGATGTTTATTTTATAAGTATTTAAGCCACCTTTAAATTATGATTAAAGCGCTTTGCTTAACATAGAGCAAATGTTTGGGTCTAAATTAAGTATGGTAAGATAGGTTTTCGCATAAAGGTAATTCATAAATATATATATATGTGTACATGTATTTTTGGATGAAGCGTTTCTAGTTTATGTTGGGATAAATGCTAAAGTATAAACTAACGTAAAATTGCCTCCTCAATTCCCTTATTAACATCATCTTTGTGTTCAGGATTTACTTTAGGTGTGGTTCAGATGGCACAACAACAAAAACATGAAACGAAGTTAACACAATGAAATTTTAAGTATTTCAAATATCTGATTATCATAAATAGGTGTATAAATTGTCCCTTTCGAAGTGTCTGTTCTCGATTTTTATTACTTAGTTCACTAACGGACGTTTTGTTCTTTTTTCTTTGAATTTCTTTGCTTAAATACAAAAGCAATTGGTTTTGTTTCACAGTATACCATTTTGTTTTCTTTTCTTTTTTTTTTAATAACCATACCAAGTGGTCCAAGTATTTGTTGTCGTTGGATATAACGATTGCATAAGAAGCGACACCGAACCACAAAAACCACGCGACCTTATCGCGTGTCTCTGAACATACATAGTTGTTATCTAACTAGTTACATAGATAAGATTGAGTGTGTGTAAGTATAATCTCCAGTCAGGTTTGGTTAATTTCGATTTCTATTGAAGAACACATTTGTCTTTTTCAGCGCTGATGTCAACGTGCTCCAGTTTTCTCGCAATCTCTTGGTCATCTTCGATCCTAAGATAGATAAATGGTTAGCTTCTAATACTATAGTATAACAAATGTTATAAACTTACGCTATCTCCTGGTTGTGCAGATGCTGAACCAATTGGTCACGCTTGTCGACAATAGTCATCAGCTCCTCGAGCAGCAGCCGCTCCTTCTCCCGCTGCACTTCCGTCTTGCGCCAATCCTCCACAGATTGCGCCGCCCGCAGCTCCTGATTCAGCATTTTATACTTTCGTTCCAAATCTTTTTCTTGCTCGCTATAAGAGTAAAAGTAAACACATGATAATACACCACTACTGATAGTAGGGGTTCAAGGAAAACTTACAGTATGTTCAGCTGCATTTGTCGCCGGAGAAGTGCGTTCTTCTTGTTGACCAGCGTAAACCATTGCGATAACAGTTGCTCCTCCGTTTCCGTGGTTTCTGTGGAATTTGTAAATGACTGGTTATTTACAGACAATGATGGGTTTTTTCTTTGTGAAAAACTAAGATTATTAAGGTTGGCCAGTTCTGATTATACAACTCATTATTGGTCAGATTATAAATGGTTACTATACAGATCAACTACAATAATCGAAGAAACCCTTAATGGTTCCATAAATTGAGAAACATACTTTTAAAATTAATTTTAGAAAGGCAAAAACCAGAAATGGCGCTTCGTGCTTATTTTTAGTCTAAGAAGGCGTCCTTTGGCGGTTTCAAAAGCTGCTGCAGAGCGTGGACTCTGTGATTAGTGAGCGTTATATGGGGACAGTTAGAATCGAGTCCGAACATAGTTAGACACAATTTGGAGCGGTTCTCCGGCCAAGTGAACAAGCAAACACAGACATAAATTAGAACAAACAAACGGCACATAGGATGAGCGAGTGGATGCGGTTGAAAGAGGCGAGCGAGCAGGCGGGCGATCAGGGCGATCGAGCGGGCAGTCAGGCGGTGAGGCGTGGCAGTGCATCGGCAAAAGCGATTAGCGGAGCAGCACAATGAATTAGGCATGACAGGATGGGCCGCACTTTACCACAATGACTGGGACTGTGACATAAATGGGAGCGTCGCTCCCGCCGCTGACGGCGTCGCCTATGGCGATCCTGTAGCCGCCGTAAGGAGGCCGCACGACCGGTGGCCGCCAGCGCCAGGACCTCGTCATCGTCACTGCACGCGGGCAGGTTATCACAGGAGGACTGCTGCGAGGAGAGCGCCGACGGCGAACTGTCTAGCATGTGGGTGTAGGGCACAACATGATGGACATGATGCGGGCGCAGATGAACGGTCGTAGTCATGGTCGATGGATGAGTCTTGTTCACATTCACAAAACACGACTGGGAGCGCGGCCGGGGGCGCAGCCGAGTGTGCAACTCATCGCCGGAGTTGCAGACACTATCGCTGGACGTGTCCCGGTCGTCGTCCTCGCTGCACGCCCCACTACCACCACCACCACTACCAGCACCTCCACCAAAAAGACTCTCGTCGTCCGAGTCTAGCAGCTTAATGCGTATCACATCACCACCACCAATACTATTTCGGATTAGCCTAAGGAAGGGGTTGCCATTTTTAGCACCACCACGGCGGTTATTACTTGGATTGCCGCCCATTACGGCACGCAGCTTGGCCTCCAGACTGCTGGCCTTCTGGTCGATGGCCTCCTGTTCCCGCTCTAGAGCCTCCAGCTCGGACTCGATGTAGGACAGCTTGTCACCCTGGAAGCATAGTGAAAGGTTCTTCAATTAGTTATAAATGTCAATCAAGGGAAAGGCCACGGCCACGACACACCAAAAGGTAAACACTTTCTAGAAGCAGCCGTTGCAATGTTGGAAGACTGTAAGCTTACCCTTTTCTCGTGCTTTGGTGAGACGCGATCCATGATCGCGTTAAACGATTGCAGAACTTTCGGATCACTTAATCTATGACTAGGACTGCCTGGCTCCTTAGCCTCCAGCTTCTTCGCATGTTCCGCGTAGAATTCCTCAGCGCCGTTGTGGATGGGCGAGATAGTTCGCTCCAACTTCGGCCGTGTGGGGCTGGTGGGACTATCTACGGAGCCGCCGCTCTTGACGCCCAGGATAAGCCGACGGGCCTGTTCCCGAAGGCGCTGCTGTCGCTCCTCCTGCCAGGGTAAATACATTGAATAAGTGACTATTTGCACTTAATTGGTGCTTTCAATACAGGAAAATAATATAAATACACATGAAAGCGAGGCTTTTCTTAGAAACTGTAATGAAAACTGTTTAGATTATTGTTGAAAGATAATATTTTCAAAGTACCATACGGATATAGCTAATAGTTATACTTTAAACAGTGTAAACTGATACTTTAACTATTTATATTAATAGTTTATTAAACTTTACTTTAGAATTCAAGTTACAGTATCTTCAAGATATTTATTTAGCTAAATATAATACATCAGCAGACTACTATCAGAAAATGAATCTCTTTACAGAAAATGTCACACTTTTCGTTTTCATTTATGTGTACTTATATTCTTAAGTAAATAATAATAATAATAAAAATATTTAAAGGAATTAAGAAGACATGCAAGAGATAAGCTGCGCTGCGTGCGGCGAACTGCGTCTCTGGCTAAAAGCTACTTACGTCGTTCGCGTCGCTGGTGTTGTAAAGCTTTAGCTTTTCCATCATCACCTTTGCTTTTTCACTCATCAGCTTGTGGCGCGTTAATATTCGCTACAAATCATACAGAAAATAAAGCAAAAACAAGAAAACCAAATATATACAAAACTGAAAAGCACTAAGAAATCAACTGCGAATTGGTTAAATCATAAATCGCTAAAGCCAAAGCGCAAACAACTCAATTGATAACTTCAACTCAAAGAGAAGACGATGCTCCTGTTTTTTTACTCACACTGGCCGCCTGGGGATCTATGACGGTTTGGGAACTATTCTCCTTGCCACCCGCTAGTTGTCCTTTATCCAGAGAATCTTCTTGCGGCGGCGGTGTCTGGCAACTGAGCACCGACGACTGATTTGCATGCTGGGATGCATTAATCGAGTTCTTATCCTTCGTAGGCGACAGCACCTTATCCAAAATGTTCTTCGAATTGTTCAGAATCAGATTCTTTACATCCTTTTTGCTTGTGGGCGAGAGTTGGTCTGATTTATTTTGCCCATAGATCTCATCATCGAACGAGTTTTGATGCAGTAGCAGCGACTTCGGGTGTGAAAAGTTGATCCGACTATTTGACAAATTGTCTGACTTGTAGTTTCCAATTACGTAGCTCGACTCATCGGCCGTGGGTCCTATTAAATTGATGGTTCAAAGCGCGTTAAAAGAGTTACCATTAGCAGAAGATAGTTTAAACTTACCAATTTGCTCGATCTTCAGTTGCTTGCCAGTAAAGTGTGCCCTCAACTGATGCAAGTAGGTCATCACGGCCAGCTTATCTGGTACTGTCAGCATATTCATGTCCCGCGGCTCGATAACGCGGGGTATTCCTAAAGATTCAGCCGCATCAAAAGCAATGCGGCAGTTGCCAACCACATCATGGGCGCTTAACTTGGACATATCACTAAAGAAGGGACGAATTTAATTAGTTTACACATAAGGAAAATAATTTTAGGGAATATCAATTCTAAATAATTGATTTTACTTGATTATCTTTTGTAAACTTATTTTGATAAAAAGAAAACCCAAACTAATTCATGACAACTCACATAAGCTCCGGCACAAAGTGATTAATAATAGCGCAGAAGGCCATGCCGTTGCGCCAGCTGGTCGTCAGATTGGTGACTTTAACATTGGGGTAGTCTTTGGTAACTTCTTTGCACCACTCCAGCAGATCCTGTCCGGGGGTATTCTCCTTTAGCACGATCTTCTCCACGGGTTTCAGGCTATTGTTTAACGAGCCAGAGGTACTCAAACCCGACACTGATCCAATCGATTCGTTTATCACAGATGCGGGTGCTGGTGCGACTGCCGGTACAGGTTTCGGCGAGGGTTCGTAGCTTTTCTTCAAGTTCAGGGGCTGTAACTCTGGGCGCTTGGCAGGCGACGGGACCACCACAGACGAGGCATCTTTACTGGATTGACTGTCTTCTTTGGGCTTTTCCTTGGTGGTGCTGTCGTCACCAAAACTCTTTGTGGAATCTGCCTTTATACTTTCCACCCTCAAATCCTGCTCATCTTCCTTCTCGGTGAAGAATAAAGCCCGCTTCTTCTTTGGCTTAACGTCGTCCTTGCTTATTTTAGGTTCAAGTGGCGTTGAGGTAACCATCTTGTCAAAGAGCTCGTTACATTTCGACCTCAATGGCTCCGCTGCAGGTGTCTGCTTTGGTTGCTTTTGATCACCTGGTGACTTAATCGGTGTATTGTCCACCAAATGCTGCACTCCATTGGGGGTTTTAAGGGACTCATCAGCACCACTGGCACTACTGGATGCCCCACCGGATGCAGCTGTGGGCAAGTCTAACTTGTTCGCAGCTTCCCGTTTGCCGTCGGAGTCTAGTTCGAAATGCAATTGATTAAATGACTCTGCCAACGGAGTTGGATCTTCAGATAACGAAGGTACTACATAACAAGAAACAAAAGGAAAAACAAAAACAAAACAAAAAATCAAATATACATTTAACAATTTACGCACAAATTACAAGTTGCAGGAAACCATTCAAGATACGTGATGTGTTGTAGATGTTATGGGAATATAGAAAGGAAATAATTTCTTTTTGAGTCAGATAGAGAGCAATGTCTGTACAGAATATCTACAGATAAGTTTAGAGTCAATTGAATTGTTGTTTTACAGAATTGTATATTGATTATTGATTCGTGTGGATTAGATCATGCATGATCAAGTTTACATATATGGCATCCATCAGATGCCTAATTTGGGAACTCTGATCTATACATAATAAAAACATTTACTAAGGTCTTAACATACATACTTAACCAAAGTGCTTTTGCATAAGCGAAAACGAGTTTTGTATAATATGAACTCCCTTTCCCTTATGTTCAGCACTTGATATACATAATATATATACGCTCTAGTCCACTTTTTACATACTAACAAATACAAATACTTGAAGTTTAGTACATGAAACATGTATTGTTTGATGAATCGGAATGAGTTCTTACCACTTTGGGGGGTGGCCACATCAATGCAGCCATTTAGACTCGTTGTCATATGCTCCAGTTGCTGGGTAAAGTCATATAAATTATCTGTCATTTCACTAAAATTGTCAAGATCGGGAATATCCTCTAAGTCATCCAAAGGCGCCACATCATTGTTGTTTACGGACATCATGGAGACCACACTCTGCATATCCTCATCTCTAGAAGAGATATATATACCATATAATCATTCCTGATTTAAAGAGAATTTTACTTACGTGGCCTTTCCTTCTCTTAAGAATACGCAGCTAATCGTTAGCTCTAAACTAGCCGCTGTAATCTTCTTCGAGACTGGCTTTAGGGTCAATGTAAAGCTCTGCTGAGTGGATTCTATGCTGGCATACTTCCTCATATTAATACTGGCATTGGCCAGCACACGTTTCTTGCCCATTGGAGTAACCTTTTAAAACACATATTATCAATATTATTATCTTCATTAATTTCGTTATGTTTAACCCACATCTTCGATGACAAATGTCCAGTCCTTGTCCTCCAGCTCGTGGGTACGCGGATCCTTGAATAAAGTTACCGATATGGTGTGATTGTCAGGCACTGGCCAGGCTATATTGCCTACTAAGGGATTCATCATATCCGGCTCCCATGGCAACGGAGCACTGGCCACTCGTCTAGATCTTCTGGTCCAAACGATAGAGAGGTTCGATGGCCGCCTAGAAAATGGCCATCACAAAATTATTAACAATTTCATGCCAAATGGATTGTCAAAGTTCTTTCAACTCAATTCGAACAACATACTCGGCATTTTTATTAATTCTATATGTATATATAAGACCATGAATAACAATTTCTGACCGCCGGATGCGGCGTCATTATATGTACACACATATGCAGGCTCTACAGTTGATAAATGTAAATAAGTGATGAATGTTTATTAAACAAAACATTGCATATCAACAGGAAAACGCGGTCATTTGTAATTAAGATATTAAGTATAAATGGTGAGTACAAAAATTTTATTATCAAGAGCCTTTTAATTTTAATATATTATATAGTAAGAATGGGTTTGCATGACAAACTACTGCGAGACATTCGATAAATCTGTAGAATTAGATATTCATTGATGTAATCAAAAATACTTATTATACTGCCGAAGCTTAAGATAATTGAAAGTTTCAGCGAAATTTAAGGTCAACCTTAATTATTACTTAGTTTGTAACTTTTCAAACAAGCTATAAACCTTTTAAAAGCCTTTTCAACCATGAAGTATGGTATCGGAAAAACATCTATCAGCACTTATTTAATAAATCTGTTTGCCAACTCTGATAGGAATATAATTGCTTGGACTTCGGAAAATATGTACTGAAAGAACAATGAGTTAGATTAAACAAGAATTGATTCTAAATAAAAAGAAGCTTAATAAAAGATTTTAAATTCAACATCATATGGTCATGCAGTATGTAAGAAAAATAAAACCTGCCATTAACCCTCTAACCGTCTAGTTCGCTTCTATTTGAAAAGCACTTAAGCCCCGCCCACTGCCCTCCGCCTACTTGAAAGCGATTCCCCGATGAATTAATCCACTTTAATATGGGGCACTTACCACTTGGCGGTGGTTTCCAGATGCAGATCATGGTACGATGCAGTGAACTGGAATTTGGCGGCGCGCTTGAAATTCCGCTGCAATCGCTTCCATACGCTGGCCATTTTAGCGGGTGTAGATCGTAGGGGATACTTAAATTTGGGGACTTTTGATGGGGTTGTTAAAGGTTTGTATAAAAATTAGACCAGTTTTGATCGTCGTCGTTTTTGGTGTCCACTAATTTATTGAGTCATGTTTACCAAGTTAACTTCTGCGGTCGATCTGAATACAGAATGAAACACAATATATGTATAACGCCTGATTATATGCTACAATGTTTCTGGGTCATTTTACAAGGTTTATTCCCAAACAAACAAAAAAGAGAAGGCAAAAACCAGGCGTTAAAGTTTTTACTGTTGTAGAGTTTAACGAAACCGAAAGCTAAAATCTACAAAGCGGAAACACAGTTTTTTATATATTTTTTGGAAATGATTTTATTGCTTTGTTGTCTGCAAAAATACTCAGAACACACACACACGCGCGCTCCGTTCTTGTGTTGTATTTGTTTTTTTTCTTTTCTGTTTTGTGACCTTTAGTTGTCACTTTGCCTTTGTTTTTCTTAATTTTCTTATAAATACTCTAGACATTACAGCTTATTGCTAGTTTTGTTTTTATCTATTAATGTTCTCGCGGGCGTATGTTTGTGTGTTTGCGTCTCACTGGCAAATATTTTAGCAAAACTTTGTATAGATACATAGACGTACATACAAATACATAAATAGCACCATTATGACGTCACTTTTGTTTTGGTCTCCAATTTCTTTTCAAGGTCTCTCGGCTTGGTAACTCTGGTTGCCGTACATTTGCGCGTTTATTACGGGCACTCGCCAGCGTTAAGTTTTTATCACATTACGCGAATAATTTAATTCACACCGATTTACACTTCGATCCGACTTCTTTTTATGTCGGATTGAGTAGAGATGGTCTAACTGCTATAGCGAAGCCGATAGCATTGAGACATCGAACATATGAGCTCGATTTTTTATCGACACTTTTTAAATTACCTGAAATGATATTGAAAGGCATATCGATACAAACTATATTTAATTATTATTATGGATTAGATATATTTTTATGCTCCGGCTAACCAGTTTTGATGTGCCCATTTTTTTAACCCAGATATAAATAGGCCTTTGAACAATTCGAAATATAACAAATAAAAGGTTCACAACCGGGATGCTGCTTAGCATTGACACAAATCATTCTATGTTTTCTGAAATTGGACAAGGTACATTCAACCAACAATCCAATCACTTTTATTAGCCTTCAACTAGGAGTTTCAACTTGAACTTGTTTTAAACGCAATTCGATAAATTTTATTTATAATTAAATCATGGGTTCGTTAACATTAATTACAATTATTTAAAAATTAGGCGTGGCTGCTGTTGTTGTTTCTTTTTTTTTCGTTTTTCGATTTGTATGATCAAGAGAATGTTGTTTAATTGAATGTGAAATTTGCGGTTGTTTTTTTCTGCCGTTTATGAGTCTGCATATGTGCCATGCAAGTGTGTGAGTGCGCATATGAGTACGAGTCTTTGAGTGCAGCTGTGTGCGTGTGTGCGTTAGCGGTTCGAATCGGTTCGGCGTGGCAGAGGCTATTATAAATATTATATATTTTTACCGTTTACGGTCAAAATCCTGGCTTTGCGATTATATTCAAAACTGAGAGTTTAAAAGTACAAACTGATGATTAAACTGGTTATCCTGGCAGAGAGTTAGTTATCAGAGATACAGAGATACAAAACGGGCGTATCACACAAATAAAAAGCGTTTGAACAAAGTCATAAAAAACATGTCATAATATGTTAGGTGCATGAAACACGAAGATATCACAAACAATTTGCTATCAATAATTTAAAAGATAATCACAATTGGTTCTGAACCAAGCAACTGCAACTATCGATTCTACAACCGAGAATTTGTTGGAAATGCTCCACTCTTTCGCTCTCTACCATCCATCCTATATCCTAAGCTATATCCAGCCATTGGTCACGCCGACCGTTAATCCGCCGTTAAACGCTACACAGTTCATCCACAGTCGTCTAGGTCTTCTGCTTGTCCTTGCAGAACTCCTTGAATGCTTGTTTGGATTCCTCGTCCATCTCAGCATCCATTTCCAAATCGTCGCCTTCATAGTTATCGGCATCGCTACCATCACCGTCTTCGGCGGCCAAGAAGTCGGTCTCCTCGGCGGTCAATTCTCGACCATCGGGTCCATAGAAGACGGGCTCATCACTCAGGCGAGGTGGTTCGACCACAGTATCCTCATCGCCACCTAAAGCATTCGACACCTTTCTGCCCCAGTTGTTCTGCTGTAGGGAAATCACACTGGCCACCATGGGATACTTGCCAGGCGAATTCATTTCAATCGCCTGCAGGGCTGCGATAATCTCCTGAATGTCCGCCGGGCAGTCGGCTGTCAGATCATAACCAGCTAGCTTAAGGGTCTGACACAAGCAGCGCACGTTCTCGTTGCTTTCTTTGAGCAGCAGCTTACTTAGCGAATAAACGATATTCACGGCAATCAACTGAATGCGTGAGTCGTCGTCGCCGCGCAATTGCATGTAGAGCTCTGCCAGGAACAGGGCCGTCTCCCGTACCTTCTGCTGCTCATTGGAGCACATGTACTTGGTCACCTCCTCCTGGTGATAGTCCAGCTTGCACTTCAGGAGCGTATGAAACATAGAGTCCGGCTTCGGGTTAAGCATGTGCAGCAGGTTGTACAGCTTGGCGCCCATGTACCGGAAGTTCGGTTGCTGTATCGACTTCTCAAAGATGTCCTCCATTGCAATGGACAGAACAAATTGGTTGTTTTCCATGCCGTCGAAAATGGTCAGGAAACGTGATGCAATCGAATCAAATTGGCCCGGATTCTGAAAAAGGGTTGTTCAATTTACTAGTTAATTGCACAGTTCTTCGTTTTGGTTCGGTCCTAAGAGTATTGATTAATCATTAGGTTAGTATATACAATTTATTGTAAGTTGAGACCAGCAGATGCACAAATTATAAAAAAAAAAAATGAAATATTCGAAAATAAAAAATTGTTTTCAATGAAATTCTCACCTGGTTAAGGCAATGTATGACTGTATCAAGATACTCCAGTGCAATGGTGGCCATGTCCGGCTGCGAAGAGTTCGAGGACGACGAAGAGGCCGCCGCGGACGACGTGGATGGCTGCGGTTGCTGCTGTTGGTTCTGGTTCTGGAAATACTGCTGCTGCTGCTGGTTGTGCTGCTGGTGGTGCGGCTGTGTTTGCTGTGCGATTGGTTGGAATGAGTTATTCAAGTGAGTATACCGTTGGAACTTGGCGTTTTGGTTGTGTGGCTGATGCGGCTGCTGGTGGTGTTGTTGTTGTTGGTGGTGGTGTGTATTTTGTGGGTGTACCTGCTGGTGCTGTTGATAGTAGTTGCCAGCCGAGCCCTGCAGGTTGTTCAGGTGCAAGCGATTCTGCACGGAATTCGTTAGCTTATGCATGTCGTTATTGAACTTGTGCTGATGATTGTGATGATGATTATAGTGCGGCTGCTGATGGTGATGCTTATTATAGCCGTTCACATAGCGCTGCTGCTGCTGCTGGCCATGGGGAGCTCCGCCGGATCCGCCAGCCTGCTGGTACTGCTGATGACGCGGCTGCTGTTGTTGTTGCTGCTGCTGCGGTGGACCAGCTGCTCGAGGGACAAAAATGGAGGCCGAGGGCGACAGCTTGGACAAATCCGACAAGGCCTGGGCTTGGTAGCTCCCAGCTACCTGAGCATAGCCCTGGGCACCGCCAAAATCTCCAAAGAGGTGAGCCTGTTGCTCCAGTCCGGGCATAGCCACTCCGACCGATCCACTGGCATTTGGCCGCCGAAGCTGCTCATACTGATCGTCGGGCTGGAAGGGGGCTCGGCATGACATCGCGTGGGACTCGAAAACTGCAAATCACGGAGCAGAGTTAAGCATGGAGAAGGGAATTAATAAATCTTTAAAATAAAATCACATTCGCCTTAAAAATCCAGCGTGGTTACGTCTGAATGCGTCGGGGACGCCAATTCCGTCAATGTCGCGGACATTTTGTTTTCCTCGCACTGGTTTTTCGCCTTTCTTTTTTTTTGAGTCTTTTTTCTCTGTTCCGGCCAATCGGTGTCTGCAGTTAACTGTATTGGCTTTTCCGGGTGTCGGAAAGTCGAGAATTTGCAATGCCTACCTTAATTCTGTGGAAGTTGAACGTATACGTCGCCGATTTTCTTTTTGTTGCTTCGTTTTGCTGCGTCGTCACTTTCTCGTCTGCGTCTGCTGCGCTGCTCCGATTTTTCTAGCTGATATTTGGGTGGGATTTTCTGTTTTTACTGACCGTGGGCAATGTAAAATTGACAGGGGGCAATGGGGGCCACTGGCCGCCAATAAGGAGTGGAAAAATCTACGCACCTTTTATTTGCGCTACGGCAATTTGCTACAATTAATTATTTTATTTCGCCTTTTCACCGTCGGTGTGGTTGCAAGTGGCTAGCGATAAATTACCTGGCCGAGAGTACCTTTGTTGTCTTCGGATCCCGAAATTTAGCAACATATCGTTATTCGGTCACACTAAAAACGAAAGGGTGGTTGAGTAGAAGTCCTGATTATCACTAAGTTTGATCCTCTGATAAAATTTCATATTGCAACTTGATAACCTCTAAAGTCAGACTACTAATGACATAATAAATGAAATAATTTGAAAATGGTGTTTCTTACATTTTCTAGCTTATGAACATAAAAATCATAAATTTATCAATTTAATGGAGCTTTAATACTATAAAATATTTTTATAGCATGCAAATGCTTACTACAAATATATGTACATTCATAAATGCTGATGAATGTATTTAAGTGGGAAAGCTGTCTTTAACTTTAACTTTGAAATTCTCGGCAACCCTATAATGATTGTTACCAGACAACATTATTAGTATTTTTAGCAAGCGGCCACACCAGCCGAGGAATGTGTTGTTTTTTCGTTTGTAATTGTCTGTTTAGTTTAATGCACGCAAATTTTTATTTGTTTTAACCTCTCGTGTCCCGCTTAGTGTGTCCTAGTACAATGTGATCACAACGAAAAGTGCAACAAGAGCAGTCGTAGTATCAATTTAATTAATATTAAGTGCAATATTTACACATATATAAGCTAAAAACTAAGGACGATTCGTTAAAAATAAACGGAGCGTAAGTATGCGTAAAATGCAACTATATATATGTACATACATATATGTACATTGCAGGTAAACGCACACCTGTATGCGTTAGTTCGTCTTCTATATAAGTACAATTGTTAGTCTTTTATTAGTTGAGTACGTCCCCGCTTTATTCTTTTGTGTTTCGCCGCTCTTTAGTGCCAAAACACACGGCACTGCGATGTGTTTGTGTGCTTATATACTTCTATACATATTGACACATACAGATAGCTGAGAAGTTCATTCACATTTATCAGTTGTTTATACTTTTTTTTGCATACTAAACTTACTACATAATTATCTGCACATCAGCCACCGCAACTTAGTCATTCATCTTCCGTCTCTGTCTGAGCCCGCATATCGCTTTGTTCTTTTTTTTTATTCGGACCGATTTTGATTCTACGGCCATGGGAGAATAGAACCATGCAACCAGAATTGCCTTTTTCGATAAGTGCACTGCCACTCACGTATTCCTAGCTATTTTGAGTCGATCTTGCTCGACTCCTTCACGGTCAGTCAGTTGTGAAATTACAGATCTCTAGTTGGAGTTGGGGTTGCATCTTGTTCGGCGGCTCCACCCTTCTTTTATTTCACCATTCGGTGGGTTCTCCTGTCTTTATCGCTTGATAATGGCGTGTTCCGATAAAGTGGGTCAAGACTGCTTGGCGCCAAGAAAATTGCCATATATACATACATATGTACATATATCTATTCAGGTGTAAAATAATACATATGCAGAACATTGTCTGACTCAACTAAGTAGTACAAATTATCAAACGTTATAAATTGTCTTTATCAAGAGCCAACTTCCGTATCTAACGTTAGATTCAACACCTCTTATCAGATTTAGAAAGAGTATTTGTGTATATCACGTATCAAAAAGGTTCTTTCTATTTTTGGGTAAATATATTAGATTGCAATTATATTAATATACATATGTTGGATTTTAAATTATATAGAGCCATGGCCAACATCAACGTGGAAACAAGCGGTCACCGTTATTATTATAAAGACTTGTTGATGGTGTTCGTGGATGCATTTGCGAAGGATTTCGACTGCAAAGATGTCCAGGACACTATGAAAGAAATATTAACCAGGGAAGAAATGGACAACATCTTTAAGTCTAAGGATGAGTGGGCAGCCACACTTCAACTATTTTGGTACCTTCTCCAAAAGAAAGAGGATATCGTCAGGATCTTCGTGGAACAAGTTCTCAACGCAAATGATTCGCCTAACTACGAGTTCCTAATGGCTGCCATTAAAAAGGAACTTAAGCACCCAAGCTTGGAGACCAGAGCATATATCGAACAACGTGATCGCATTTATAACGACAACCAAGTATTTTCCAAGTACAATGTCAACCGTCTGCAACCGGTACGATAATTCAGAAAAATAATATTACTAAATTATTATTTATATAACTAGAGTATTCTTTTTATTTGCAGTATCTCAAATTGACGGAGGCTCTTCTAGAGCTTCGTCCTGCAAAAAATGTGTTGATCGATGGTGCCCTAGGATCGGGAAAGCATTGGTTAGCTCTTGATGTGTGTTCATCCTACAAAGTTCTACTTAAGATGGAGTTTAAAATCTTTTGGCTAGACTTAAAGAACTGCAACAGTTCGGAGACAGTTTTAGAGATGCTACAGAAACTGCTTCACCAGATTGATTCCAATTGGCCAAGTCATACCGATCAGGTCAGCAACATCGAGCTTCGTATTCATAGCATTCAGGTAGAATTGCGACGCCTATTGAAGAGCAAACCTTATGAGAACTGTCTCCTTGTCCTGCTTAATGTCCAAAATGGAGAAATTTGGAATTTTTTTAACCTGAATTGCAAGATTCTTCTGACGACAAGGTTCAAGCAGGTCACTGACTTTCTCTCAGCACGTACCACAGAACGTATTTCACTTGATCATTCATCGATGTCGCTTACGCCGGATGAAGCTAATTCTTTGTTTCACAAATACATACACAGCAGACAGCAGGACTTGCCTCGGGAAGTGCTAACAACGAATCCCCGCATACTGAGCATCATTGCCGAGAGCATTCGTGATGGTTTTGGCACTTTGGACAAATGGAAACAGTGAGTATAAAATGGCATTTTCCACTGAGATAATAATTAAGTAACATTTTCCTTTCAGTGTAATTTTAAATTGTAATAAGCTGACGACAACTATTGAGAGTTCTTTAAGCGTTCTAGAACCCGTTGAATATAGAATAATGTTCGATAGACTGTCCATTTTCCCTCCATCTGCCCACATACCCATTTATGTAAGTTTGTTTTTCATAACATATTTTGTTATTTATTTTTATCAACTTCCTGTTGCGCAGCTCCTACCGCTGATTTGGTTCGATGACAAATCCGATGGTGGCGACGCAATGGTAGTAGTTAACAAACTGCATAAATATTCGTTGGTGGAAAAACAAGCCGAAGAGTCAACTATAAGTATACCCGCTATATACTCAGAGTTGAACTACAAGATTGATAATGTTTCTAAACTGCATCGAAGGATCGTTGAATACTACAAGTAAGTCTTTTTAACATCGTTATTAATAAGTCATATTTTCATTCATCAATCAATGTTTAAGGTACAGAACATCATAAATTTATAATCATGAGTCAGAACTATTTTATCTGATTGTCTATTGAGTGAATACATGGAATTTTGTTTTCTTCTCCTTTAAAAGTATCAAAAAAGCCTTCGATCATGGTGACTTAATATTGCCCTCACTGGATAAATATTTCTACAGCCATATCGGTCATCATCTATTGGCCATTGAGTCCACCGAGCGAAGCATTTTGTTTCGGACAGTTTTCCTGGATTTTCGCTTTTTAGAACAAAAGATTCGGCAAGATACAACGGCTTGGAATGCCAGCGGATCGATATTGAACACACTTCAACAGCTGAAGTTCTATAAGTCATATATTTGTGGTACTTAGAATGATAAAAAACAAAAGAATTTCGTTTACTGTTTTTATTCTTCATTCAGACAATGACTCCAACTATGAGCGCCTGGTGAATGCAATTTTAGATTTCTTGCCACTGATCGAGGAAAATCTTATTTGTTCGAATTATATGGACCTGCTAATGAGTGCCTTGATGGCTAAGGATATAGTGATTTCGGAAGAAGCAGAGAGACAAGTGCAGCGATTTAGCGACCGAGTCTGGTTTAAAGAGTAGTAAGTATTTACCAGCAAGTTAATTTTTTAAGTTCTGAAATTTTTGATTTTTAATACCTATTTATTTTTATTTTCTACAGTGGTCGCTTTCAACAGCACCGCCAGATCATTAACCTGGGCAATAATGAGGTGGTACACGTCATCTATCTTCACAACGACTTTTGCGTGATGGCACTGCGCAGCAAAGGGTTAATGCTAACTGATGTTTCGCTAGAGGCAGATGACACCTACCTCCTGAAGGATGAGGAAGACACCAGTGAAGTCTTGCGGATGGTGGTGTTTAACCAACAGAAGTACGTGATTACTCTGCACAATAACGGCAGCTTAAAGCTGTGGTTGTTGTGGCCCGATTATCCAGGAAGGCGGCACAGTGGTGGCAGCAAACAGCGGGTACGTACTGCCGCCTCAGCCCATCTACGAAACCCGACTGGAACGCGCAGTTATAAGCAGCTAATCAACAGCGTGGTCAAACGTTTCATGGGTAACCATACTGATCAGAAAATTGTAGCTTTTTATTTGGATCAAAAAGCCGGATTGCCAAATACCTCAATTCAACTTCATGTGGCCTTCAGTAATGGTGATGTGAACATCTTAAATTGGGATAAGGAAGATAACGTGTTCAAACTTTCACACACGCCTACCCTCATAACTTCCCAGTTTGACATTCGCTGCATTGTTCAAGTTTTGAAGCGTTATTATGTTGTCTGCACTACCAGTTGCGCGCTTAGTGTGTGGGATCTGCAAAATGGTTCCAGTGAAAAGCTAAAATTTGACGGCTTTAATGTCGATAATGACACGCCATTGGCTTTAGAAGCCTATGAAGAAAGGAATCAGAACGCCACCGTGTTGCTTATTTTCAAGTACAGCGTTTGGAGGATTAACTTTAAACCAGGGCCTTACGTCGATTTGCAATCAGAATCAGTGGAATTGGCCTCGGGCAGTTTCATCACATGCGGCCAGCGTTCTACTGATGGACAGTATCTCCTGTTGGGCACCTCCAAAGGACTAATTGTGTATGATCTTCAAACATCTTATCCCGTGTTGCACAGTAATATTAGCGAACATATTGAATGTGTCGATATTTATGAGCTATTCGATCCCGTCTATAAGTACATTGTTCTTTGTGGTGCTAAAGGCAAGAAGATAGTTCATGTACACACGTTACGCTCTGTGCGGTCTTCAGATACACATCGAAATCGAGGAATCGCTTGGGTTCACAGTGCAGATGAGAATAGCGTAATGACCAGGGGTTGCCTGGAGCCCAATGTTCATCTCCGCCCTTTAATGGACATGACCAGAGGGAGGACACAACTTTTGGCCGTAGACTCCAAAGAGCGCATTCATCAAATTGAAACTGCTACCGATCCAAGTACTCGAAGGAGATCTAGCATTTCCGCCTGGTCTATAATCACACCCACTCATGCTGCAAGTAACTCGAAGATAACTGCCATATCTGCCTATAGCGACGACCGAATCTTCGTTAGCTACGTGGATGGAGTGACAATAGATGTTAATCTAGATGCGGTGCTACCTCAGCAGTTTATAACGGAACCCATCGATTACCTGAAGCAGATCAATCCGCAAATCTTGTTGGCGTCGGCTAATGGTGCCCAGAAAACTGTGATATTTAAACTTGGGGAGACAGATGACCAATGGCCATTGCAGCTAGATGTAGGAACCAATTATGCGTCCCTACAAATGGACAAGTTTATTATTTTGTTCTCTGAGCACAGAATATGTGTAGGTGTTTAGAATTTAAAACTGTAAAGCTACAAATATATTAATTATAATTGTATCTACAGCATTTGGACTTAGACAATCCGTTCACTGTTGTGAAATCTGAGGAGTCGGAGGAATCCATTGTTGGCTTTGATCTCAAGAACGGTCTTCTGTTTCTGGCCTATGGAAACAACACTATTGAGGTGAGTTTCTTTAATACAGTTCAGAAACGAAAATGACTAACAATAATTACCAACTATAGGTATCCGGATTAATGTTCGGAGATAACCAACTTCGGTATCTTCCGATTTGCGAGGAGAATATTGTCCAAAGGGCTAAGATTAGCTACATGACGGCTACGGCCGATGGTTCCATGTTTGCACTGGGCTACGAAAATGGCATTCTTGAGGTATGATTGGGTAACATAAGTTTTTTAAATAGTCCATGCTAATTTCCATTCCCAAACAGCTATTTTCCCTAGACAACAGGCAAGTCCAACTGATCTACAGTATTAACAATGTCCACAAACACTGTATACGCCAACTTACCTTCTCGCCATGCAAATTGGTCCTGATAAGTTGTGCGGAGCAGCTCTGCTTCTGGAATGTGACGCACATGCGCAATAACCAGATAGATCGGGATCAGAGCCACCGACGGAGTCGGCGCCACAGGCTTCACAGTGTGGATCAAGATGATGTGGATGCGTCGCGCATTCGGTCTGAAAGCTATTCTGATTTATCATTCGTTACCTGCGAATTCCTTTCTGAGAGCCGAGAGGAGGTATTTCTATGGCAGAATAAGCGTGGCAATGCCATCCGCCCGGAACTTTTGGCCTGCATAAAATTTGTGGGCAATGGAGCTAGTCAGTTCTTCGTCGATGACAATTGCTCCCGCTTTTATGCCATAGATAACGAAGGCGTCTACTACAATCTTCAGGTACTTCAGTTAAGTAGATTTGATCCTCCCCCTGAACCTGATCCGGTCGAGGAGATAGAGAAATTGCAATATGACTTGAAGGATCTCAGGATACTCGAAAGCTCACTTTCCGAAATGGAGGATGATAACGAGGGAGCTGATGTGGTGGGCAACCTGGTTTTGGAGAAGAAGAGCGAAATTGATGGAGAAGATGCAATCCCTAGGGAGACCAGCTCATGACGCCAGTGGTGCGCCTCTTGGAGGCGCACGAAACCAAAAAGCTCCAACTACAATACGGCATTTTTAGGATTACTGCTCTACTACCTGATAGTATTGCTTTTCTACCTCCTGGGACCAAATTTTTCCTAGGCAAAAGCTGACTTTTAATTTAAATGAAATGTTGGAAATCATCCAATTACGATATCTCAGAGGGCGGTGGGTGCGTTGCCCTGCCTTTTGTTTGGCAGACCGAGTAACCGCCACCAAATAAACGACATTTTACGAAAAAGACAAAATGCGGGTTTGTTTTCTGTTCTTTGTGCTGTACGTGTGCATGTGTGGGTGGTTGTGTTGTGCGTTTGTTTTGATTTCGGTCTGGCACGCCAGATCGAGTGTTGCAAAAGTTTTGGTCCGGGTCCAGTGTTATTAGGCGTCGTTATTCAATATCAGTGTTGGGGAGAATGCTTGGGTACGTACCTCGATTTGAGTACTTATTTCCTGAAGCGATGATGTAACTCACAATGATATATTGGTGGACAGTACTACAATTATTATTGTAATCTACTCAATTAATTCTATATTTATTTTTACCCTAATGAAACTCCAAGCTCTTTCATTTGTGAAATATATATATAGATTAAAATCTTAATTAAATTGTTGTAATTAGCTACTAGTAAGAAGCAACGCACGCCCTAAGGCTTAAGTTAAAAACATTCCCATAAGCTTTAATTTTACATTATCTTTGTGTACCCTTTTTAGGTACGTAGTTTGTTTTTGTACCCAAACTGCCGACCTTTCCAACACTGGCAAATATGAATTTCTCGTCATTCCAAAAAAAACTTCCAAAAGAAAAGAACGTCGTGTGCGTGTTGATGGCGCGATAAGTAAAAAAAAAAGTAAAAACAATTTTCGCAGCTTTGTGGAAATACAATTAGTGGCAAATACGAGTGCGTTTTAAGTAAGTGCGTGGCGAAAGTGACCGAGCTGAGAAAGAATGATGCGCAGCTCGCTACGCGTGAACTCACTGCAATAAAAGCAATATAAAAGTGACTTATATACATTCTGTGCACCCACACATTGGCGTAAAATGTATATACATAAGAGTGCATTTGTACATTGTGCATATTCGTCAACGGGAAAACATTTATTCGCTGGCAAACGGCAATTGCAAGGAAATATTGTACGCAAATTTGTCTAAAAATGATCTCTAACCTATCGCACGCATACTGATGCAGGGAATGTATGACGGCATATGTGTATTTATTTTCCACACTCGCCTATCGATAGGCTTATATGTGTGTGCTGTAAGTGAGTGTGTGCGTCGAGTGCTGAACTCTTGAACTGCAGTACATGGCTTTAATTCGATTTTAGGGATGTGCGGCTTGGCGATCGAATTAATGAGTACATGATAAACAACTGGACGCTTTCCGAGACTCTGAATCGCTTGTTTTCTTCTAACAAGTGGCTTGCGGCAGCCATATTGTTTTGCCTTGCGTTTGCGGCGATGATCGCACTCGCACCCCCACACACACACTTACACACACACACACAGCCCAGTTTGTGTGTATACATATTTATTCAATTAAATATTTGCGTTTAATTAAAAAGGAGTGAAACTGCAAGATTTGATTTATTTGGGTAAACAAAGTGAGTGAGATCAGTGCGAAACAAAAGAGAGAGAAAGAGAGTTTTTGTTTTTTTTGTCACGCTAATTGAACAAGCGATTAATTGAACAATCAGCTGTTCCAATGGGAAATAGGCGAAACTGGAAAGGATCAAAGGAATTTTTTTCTTGTGTGTCCGCTTTGACCCATTAGTATTTCATTTTTCGGCCAAAAACTTGTTTTTCCCCAACCCCAAGTCGTCATCCATTAAATGTTTCGTGAAAACTAGTCAGCAAAAAGCACAACAACAATAAAAGCAGCAACAACTGTTGGCGGAGAGATATAGAGAGAGCGGGAGTGAGAGCGCGCCAGAGCGCAGACGTTAACGGAAGTGAGAGAGAATAAGAGAGCACGACGAGAGAGTCATTGGAATATGTATGGCTTTGGCGCTTAACTGTGTGGGTGCGCTGCAGTTATCTGTGTTGAAATAAAAACAATGAAATTGCAAGGAGATCGCTGCCTGCAGTTTAACCCTCTCTGTGCCCCGCCCCTTAACCCATCACCACCCCCACCCAACAAAAAATAAAACACAAATATTTTAATGTACATGCATTAATGGCCATAATGTCTTCAAATGAATTTCTGTGCGCACAGGTTTAAGTGAAAAGTAGCAGTGCATATATAAAACCCATTCGAAAAGTGCAACAAAAACCCCATAAAAATCAAGAACTAAAGCAACGAAAAATCAACGCAATTAAAACACTTCTGGAATAATTTCGGGCCGTTTTTACTAGCTAATTTAAAAATAGCTACGAAAACATTCCGCAACCACTAGTAGTGACTGGTCCAAAACCAATGCGAACAATACACCCTGGAATACTCCAATTTCGAGTGGCCTACGCATGCCTTTGAATTCGCATTTTCACACCCGCACATTAGCCAGCAAAAGCCATCGCAGAAAACCCTATGGATGACCCATCAATCAAAAAACGGTAAGTACATCGCATCCACAGCGCCTATGTCCTATGATTTTCAACAACTAACCATATTACTCATTGGTTTAATTGCCCGAATTACGATAAGACTTTATCTTTCGCAATTACACTGTCCTTGAGAAACTTTATAAATGTTATTTTCTCTCTTATTCATACGCCACAGTCGATAAAAATACAGTATAGATGCATTTTAAATGCAAATTCTGAAGGCAGTGTCAACTGGTTGTGACGAATACAAATTTTAATTAAATCATACAGTTATGTATTCGAATAATCTAACATAAAGCCAGATATCTTAAGCAAACAAAACTGAGAACGGTAGCTTAAGAGTTTTTAGAACAAAGATATGATTTAAAATTCTTTACGCTACAATCACTTTAAAAAACCGCCTTATTATGTAAACTCGTGGCTAAAATAGATTGAAATCCTAATATAAGTTTTAACGATATTTTCAAAACAAAGTCAATACAAGGAGTTCTTATTAACCACCTTTTAAAATGTATTATTATATCTTAAAGTAAAAGGTATAAAGTACAGAATTTTGTCAGTAGCCTAAAAACCCATGTACATTTATGAGATAACTTTCCATTAGATCACCGATCAACTTTTGTAATAAATTACTAATTCATTTGACCCATGATTAGTCACCTAACGCTGTTTGAAAAATGCCAATTGGCGAGGTGAAACTTTTGGTTTTTTTTTTTGCTGTCTCACAGTTCTGAAACGCACTGTTTGCTGATTGTTTATACCAATAGTATACCCCAAGCTTGGGGTTGTTTTTGTGCGGTTTCGACTAACAAATGGATGACTTAATACATATATACTGGCACCAACTTAGGGAGCGGCCAGTTTTCACATTTTACCATTTATTTCTTTTATTGCCACCAGGGGAAGTTTTAGCCCAAATAGATTGGCGAAAACATTGACTTTCTATAAGCATGTTGTTTGTGTGGTGGTGCATTTTGTGGTGGTTTTCTTTTAACCGTTGAATGTATATTAAGCATGCAAAATGATTTAAATCCATGTATTAACAACTTGACTAGGTGTCGCTCATTTGGTTTTATTTTTTGGTCGTATGGTTTGTGGGCTTTAACTGGTTTTACTTAGCCCCGTCATCATCGGGCTGCAGCAAGATTTCTTCAAAAATTAGTAGCTAAATTTAGACGTCGAGAGAATTCTCTTAGATCAAACAGAGAGACATGTTATTGACATGGGCCAATCAGTCAAAAAAAAGTTAATGTAAACATTTTCGTTTTGGAGGTCTTGTCCGGCTGTTATGGAAATAACATCTCATCATAATGATGAATTCACCAGGCGGGAAATGAGCTTTTATTATAGTCCGGTATATAGACAGATCCCAATGTACGTACATACTACATACTCGTGTATCCATTCCATTCACATGCAAAATGATCAAATAAACAGCAATTAAACTGTATCTATTCTTCTGGCTGATTTAATTTTAGCTCAATTAAAAGAGACCCACCAGCGACGACAGATCGCTTGGCTTTGGCTTTGGCCGTGACTTTCGTTACATGTTTGTCGCATTCGCGGCGTGGTCTTGATTAGCCACTAATCTAGCTATCTGCTCTTAAAAAAAAATACAGCATACCTCTGTATGAGAATCGTTGGCGAACGGCAGAAGCAGTTCCGTCATGAAATTATTTAGCATTGATTACCTTTCATAGATGATTGACTTGAAACTCTGTGGGTCCCATTCAAAGGTTGAAGGGCAGCTTTCCAAAGTCTAGTATTGAAAAATTATACTTTGCATAAACTCACCATTATTGTAAATAAACAAAGGAAAACATTTTTCAACGTACAAAAATAAATTTTATCTTTATTACAATGATGGTGGTAAACAATCTCTGGGTATATAAAGGGCGATAAAAGGTTTTACAAGATTATTAAAATGATGTTGGCGACAATTCTGTGGGAATAAGTAAAGATAAACATTTGATAGTGAGGAATTATTAGTCATTTATTGATAACTCTTTGAGATAATTAAACAATTTAGCTTTGTGGCTTTTTTTATATTAAAATCAGTTTGCCTTGCGTGCTCTAGAGATCAAGATGGACCTATTTTCAAAATGGTTTTAATTTTTTTCTATTTAAAATATTTATTAAATTAAATAATATATTTTACTTTGCAGGTTAATAGATCTATATACTGACGAACATGAATACGATGAGGTTCAGGAGCTGCCAGAAGAGTCAAGCATTCAGCCCCCGGAGTCATCAGCGAGCAATCCCAGCACGAACGGTGCCAGCCATTCAGGACCTGGAACTGCAATTGGATCAGGAACAGGAACATCAGCAGGAGGTCCAACATCGGTTGCGTCACAGTCACCAGCAATTGTTGTGGATTCGGTTCCCGAGCTGCCAGCGCCTAAACAGAAATCTGTAAAGAACACAAAGAGCAAACAGAAGCAAAAGCAATTGGCGGCGAACAAGTCGAAGATACCGCGTTCCCCTTCGCTGGCTAGCAGTCTGAGCAGTCTGGCCAGCAGCCTGAGTGGTCATAGGGATCGAGACAAGGATCGGGAAAAGGATCGAGATCGAGATAACCACAACCAGAGCTCCGTGCCTCCACAGACGCCGCCGTTGCCAGCGAGCTACAAACAGAGCCAGATGAATGGTGATACAACAACTGCAGCTGGTGGTGGTGTTTCTGCCCCAGCTACGCCCACATCCGCCAACAATAATAATGCGAGCAATAACAACGGCAGCATAATGGGCGGGGGCGGGCACTTGAATCAATCGGACCACGCCAACCCCGTTCTTCAGGCGCCAGGGGAGCGCAGTAGTCTCAATCTGACACCCCTCTCCCGGGATATGGGTGGTGGCCATTCCCAGGAGCCCACGACGCCAGCGACCACGCCAACGACGCCGAGCATAGCATTACCAAAAAATTTTCAGTATTTAACCCTGACTGTCCGCAAGGACAACAATGGATATGGAATGAAGGTGGGTGGTCATGGTAGAAGACTACCATGCTTCGAATACACTTCTTGGTTTTATGCCTGTTAATATACATTTTCAAAGCTTAGTTAAACAACAATTTTTAATTAAAACAACTTACAAATGACATACAATTTAGCTTTAATTAATATATTAATTTCGACTTGTAATTACTTTAAAAGTCATAATGATTGATTTTTATGTTTAGGGATTTTTCCTTGTAATACAGATTTAAGCTTAGGCAGATGTGATTTCAAAATTTAAATAATATAAAAAAATGTATTTTATTTTTCAGGTTTCTGGAGACAATCCTGTGTTTGTGGAAAGTGTTAAGCCCGGAGGTGCAGCTGAAATCGCAGGCTTGGTTGCTGGCGATATGATACTGAGGGTTAGTAGTAATACTTCTTCTAGGACAAAGCGGTTTTTATTTTTTAAATCTGTTACTTCAGGTGAATGGTCTTGAAGTTCGCCAAGAAAAGCATCCAACTGTAGTGGGTCTCATAAAAGGTATGTAAACACAGTAAAAATGAAGTTAACCAAATTTATTTACAAAAAATTTGGTTAATGGATTGAGATTTTTTTCAATGGGATTTCTAGGCAGAGGTGTCTCTAGGTGTTTTTTGGCACTGTTTGCAGGAGTTGATGGACTCTCGGCGAGGTTCTGGATGCGGTGCTTCACCGCATTTGCATTTCGATTCGTTGTCTGGAAGTCTGGTGCATTTGCGTTTGTTGTCCTTCCAATTTTCCGCTTGGCGTTTTTTGCACTTGGAACATTCACACGGCGGCTTCTTGGGTAAACGAGAATCGTAGATGAAGCTATCCCTGTTTCGATTGCATCCTGGTGGAATTAGAGGAGCTTTAGGACAATTCTTGTCATTGCAGTGTGGTGGCATTAGACCCGGTGGCCTGACAAGAGGAGTCTCATCCAGCTGTCCTTTGGATATTGTGATCTCCTTCTTTTTGGACTTAGTTTCCTTGATGTACTTTTGGATAATTTCAATAAAGGCGGTCACATAACCTGGGACGTTAGACAAAAATGATCCCAATCCAGCAGGGATAATGCTTAGAACGTCGAAGAATGATTTCACTAACTGATTGTAGTAATGGATGCCAAAAAAGGTCCACTCTCCCTCCGGTGGCGGCCTTGGTGGGCAGATATTAAGTTTGCGTCGCGCCCGATCGGCAAAGGGTTCCAGGCGCTCAACTGTGTCGTCATATACATCCTGCGTCTTTTCCGATGATTCCCAAACGCCGTAATTTTTAGTGGCTATAACCACAGCGTAAACAACGCCCGCCCGCAATATCAGGCCCAAAACCATTTTAGCTATCGCCTGAACCCCGATCTCGTAACGATGTTTCTAAACTGCTCTCGAATTATTGACAATCGATGACATGCTGTTTAGGATGACTTTTTCTTGCCGCATGTTATGTCGTCCTTGATCTTGGGTGATCGCACTGGGCGGTTGGATTTTTTTTCAATATCTTCAAAGACATTTTCACTGGTACTCTCTGAAAAGATTATACCATAACGCTCAGAACGATGGTCTCCGTAGAACTTTGAAAGCTCCGAGTCTTTGCTGATTTTTGAGGTCTCAAATCGATAAGCTAGAATGTCCTGGGTCTGCTCCTTGAAGTCTTTAGCCCAATGGGACATTCGAAGGGAGAAGTAAAAACCTCGCTGGAGGGCCTCAATGCAGTTGTTCGCAGCCGTAAAGACAAACTCGTTTTCTTTTAAAAGGGGATTAGTCTTTGTCAAGTTTTTTAAGGCTTCCTGGACCACCTGTACCTCCGGCTTGTCCGAATCCATCATTTGATTCATAGACATGGCAATGCCGGTTTTTAGATCCAATTTCGAACAAATGCTAGTTTACTTTAGGTATAATTTTGATTCGTCCCTTCCGTCTGATACTTTTTTAAAACATTTCATGTGCTTAATATCAAACAATTTTCAGTTTTCTTGAGTTAAATTTTATGTTTACTAAGTTTTGTTTTAGACGAAATGCTTTAAATGGTCAGGGTACATATTATACTTTTTGATATATTATTGAGTTTAAGATTAATTGAAGCTTAATCCCTTGAAAATGTAATTTTATAAGGAATTTTAATAATATAACAATTTATTTATTTATCCCCTTTAAAAAATCGACAAATGGTATCGGCCATGCTATCGGCAGTTTCGCGCCAGTAGGATGGAATCTTTTTTAAGGCCAGCCAAGTATCATAAAGAGCATCGCCTATGCTTTCGCCTAAGGGCTTTGGAGGAGGCTCGCAGATGCTTCCCTTGGGGCAAAACTTTTTCTCCATTTCCTCCTTCTTTCGTTTAAGTTTTCGTTTGTCCTCCTCATCAAAGAAAACATGCTTGTTATCAGGACTTTTCTTCTCTTCTGGTTGGCCACTCTGGTTGCTCTCTGCCTCAAAAGGTTCTACTTCTAATCTAGGGGTATTCGGTTCAATTGGATCCTCAAAGACACCCAGTTCTTTGCCCAAATAAAATGAGCCGGCAAATAGCACGAACTTTATGAGTTTCTGCAGGATCATTATAAATTTGTATTGGGGAAGGTTGAATAATTTGAATAATTCATTGCGTTAAATATTGAAGAAATTTACTAGAATAATTTAAAAAATAAATATATTAGACAAGATAAGCAAAGTTAACCTAATTTTTGTTATATTCTAAGCCTCGAACACTGTGGAGCTGGCGGTGAAACGAAGTCAGAAGCTGACGCGACCCACTTCGGTCTCTGTGGTAACGCCATCGACACCCATACTTTCAGGACGAGATCGAACTGCATCCATAACAGGACCACAGCCGGTGGATGTAAGTTTTTTTTTGAAGTATACGCATATAGATACGAATTTCATTAATTTGTTTTCTAATTGCAGAGTATCAAACGAAGGGAGATGGAAACGTACAAGATTCAGACTTTGCAGAAAATGTTGGAGCAGGAGAAACTAAACTTGGAGCGTTTGAAAAGCGATCAGAACAATCCGAGCTACAAGCTGTCCGAGGCGAACATCCGTAAACTGCGCGAGCAACTCGTTCAAGTGGGAGCTGAGGTAAGTTTGGGAGATAATCAATAGGTTTTATAAGCTCGTACTCTTAAGAAAGATAGGTCAGCGAAAATGTACGTAAACCCTGGAATCCTGTCCCTCCCAAAAATATGATATTAATGCCGCAAGCAGATGCCAAGCAGCTCTGTTAACCTCAGCTAATAATACAATCTAACAATGCTCTTTCGCTGTTCGTAACAATATTGAGATGTGCGCTAAACGAAACGAGAGTTTCAAAACTAAGTCAGTTAGAACTGAATGATGCTATATGATATCTATCTTTCTCTTCCATTTTGCGGCATTCTAACGCACACCCATGATGAAACCCTAACACAGGATGCACCGACTGTTAAACTTCAGGCGGCCGCTGGCAATAAGAACACAGCATTACTAACGCCCAACCAAATCCAACACTTGTCCGCGTCCGCCACTCACAGCAATCAGCAATTCCATCATCTTCACCTCCACCACAATCTCCACAACAACAATTATCCGCCACAGCAACAGCCAGCTAGCACCTCACCCGCATTCCTGTCCCTCCTGCCGCGTTCCCTTTCGTCCCTGTCGCTGGGTACGCGCAAAAACAAGATCGAAAAGGACCTAACAACTTCATCTCCATTTGGCCTCACAACGGACTTCCTCCAACAGCAACGGTTGAGCCATCAGGCGGAGTCTATGTCGCAGTCGATGCATCAGCACACCAGCACCCCAACCTCGCAGCAGTTCTTCCATCCGCATCAGCAGCAACATCGTTTTAAGGATTCTGGATCATCTTCGAAAGGCAAGAATAAGTTCTTGATTTCAAGGAGTTTGATTGAGGAGGATGTCCCACCACCATTGCCACAAAGGAATCCGCCCAGGCAATTGAATTTGGACTTAAAGAATGGAAATGCATCGCCGGGAGGTTCTCATTTGGTGGCTCCTGTTTCCGATCTGGATCGTGCCACAAGTCCCCAGTTAAACAGATCCCAACAACAACAGCAACAACAGCTGCCCAGCAGCACAGACAACAGTCCAAGCAACGCCAAGTCCAAGCGTTCAAAGATTAAAACAAAGGCGTTGTCCGATCCCAAGATGTCTACCCAGATGTTTCTGCAAATGGAATCGTCAAGTGCAGCGGGAGCAGGAGGTGGAAACATTGAAGTCGATGGTGGCCCACCGCCACTGCCACCCCGTTTGCCTGGAATGATGACGGAGGACATGAGTCGCGGCAGTTGCCAGAACCTCGCTCAACCCAATTCCGTGGGCACTGCCTTCAATTATCCTCTGGTTTCTACAACTACGGCTGTTCAGAATGACAATCTGAACATTGCCTTTCCTTTGTCCCAGAGGCCTAATATTGTCCAACAACTGCAGCAATATCAACAACAACAGCAACATCAGTTGATCGGTGGCCAGGCCACAGGCGTAAGTAGCTAACGAATCACTCGATTTCTTTATCTCTCTGCCAACAAAATAAAAACACTGCCGATAACTTAATCCTCTAATTCTTTAATTCTCACACCCTTTTCCATTCTCTAACATTTCTCTGTTTCATGCTTCTAATTATATAATCGACGCTATCATAAGTTGCCAATGTTAATAATATTAATTTTAATTAGCTTTTCGCTAGCTCAACTAACAGCAACAGAAAACACTCTTAATTACACATTAAACTTGAATAACACGCAGGAAATTATTGTTATTATTTTTGGGTATTTGCAACGAAGATGTAGACTTTGAAAAGCTATTTGCAGGTTATATTATTTATTATTTTATGTCTGATTTGGTTTTAAATTATGTTGAATCTTGCAATGGTATTAATGAACGCATTAAACTTCTCAGGCTCTAGGACATACTCCAAATATGGTGAAAAATAAACATCGACGTGTTGGTTCTTCACCGGACAATATGCATCCACGACATCCGGGTAAGAAAATGTTTACCTACTCTTTTTAAATGCCAAAATTAAATAAATGTTTATTAACAGATCGTATGACTAAAACTACTTCGGGTTCATGGGAGATTGTTGAAAAGGATGGGGAAGCCTCCCCGCCCGGAACACCGCCACCACCGTATTTATCCAGCTCGCACATGACTGTTCTGGAAGATCCCAACGAAAACTGTCGTGAAGTAGGTGCCGCTAGGCCAGGAGTCTTCATCGAGTCGCATCAGTTTACGCCGATGGCGGGAGCTGCTTCTCCGATCCCGATGTCCCTACATTCCGGCCATACACAGGCGGCACAATCGAACGATACACAAAAGGAGATCATCTCAATGGAGGATGAGAACTCGGACTTGGAGGAGCCCTTCATCGACGAGAACGGACCGTTCAACAATTTGACTCGCTTGTTGGAGGCCGAGAATGTCACTTTCCTAGCCATATTCCTAAACTATGTGATCTCGAACTCGGATCCAGCGCCACTTCTCTTCTACCTGATCACTGAGCTGTACAAGGAGGGCACCTCCAAGGACATGCGCAAGTGGGCCTACGAAATTCACTCCACATTCCTCGTGCCGCGGGCTCCATTGTCATGGTATCGCCAGGATGAATCTCTGGCTCGCGAAGTGGATAATGTGTTGCAGTCGGAATTCGACAAGGTAGAGATCCTACGCACTGTTTTCCTACGCAGTCGCAAGCGAGCCAAGGATCTAATCAGCGAGCAACTGCGCGAGTTTCAGCATAAACGCACCGCCGGTCTGGGCACAATATATGGACCCACGGATGACAAGTTGTCCGAGGCGAAGACCGATAAGCTGAAGGAGCAAATCATCGACAAGTATTTGATGCCCAATCTGCACTCGCTGATGTGAGTATTATATTGTATTTTGCCTTTGTTATATTGATATATTTTACCTACTTAGTGAGGATGAGAACGGTTTACCGCCTGAGGATGTGCGTAAAGTGGCCCTATGTTCGGCTCTTTCTACAGTCATCTACCGAATTTTTAACACTCGTCCGCCTCCGAGCAGCATTGTTGAGCGGGTCCACCACTTTGTGAGCAGAGACAAGAGCTTTAAATCCCGTATTATGGGCAAAAATCGGAAGGTGAGAGAAATTTAAAATGCTATATTTATTCTACATCATAACTAATACAAACCTATCACCCTGCAGATGAATGTTCGTGGTCATCCATTGGTATTGCGTCAATACTATGAAGTGACGCACTGCAATCATTGTCAGACGATTATCTGGGGTGTGAGTCCGCAAGGTTATCATTGTACAGGTGAGCGGCTCTCTTAAATTTGCCTTTAATATAAGTATATTTCATAAAATTTTTGTTTATAGACTGTAAATTGAATATACACCGTCAATGCTCGAAAGTAGTTGATGAGAGTTGTCCCGGTCCCCTGCCCCAGGCGAAACGTCTCCCCCATAACGATAAAATCAGTAAATTCATGGGTAAAATTCGACCGCGTACTAGCGACGCTATTGGAAGTATGTAAAATGAACTTTAAGGGGAAATTTTAATACAAATGTCATATTTTCTCTATTAGATGAAAAACGCAGTCGACAAGATGAGGATTTGGACGTTGAGTTGACTCCAGGTATGATACTAAAAGCATAAATGAAAAACTGATCTTACTTAAAAACTAAAATCTGTGTTTTCAGATCGTGGTCAGACGTCGATTGTGCGGCAACCCTCAGATCGTCGACCAGATGCAAACATATCAATACGATCGAATGGGAATACGTCATGTAACACTTCGGCGCTGAATACCACCGACCTGCAGAGTTCATTTCACGGCAGCTGTGCCAATGACAGTATTAACGTCGGTGGTGGTGCCGGATGTAACATGGATCTCTCCACAAGTGTAGCGTCAACGGCTCCGTCTAGTAGTGGTTCCGTTTCCGCCGGTTTAAGTGCGTTTGCTGATCTGAATGCTCTGGATGCGGTAGATAAAGAAGCTCGAAGGGAGCGGTAAGTAAATGAATTTCACTATATTTATGGTTACTTTAATTACAATCGGTTTCCTTCAGTTACAGTCAGCATCCAAAGCACAAGAGCGCGCCAGTTTCCGTAAATCGCTCCGAATCCTACAAGGAGCGCTTGTCGAACAAGAGGAACCGCAACAGTCGCCGCAAGACCTCTGATCCAAGTTTGTCGTCGCGTCCCAAGTAAGTTTGAGGAATCGATTTCATTGTCATTAAGGAGGAGCTAGAGAAGTTCTGACCTACTGCCTTTAATTCTTGTCCTTCTTGGCCGTCTCAGCTTACCGAATAAATTCTTTCATTCCATGGCCATTGGCTGTGGCCACTCCCTGAATCCTCTCAACTAAAGCATTTTCCTAGTTTTTTGCTGCGGCCGCCAAGTAACCGGATATTAATTTTACTAATTAATGTGAATTGCGTCGCAATGCAATCAATATAAGCTGTCTGTCTTCCGTTGTCGCGTCTTTGTAATGCAAACTTTCCACAGACTTTCCATTGCTTGTTTATTCTAAAAGATTCGCTTTAGTTTGAGTTTTTAATTAAACTATATTTAAGTTGGCAAGGATATGATTAGCAGACATTGCATTAATACATTTTCACAGAATCGCCCCCGCAGGGCTCTCGACCAGGGTATCCAGCCTTCGACTAGTCATTACCACTGCCCCCTTCTAATGTTTACGGTGACTATTACCGCATACGTATGTGTTTAGCAGCCACAGTAGATAGGATAGTTGATTAGACGCCGGCATTGACATCGATTATATTGTCCGCCCTGCTTTTTGCGCCACAATGTAGGACACGCCAGTCCCGTCCAGCCCGGTCCCGGTCATGTTAGTCAATGCCAGGTTGTGTCCTGGCTTCCAGCGACTACCGTTTCTCCGCTTCCTGTTGACAAACTGTTTGAGCAACTGGTTCCGACATATTTTCCTACCAACACACCTGCCAGAACGGGTGCCATTTCAGTGGCATTTCTCGCGTTGGAATTGACTCATCAGCCCGGCACGGGTGCCAACTTATAAAATTTCTTTTTAATCTATCGAAGCAGTGATAATGGAACGAAATATACGTTTTAATCGCAGTAAAAGTTTTAAAACAACTCTCAACTTTAATAGCTTCAAGTAATGAAAGGGCGTTTATTTAAGTTTCTATTGGTTATTGCTAGGAAATTTTTTAGTAAAAACTGACAGTCAAGTTAAAAGCACTTAATGAATCGGGATTTTTTTGTCTTGAGCACAAAGTGTAACTCTTAAAACAACTTTGTTCTAAAAAGTCCCAAACTTTTTCGATTTAGCTTAAAAAATGTAGTAAAATTAATCGAAACATACAATTTTATATTTTATTTTACCAAAGAGCTTTAATAGAGTTGAACTTAATCTAACTTTTCCGTTTTATGATGTACACAATATTTTCCATAATACTTTAACAAACACTATTGAACACTATTTGTTATTCTTATCTTCAACTCAGTGATGAGCAACTGGACTTGGGTCTTTCGAATGCCAACTATGTGGCCAGTTCCAATTCTAGTCTCTCTTCAGCTGGTGGCAGCGAGAGTCCCAGCACTTCGATGGAACATTTTGCTGCAACCGGAGCAGCAGGTGGGGCCCAAGTACCGCCGATTGGATTAAACCAGAGCCAGCATCCGCACTTGCTTATCCAGCAGCATGCACAGCAGTACTGTCAGCAGGATTCCTTTCAGGCCGGTTTGGCAGGCGGCGGTGGAAGTAGTGCAGCTAACAACTCGAGTTTCTGGAATGCCGGGCATCCGTTACCCAGGCAATGGAATCTGGAGAGCGATGACGAGGACGATGTTATCGAGGCTGACTGGAGTTCCATGGTAGCAGCTGATATGCTGGCAGCTTTAACAGACGCTGAAAAGAAGCGTCAGGAGATTATTAATGGTAAGATAATCTTATTTTTTTTTTTCTAACTTTTGGACTAAATTGATTTTTTTTTTTTTCTTTTAAGAAATCTATCAAACTGAACGCAACCATGTGCGAACCCTAAAGCTGCTGGATCGTCTGTTCTTCCTGCCGCTCTATGAGAGCGGATTACTGTCCCAGGATCACCTGCTGTTGCTGTTCCCGCCTGCATTGCTATCGCTCCGTGAGATTCATGGTGCCTTTGAGCAAAGTCTGAAGCAAAGACGAATTGAGCACAACCACGTAGTGAATACCATAGGAGATCTGCTTGCTGACATGTTCGACGGACAGTCTGGAGTCGTTCTTTGCGAGTTTGCAGCTCAGTTTTGTGCCCGTCAGCAAATCGCCCTGGAGGCTCTTAAAGAGAAGCGCAACAAGGATGAGACCCTCCAAAAGCTATTGAGAAAATCGGAATCACATAAAGCGTGTCGGCGGCTTGAACTGAAGGACCTGTTGCCCACTGTGTTGCAGCGTCTTACGAAGTATCCGCTGCTGTTTGAGAATCTATACAAGGTGACTGTACGTTTGCTGCCGGAAAATACCACAGAAGCGGAAGCCATCCAACGAGCCGTGGAAAGCTCTAAAAGAATTCTTGTTGAGGTCAACCAGGCAGTAAAGACAGCCGAGGATGCTCACAAGTATGTTTTTAATAATGTGTTTTTACATTCCTTTTTTATTTATTAAACTTTTATCTAATTATTTAAATAGACTACAAAACATTCAGCGTAAACTAGACAGATCCTCCTATGACAAGGAGGAGTTTAAGAAATTGGACCTGACCCAACATCACCTTATCCATGACGGCAATCTGACAATCAAGAAGAACCCTGGCGTGCAGCTGCACGGTCTACTGTTTGAAAACATGATTGTTTTGCTGACCAAGCAGGTATGTTAAAGCCGACAGAAGTAATACAACTTTAGTTAACTAACGGTCTGAATTTTTCTCTTCAGGATGATAAATATTATCTAAAGAACCTGCATACCCCTTTAATGGTGAGCAACAAACCAGTCAGTCCTATTATGAGCATCGATGCGGAGACTTTGGTGCGGCAAGAAGCGGCTGACAAAAATTCCTTTTTCCTCATCAAAATGAAGACATCACAAATGTTGGAGCTACGTGCGCCTAGCAGCTCGGAATGCAAGACGTGAGTAATCAATGCATTACGAAAATCATTCACTGGATAATAACTTAAAATAAATATTCCAGATGGTTTAAGCACATCTCAGATGCTGCTGCCCGACAGTCAAAGAATCGTTCGAAGAATGCTTCAAGCAGCCATGACACAAGCATCAGTGACCCAGCTCTCACCGCTATCCCGCATTCCAGCACCAAGGAGTCGTTGGAGCTGACCACCGATTGTGCCCAGCCAATGGCGGCGACAGCCACTTTGACCACCACACCTTTGGCTCCAATGCTACCTATAGCTACGGTAACACCGGCTCCAGCGACAAACAACAGCAATACTAGCTCCCTAACCGGAGTGCAGCTGCGAAATCCTCAAAGAGAAGTTGGAGCAACAGAGTCTGATGCTGATTATGTGAACACACCGAAGCAGCGTTCCAGCCAGAATGAAGTTAATCGATCAATGTCCATAAGAAGCACTGGGGAGCCTAGCAATAAGTATACTGCGAATGGAACAGAGGCGAACGATGTCACGCTGAGGCACTCTCAGTCGACCAGGGAGTCGGCTAGGCCGGGATCGAGCGGGGAGGAAAGAAACTCTACCTATGGCATGGTGGGTGGTAACTCCAAACGCGACAGCGCGAGCATTGTCTGCTCAAACAATTCGAACAACACGCGTACCCTATTAATGCAGAGCCCCTTGGTGGATCCGACAGCCATTCAGGTCAGCATCAGTCCAGCTCATACTGCGGAACCTGTGTTGACTCCGGGAGAGAAACTTCGTCGCTTGGACGCATCCATTAGAAATGATTTGCTGGAGAAGCAGAAAATCATTTGTGATATCTTCCGCTTACCTGTGGAACACTACGATCAGATTGTCGACATTGCCATGATGCCAGAGGCGCCGAAAGACAGTGCAGATATTGCTTTAGCTGCTTACGATCAGATTCAAACCCTGACCAAGATGCTGAATGAGTACATGCACGTAACGCCCGAGCAGGAGGTCTCGGCGGTGTCCACTGTTATTTGTGGCCACTGTCACGAAAAAGAAAAGCTGCGTAAAAAGGTGACACCATCCGCTTCGTTTTCCTCATCGCCACCACCGCTGCCTCCGCCAAATAGACAGCACGCCCAGGCGCAGGCGCAAATACCGCCTTCGCGGCTAATGCCCAAACTACAAACCCTTGATCTTGACGAAGTTGCCATACACGAAGACGATGACGGATACTGTGAGATCGACGAACTGCGCTTGCCAGCGATTCCGTCCAAACCACAGGAAAGGCCCACAACGCCATTGGCTCCGTTCAAAACTGAGCCGAAAATTTCACAGCCTGTAGTTATAGAGTCAACGAAGCGTCTAAGTATAGATGCTGTTCCTGAGGGTCTGTTAATTGAGAAGGAACAAGCAGAAGCTGTTTCAGTGGACAGCAAGCTGGCAGAGAAGGAAGTTAAAACTGATCCATCAGAAAAGCTTCCAGCGATTGGTGATTCATGTAACGAAGAAAAGAAAAATGTTGAGGTGGATAACATTAATGAAAATGCTGACATGACGATTGCTGATAATGAGGCCTTGGTAGCTGCATCAGTCGAAAGATTAGCAAGCCAGAGTAGCGAGGTAGAAATTACTGAAAATGTAGACAAATCTGTGGCTGACAAAAAAGAGGACAACGATGTTGCAGTAAGTTTAAAATGAACAGATTGTAACTTAAAAAAAAACTTCCTTTAACCTACGTATTACTATAGATCGAACAAGTGGAAGTCTACAAAGTCGATAGCTCGACGCAGACATCATCAACTGAAGCGCAAAAAGATACGGAAAAGTTAACTGGAGGATCTGGCAGCACCTGTGGGCCGAATCGTATCCAGCATGCCACTGTGCTGGAGCCAAGTGTTCCCTGCCATGCACTTAGCAGCATTGTAACAGTACTGAATGAGCAAATTTCCATGCTTTTGGTAGGTTTAACTAACTGTGAATCTAAAGAAAATTTCTATAATGTTGCTTCTTTAATGCCAGCCAAAAATTAACGAACGTGATATGGAAAGAGAGCGATTGCGTAAGGAGAATCAACACCTTCGCGAGCTTTTAAGTGCGCTGCATGATCGTCAGCGAGTTGATGAAGTAAAGGTAATGGCTGAAACTATCTATGAAAAACGTATAAATGACTAATATTATTTCTTTATCTTAGGAAACTCCTTTTGATCTAACGAAGTTGATGCATGCTGAGGATGTAGAGTTTGACGATGATATTGACGCCATTTCCAACAGTTCGCTGACGCCAACGCCCACGCCGATTCCGACGGCATCCCCCAGCGCCAGCGGCCAAGTTCAGACAGCGGAAGCCATGAGAGTTAACAGCACTGAGGATGAGGAATAGGAAACTTGTTTAAATTTTTTTGTATAAAATACATATTTGTTCTTGTTTTCCCTATACGCATTTGACCAATTGAATTGGCGGCGTCTATGTTTTACGAGTAGCCTTTCTTAGAGCATGCCTTTTACTACTGTTAATGTAGCTTCATTTGTTTTCTTAAAATATTATGTATTCCACAAGAACCGATAACACTTTAAATTAAGCCTAACAGTGTCCCCTCGTAAAACTAATTAAATACATATATATATGCATATTATCGACTTAAAAAAATATCAACTAAATACACAATGTTTGATACATTTATAAAGAACAATAAAAAATATAGTTATTGAGATGAATAACATAGAAGGTTCATATACATAAATATTTTTCCCTGAAGGAAAAATTAAGAGAAAAAAAGCAGAGACGTTAGTGCGGCATCACCTCCTCCAAACGACTGAGTCTATAAATAAAGCATCATCTCGTTCGAGCTACGCACGCAATTAGCGAAAGTACTTAGCAAAACGACAGGGCTCCTGAAAAAGAGGGAAATTCTTCTTCCTCAGCCAGCAGCACCGCAGAGTATATTTATAATTGCTCAGTGCGTTTTGGGTGAGTAAAGGAACCAGAAGCCACGATGCCAATGGTAAAATTACTAACTGAATAGTTTTCTTGCCAGGCAACACACGTAACCGATGCAAGAATTTGGGGAAAATATTCAGCAGGTTCACAATGAGAAGTTAGGCAGGTAAGTTAAAGGCTCTTTTCTATAACTTTTATAAAGTCATAATATTATACAGGCATCTAGTTGCTGCCATAAACATCGAACCGGGGGATACGATTTTGGAAGAGCGTCCGTTGCTGGTAGCTCCCCATTGGGAATGCCACCAGCTAAAATGCGCACAATGTCTTCAGGAATCCTATGTGATGTGCCGAAGGTGTCAAGTGTTTCCTCTGTGCATGGATTGCAGCCAGCATGATGAATTCGATTGCGAATTTTTCACCAGCGGAGCAGGCAAAGCCATCTGTAAAGATATTCTAGTTAAGAACTATGGTATATGTGGACTTCTAAAGTTGCTCCTTCTGCTGGAGAATTCGGATACTAGAGCCGATTGTCAAATGCTCATCGATATGCCTATCAATTTGGATGAGTACCGCGACGGAGAAGGAATGTGGCAAGAGCATGAGGAACAAGTGGTGCGTCCCATAATGCAGAGTGGTTTTTTAGATGTTCTATCCAATCAGCAATTATCATCTGATGAACTCCACGCCCACTGCATCCGTATCGATAGTAATTCCTTCGAGGTGACCGCAAGGGATGGTGATACCTTGAAGGGGGTTTTTGTTTGCGGAGCTAGTTTACCTCACCACTGTGTCCCGAACACAGTTGTAGCCTTGGATGAACAGTTTAACATGAAACTTTATGCAGCTGTTCCCCTGCAGCCTGGTGACATCATCTACAACTCATACACGAATCCTTTGATGGGAACCAGTCAGAGACAACACCAACTACGTTTGAGTCGTAGATTCGAGTGTACATGTTCGCGATGTCTAGATCCTACTGAAATGGGCACCCACATGAGCAGCATGAAGTGCAGAGAGTGTGAGGGATATTCAGTTTGTGAGATAGATTCAAATGGAAGACTTGGAGATTGGCGTTGCCCGAATTGCAATGCTCTCCTAACCGCTGCCGAAGTTCACGAACTGCAAGCTGAAGTGGGTTCAGCTTTGGTTGAGGCCAGGGGGGATCTACAGGTCTACGAAGCTTTATTAAACCAATATGGCCCACTTCTTCATCCCAATCACTTCATGCTGCTTGATATTAAACAAAACATTGCCAGCATTCTGCGAGCGGCGGCATTGATGAACTCCATGGAGCAGCCGTGCAAGAAGCTCCTAGCTCGTCGGGTGGAACTTTGCTCTGATCTACTACCAGTCTGCCGTGCTGTGGTTCCCGGAATCTCCAAGCTATATGCAATTGGTCTGTTTGAGTATCTGCTGGCGTTAGTGGAACTGGTGGAACTGCAGTTTGCCGAAAGTGATCTTGACAAAAAGGAATATGTGGTCAGTAAAATAGTCAATTAAGATTTTAATTTAATGTGGTGTGTGATGTTTGATTTTACAGGCTCATTTGAGGACCGCCAGTATGGTGGCTAAGGAAGCAATTGAACTACTTCGCTTTGAGCCGGAAAATTCCGCAGAAGGCTATCTATCGGATCGGATCTCCATGGAACTGGAGCGGATTGAATCCGATTTGAAGAAATACGGCAGATAGTATCCCAAAGGGTCTTTTAATTGAGTCTTGTATGCGTTTCGGAACACGACTGCTGCGATTTTAAATTTAAAATAAATTAGATTAGTCGGAACCAATGCTCTCCCTTCTGATGTTGCCACTTTTGCATTGTGTACAGGCGACACGGTTCAACGTTTGGCTGGGTGGGGGAATCATTGACCAAGAAATAAATAAAGAATTGTCGTTCAATTAAAAATAAGTTGCCAGCATGTCGCTGGTTGTGTTGTCAGTATGCCAAAGGTAGCCAAAGGGAACGTGAACATAGAATGGCCGCAGTAACCGACGATTTTGTGAAGAAGTGCGAGGTAAAACAGAATGACACGCTGGGCAGGTGGGTCCTACTAAAACCCTTTCTATATACATATGTATTTATATATGTTATATTTATGATAACATTTGAAGATTTTTGGTTGCCCTGTGTAATCTTCGAGCTGGCGAGACTTTGCTACTGGAGAAACCAATCGTTGTTTTGCCCCAGTTGGGTGATCGACGTTGCTCCAAGTGCTTCAAACTGACGGAGAGCTTTTGCAGGTTGGTAGACTCCATAGAAGTTCCTTATTTATCTCGGGCTCTTATATAAATACTTTAGAAAGTGTCGCCTTTTGACTTTGTGCGAGGACTGCTCGGAACACGATGAACGTAATTGCCAGAGGCTTTCTGGAATGGACCTTTCAGATGATCAAGTGAAGATTATCCAGAAAAAAGAGCATACAGAAGTACAGGCAGCCCTAAAATGCCTGCTCTTAAGAGAGCACCAAGAAACTCTTCCCTTATACGAGGAAATGACCCAAATGGAAAACCAATTGGCTGCTAGAAAGGGTACAGATATATGGAAAAACTACCAGGAGCATGCTATTGCTCCCCTAGAAACTGGAGGTGTGCTAAAGCAATTAAGTGGCGAGGCGGATGAGGATCTGGTGCAGGGTCTACTTGGCATCCTGGATATAAATGCTTTTGAGATTAGGGCTCCGGAGTCGGGTGGGACGTTGAGAGGATTGTATCGCAGGGCTGGCCTTTTTGCCCACAGCTGCATGCCAAACCTGGTGACCGCCATCGATGACGAGAGACGCATAAAGGTGTACACTAACCGATTTATAGCCGCCGGGGAGATTCTCTATAATTGCTACACCAATGTGCTTCTGGGCACTGAGGAGCGTCGTCAAATCCTTAAGGAGGGTAAGTGCTTTGACTGCACCTGTCCGAGATGCCAGGACCCTACTGAGCTGGGCACTCATATGAGCAGCTTTATATGCAGCCACTGTTCCTGTCCAGAAGGATACATAATTCGCCAACCGGATACGGGAACCTGGCAATGTCTCTTGAATCCAGATCACACTTTAAAGCAAGAGTTTGTGACTAATATGCTGGAGCGAGCTAAGGAGGAAATATTCCATGCCAGAGATGATATATACAGGTTGGAGCTACTTTTGGCCAAGCTGAGCCGCCTTCTGCATCGGAATCACTTTCTAATGCTGGATTTGAAACAAAATATTGCCTCCATATTGCGTCAGATTCTGCAGAATATAACACACCGACCAAATAGGAAGGTCTACGAGAGGAAGATACGTTTGTGCCAGGAGATACTGTTGGTACTCAAGGTCGTCACCCCTGGAATCTCCAGATTGAAGGCTATTGCTTTATATGAGTTGGCTAACACACAGGCAGAACTGGCCAGAAAACTATACAGCGAGCAGGAGCATAGTACCAATGATCTTTTGGTGGGAAGGGACAATATTATTCCTAAACCTAAATACTAAGTATTTTTCTTTCCAGGTGGAATTGCAACAAGTCGAAGTTATGCTACGGGAATCGCTGCGAATGCTTTTATTTGAACCCTTGGCCACTCCAGAGGGTCAACTGTCGCGCACTATGCTTCGAGAGTTGAAGGAGCTGCAGGATGATATAAAAAATCTGCAAGAATCTAATGACGTTTTGGTAAATCAGTAAAAAGCTTTTTCCTTTCAAGTTATAAAATTGGTAAATGAATTAAAAAGTAGTAAGTGATTATTAAAAATAAAAAAAAGATAAGCTTGTGAATATAAAAAATGGTAACTTAAGTATTTCTTAAAAGTGAGAATATTATAAAACCAATCCAATGGAAATTTAAATTTTCACAAGAACCGTTAAAATACAGATTTCGTTTCGGGAATACCCTTAATATGTCTTACAAAATTACTATTACAAATTTATAAAGTTCAAACTCGATAACCGATGGTAAGCTCTAATCGAACAAGTTTACTGTTATCGTCAACACTACGCAATCTTTTTTAATCGTTATTTACGTTTTTTTGCATTAAACAATAAAAGCTTAGTTGGACAAAAGAGTTAACCGTAGGATTTTTGACTATTTACTATAAATAAGACAAAGAAACAATCATTTATTGGAGCCAGCTGATTCCTGATAATACAGATGGGGGATACTCCGCGGAAAAGGGAAAAACAACCCCCAAGTGGTAAAAGCGAGGGTGTTTAAGAGTTGCTGCTCAGTTGCGATTTGCAAGTGCCATCGAGATAAGCTGCTCTGACTAGTATTCCGACTGCAGCACAAAAAAAAACAAATGTTGAAATATAGACATCACTAAGTCGAGCCCCCTCACCCCCCGCAATCATCGTGATGTCTTGGACGTTGTGAAATAGTAATACTCACCATTCTAAATCGTCATCCGGAAGCGCGGAACCGTGGAAATCCCCCGTTAGAATGGCTCTCGCCAGTGCCGCTGCTGCCCTCTTGAAGGGATCACAAACGCCGTTGCAACAGCTTCTGGAGGACATTAACTTCCAGCGCACCAAGGAGATGCGTCAGCTGCTTAAGGACGGTGGGTGTATCACTTTAATCCAGACTCTGAAGTACCCAGATTGTCTAGAATTGCAGGGAAAATTTGTCTACATTTGCACATTATCGATTAGTCACACAGGGCAACCCTTAAGGATGTGTGTGTTTTTGGCCTGATGCGCCTGTGTGCGTGCCTTTTCCGCCCCACTTTTGGCCAACCTCTTTGTTTTCTTTTATATAAACGGCTTTTACTTTTATCGGCCCGAAATGACTGGATGGGGTAACCGCAAACAGCTGTTCACCTGTCGGTCAACATCAGCATCCCCCAGTTCATACGAGTCCTTAAAATCCATATAAGTTGAACATGACCTAAAATCGGATAGAAACGTAAAGATAATTTAATATTTTGGACACAGTTTGTGATCAAGATTAGACTATTTATACTTATATAATTTATAAATATATATTTTCCTCTAATTTTATATTTATAAAATGATCATCAAAAACATTTTTACAAACAACCTAATGCATTCCTTTTATCAGATGGCGGATTCGTGGTTTTGCAAGGTACCACCTACTGGACGGACCTGTTCGTGCGGCACTTCCTCTTCCAAACAGAGCCCGTGCACAGCATCGACTCAGACGACTTGCTGTTTTTTGTACGCAAGAAGCACGTGAAGAGCTCCTCGCGCCACATGCCAAAATTTGAGGTAAGCATCAGTCTTTACCGCTTCTACCTCTTAACTCAAAAAATAATCAACGTATTCTTTGGGCAGACTGAGGTGGAGGTGTTCCGCAAGGACTCGCGCAAACTGCCCATCGGAGATCCCGATGTGGACTGGGAGGAGACAGTTTATCTCAATATGGTCATCCACCAGTTCGATTACACACTGACACTGGCCATTTGTACAAGAACCTCGCCTAAGGAGCTTCAGGTGCTAAGGAGGCATTCCCAGAGGGTGTACGCCAGTCCGAGTCGCAGGAAGATGGACACCAAGGGCGAGGGCGAAGAGATCACGTATCCGCACATCTGTTTCATGGTGGACAACTTTGATGAAGTATTCAGCGACATCCTTGTGCGCGACGGGGAAATGGTGTGCGTGGAACTGGTGGCCAACGATAAAGATGGAGCGGTCCAGGGTGTGATCTTCTTAGGATCCATACGATACGATGCCTTGAAGAAAGTATACGATGCCAGGGTTAGTCGCAGTCTGACATACTTTGGTTCTTATTTTAACTTTTTTTTGTGTTTTTTTTTTTTTAGCAATCTAGTCTGAGTTCCAAGGTGGCCCAGCGCATGTCCTTTGGCCTATTCAGCAGTGGTGCTGGCGTCCAGACTCGGTGTGAGTTTGTCCGGATGAAAGGACCGCAGGGAAAGGGTCATGCCGAGATGGCAGTGACCAAGCCAAAGGGATCCGGGGTGGAGACTCCAACCAGCGAGCCAGGATTCTGCGCCACTGACATGTGGGATGAGTGGGAGGAGGAGAATGACGACTATTGCACTTATCGGCACCAGCGACGTCTTAGCGATCCGAGCGCCAATCTTAATAACTTCTCACGCTACGGCTGGCGTACCAAAAACTCGAATAACCAGGACATGGTGGGTAGCGGTACCAGTCCCAGTGTAGGAGCAAAGGCGCGATCGGAAAACGAGGGTCTGGACTCACTGGCAAGCGAGGTGTCCGAGATCGAGGCCGGAGATCTTCGTGATGGTCAGTTTGAACCACTAATTATTTATCCTAGTTTCCTCTTCATTTGAGCATCCTTTATTTGCATGGTATTTAGAATTCTACATTGCTTGTAGTTGATATCGTAGTTAATGATGCTTTTTCCGCTTGCTCCTTTCATTTCCGTTCATATTCCTGATTTAATTCTCGTAATGTGTTGTGGTTCCATTGATTTTCCTTTTACAACTTCCAACTATCAAATTTATATATATACTTTATATGTGCCCCTAAATCCAGAGTATATATATAAAGAGAACACCAGACATATTGCCGAGAAAGCAGGACAACTAATACACTAAGGACAACAAAAATTATATTACGTTTGGCTTTTGTTTTGACACTGGATATTGGGTTAAAGGAGGGAATCATTCATCACATCCTATAGTCCCATTCCTTACCCAATTCCCTTTAGAAATTCTATTTTACTTGGTGGTGGCTTGATTGTATATTCATTAGACGTCCATATTCCTTACCACTCACCGATTGATCCTATAGCTTTTTGTGTTTCCCTATACTGGTTTATTATTTTCATTGCTTTTTGTTGCCAATTATCGTTTAAGTTGCTTGGGCCGATCATCGGTTGTACATGTGTGTCGATGTATATGCTTTTAAAACGCCAAAACCGATCTATATCTACTTGTAGATCAGCAACGTCCTGCTTTCTCGGCCTCAGCGGCAAAACTGCACCCAAATCCGAATTGCGAAAACCACAAAATCGCGACTGGTGACCAAGAAAAGTTGCCCCGAGAATCTCCAAGTGAGAGTACATCCGCGGCTCCAGCAGCAACTGCTGTTCCAGCTGTAACTCCGCCACCGTTGAGTGCCGCCGTGGAAGTCACAGTATCGGGGGAAAACAATGGTACTGGACAAAGCACATCCACTGGCTGTAATTGCTTTGGTGGCAAAAAGTGCAAGAAGCGCTGGGCATCGGCCAAAAACACGGACACCCCAGAGATGTCCGAGGTATACTGCCCCAGTTGCGAGGATCCGTCCAACGAGTCGCCCGCTTGTCTGGCCAAGATTCCCGACAAGAGGCCAACCCGTCTAAGGCCCAAAACTAGCATCTTAAGTGTGGAGAGCGAACTGCTGGTTGGCAAAAGAAACAGTTTCCGGCTTCCATCGGAGAACAAACGAAAGCCACAGGGGGAAGCATCACGAGAAGCGCCTCCCTGAGCGCAGCAGATCGCAGAACTAGCCTTCCTGTAGCAACAAAGAAGATCATACCCCCAAGACTGCGTACAGCCAAAGCCAAGGATGTAGAGAAGGATAAAGATAAAGATAAGGATAAAAACAAGGAGAACGACAAAAAGTCCTCAAATCAGAAGGTCAACGGCTCAACGACAAATTTTCTGTCCAAGATGTCGCCCAAACGGCTTAAAGCTAGCAAGGATAAGGACAAGGACAAAGCAATTGACAAGGAAAAGGATAAGGACAAAGGCAAAACGAGTGCTGCAACCAAAATTAAATCTGTCAATAATAATAATCCAAAGACGGAGACCTCCAAAACCGAAGAGTACGAGATCGCCGATGATGCTACCTCTCTGAATGGTAGCGAGTCGGAAGGGGCTGGAGCTCCTAAGATGGCCATTTTAAGTGAGAGCGATAGTAAACTCATGATTAGTGTTCGTGGACGGGAAGAGCTTCCGGTGGTGGAGTCCCCAAAGACCCCACCAAAACGCTTTGAAAAATGTGTCCGCTTGCCTATTGAACCGGAGAGTCATCCGTTGCAGCCAAAAGAGAACAATGAGAACGAGGAGAGTGATATAACCAAGGTGATTTCTCCCACGGAACTAACACCCATGCTGGATGTTGCAAATGGCAACCAGGAGGCCACCAGTGCTACACTTCCGAGGACAGCCAAACAGGCTCATGTCAGTAAGATGCTGCATTTGGTGCCCAAACGTAGAACTCCCGATGGCACCAACATCTACTACTGGTGTGATGTTCCCAAAAAGGCAATAAAAGGTCATTTCCTAGGGTTTTCTATCCATATTTCTTGTTTAATAATGCATGTACATAGTTTAATATATTTATGACTAAACACAACTTATCTGGTGTGGTCTATCTACTTTCAGAACTCGACGATGGCGCCTATAATCCTCTGTGGACCAGTCGAGGATTCACTCAGTCCTTTCATTTCTGGAAGGAGAATAGAAGACAGCAGTCCACGCCGCTTAATGCATTCCTCACCTATGTGACACTGCCCTGGTGGAGTATTGCAAAAGGTAAACTGCTCAAAGATTCCCAAAATACTCGCAATACTCAACTCAACTCCCTTTGCAGACCTTTTGGATCACCGGGAAACGCCTATTCTGACCTTTTAGTATTAACTTAATTTTCAATTGTGATTTATGGCCCTTATGCTTTATAGTTCTCACTTGTATTCTCTATTAACCGATTGAATGCCAACCGCGTGATCCCAGTTTGATTTATCAGTATATTCGCTTTTTATGAGTTTCCTAGGGCGCATCCTCTCGGATCAAACTACTTGGTGAGCGCAGAGCCAACCTACAAATTTATGAACTACGAACTACGATAGTGAACACTGTTACCGATGATATGGAAATATATAATTGTAATATTATTTGTAAATTGTACTGCAACATTTATACCACGAAATATATACCAAATAGAAAAGAAACACTAGAATAAATTTCGAAATTAATCAAGGAGCAAATGGATTGAGAAAGTCAAGATCACCTAGCGAGTAATTTTTGTAATCAGAGTTCCCGAAGCATCCGGCATCGGGTCGCCGTCGTCTGACTTGAAGATAGCTCTATCGTCTCTCTGGCTCGATTAGTCTGTTTTTGAGCCTCGCTTGATACGGTCGTTGCTGCAGTTGAGCTCAGAAAGCAAGTCAAGTGATAACGCGGGAAACAAAGCACTAAAGATGGGGCAATCGCTGCCATTGCTCATCCGCCTCGTCTTCGTTGTCTGGCTGACAATTAATTTGGTCACCGCATGTCCCCGGGCGCCCACCCACTTAAACCACGGCCGACGCACACGCGGTGACAATGGATACAAATTAATTGTGGCCGATGGACCCAACGGATACGTTCCGGGCAAGACATATAATTGTAAGTCGAGAAGCTGGTTTCGTAATCAGCGGGGCCACTTGAGAACTAAAAACAAGAGCCATCGATAAGGGAATCCAGAACATATGAAAGTCCGTCTTAGTTCAACTCCTATTTTGATAACGCCATATGTATAATTATGTGGCTAATCTTTATAATTTAATTTTTGTTTTATTTATGAAATAACTAAAAAAAATCGACACATATTCCAGTCTTAAATAAGTGTAAAATATAAAAAATGCTAAGAAAAAGTAAACAAGAAGCTAAGATATTTCCCTTTTAGACAACTATATAACATTTCGTAGAGTTTAATAATGTATAACTTGAACATTCAATAATATCTTAAATTAAAAGTTATCCTCGCCACTCTAGGAAGCAAAAACGTCATTAAATTGGTGTGACATCAAATGCTGTTTGTATGTTTTTTCAACAGCAAAGTAATCGTTACAGTTCGCGCAGAAAAATACAAAGCTGACAGGTAAAAACGTGAATAAATTTAAATAATATTGAGCGCTGGTCGAAAGACTGGGCTTCTCAACATCCTCCTGATCAGTCATATTTTTGTGCCAAACGAAAATCAGGTTAACAATCCGTTTTATATCGCTTTCAGTCAGGTTGCATCTCATCACCATGTTTACCTCCGAGGTTAAAGAGGAGATCATAAGGGAAATTAATTGAGGTTCAGCTGGCGGATTCATAGCTCTATAATTCCAAATGCAATGGTAATGCTTGTAGATTTTGCTAAACTGGGAAGCTTTTTGCCTCAACTGCAGTACTTCTTCGAAAACTAACTTGTCCTCAAAAGTACTATTTATGATTGCTGACAACTACAAGGGATCAAGATATTAGGCGTAAATTGTGCAAGGTGTCGGTGTCCTAATTGCTTACCCCAACGTTTTGCAAGAGAGAGCAACTGTCTAATTTAGCAGTTGTGTTTTTCTTGGGAATAATTTGACCCTCTTTTGTCACAAGTGCATTTATAATCTCATGTTTTGTATTGTTTGTTACTATCGGGTTACTATCGGGTATATCATAACATAGTTTTTGGACATCGTTTTCATTGGATTTTTTACACTTTTCCTCCATCTGCTGTCCCACGTGAATGTTTTCCTTAAACTGTATAGTTTTTAGGCTTTTACTGGTATCTTTGATTAGTTTTTGGTTTTGAGATAGTTCGAGCTTCTTTTGTTTGGCTTTTTCTTCCAGAACGTGGTTTATCAAAAATTTGTTAGTCTGAGTCTTTTTGGGCGAGGATGAAGTGTTTGAACTGCTCTCACTTCTATTATTTAGCTCATATAACACTTTTGGCTTAACATTAAGATTTGGAAGACTTTTTACCTCTTTTATTTTTAAGGTCGGTTTTTTATTCGCCATATTAGAAACGTAAAAATTGTGAATTTCCCGACTAGGTGAAATGGTCTTTGGTTTAAAATCAAGCAGTTTCACTTGGGAAAGAGCGGTTATAATCTCTGGCGAGCTGGGGCTCCCGAGAGGTCCTTGTGCCTTAGTTAGAGAAGACTTTCTTACACTTAAAATAGGTGCTCTCGAGAAACACTTGGGAGGTGTTTGATAGCTATGTGCGGGTATGTTATCTAATTGTAGTGGTTCAGTTATGTGAGGAATGATGTTGGGTATTACAGATTTAATTTGTAGTTCTTTGGTTTCGATGGAATTAAGTATTCGGCTCTTTACGATGCTCATGTGTTTCCTCGATTTCCTGGCAATGGTGTGACTCTTTAGGTCGCAAATTTGTAGGGTTTTTTTGTTTTTAACAATATTGCGAGATCCCTTTACTGTGAAAGTTTCCATGTTGATGATTTCATTCTCTTTGAAGTCATTTGCCTCGAAAATAATGCTTTTAAATCCTGTAAAATCGTTTGTTTTAGCCAGTTTATATTTAGTTTCACCTGCGGGATAGGTAAATTTTCATTAAATAATATTTTAAAATTAAATAAAATTCTAGATACTTGCAATTTTCTTGGGAAGTATCCTTTATATCCTTCTTAGTTTTAGGCTCTACCGATTCTGCATGTTCCCTGAAGTCTCCGCTCCTGTTGTTGTCCTTTGCAGTCTGGGCATTTTCCTCGGATACTTCCCTGTCGATAAGCAGCTCCTCAACGCTGTATACATTGGGCTCCTTAGTAAAATGCAGAACATCCACATGTGCCCACTGAAGGTGTCTCAAAAACTCTGGCAGATTTGTGTAGATGTCCGAACAGAAGTGGCAATAAAGCGCGATCATATTATCGCTGGGCGAGATCACCACGTCACCGCACTTCTTCAGGTCGACGTTCTGATCTCCCGACAGCATTTCTAAAAATGTGGACATTTTTAAAACAGAAAATCTAATAACTAAATAAATTTCAGAAATCAACTTTGCGCGTTGTCTTAAATATGAACGGCGAGAGCGAGACAACCAGAGACTCAAAGCAGTGTTGATTATAGGCTACATCTAATCGATTAGTTTAGTTTTTTTTATCGAAGTTTAAATTTAAATTTGTTTGCAGTGCTTTTACTTGGATCCCGAACTCACACAAAAATCCAGCATTTTACTCACTTCACTATTGCTGCGGAGGCACACACTGGAGCAAGACGACCTCAGGCAGCCAGTCCAAGGCGAGTGGGTCGCTTCCAGCTGTTTAGTGACTCCCTGACCCAATTTAATGATCGATGCGTAAATACAGTTTCCGAGGCCGACGATCTGCCCAAAACGGAGGTCCAGGTGATGTGGGTGGCTCCGGAAGCGGGTTCCGGATGCGTATCCCTCTCCGCGATGGTCTATGAAGGCCCAAGGGCCTGGTTTGCCGACGATGGCAACCTATCCACCGTGATCTGTGAGCGTAAACCTGATGCCGCTGCTGCTCAGAAAGAATGCTGCGCCTGCGATGAAGCCAAATACAGCGTAAGTCAGGAAATATCTTATAAGCACCTGCAAATTAAAAATTTCAAAATCATTTCCAGTTCGTTTTTGAAGGCATCTGGTCGAATGAAACTCATCCCAAGGATTATCCCTTTGCAATCTGGTTGACTCACTTTTCCGATGTGATTGGTGCCTCGCACGAGTCGAATTTCTCCTTCTGGGGTGAGAACCACATAGCCACGGCCGGATTCCGATCCTTGGCAGAGTGGGGATCACCGGCTGCATTGGAAACGGAACTGCGAGCAAATGGTCCCAAGTTGCGCACCTTAATTAAGGCCGCTGGCTTGTGGTACCCGAATGTCAACCAAAACACGTCCTCCAAGTTCCGTGTGGATCGCAAGCATCCGAAGGTATCCCTAGTTTCCATGTTTGGTCCTTCCCCCGATTGGGTGGTGGGGATTAGTGGCCTGGATCTGTGCACTGAGGATTGCAGCTGGAAAGAGTCTATGGACTTTGATTTGTACCCCTGGGATGCGGGTACCGACAGTGGCATCTCATACATGGTAAAACATTATTGACTGAGAGATTTCAAATATTTTATGGATATTTCATGGCAGTCACCCAATTCGGAAACGCAGCCTCCGGAGAGAATGTATCGTATCACCACTATGTATCCCGAAGATCCTAGGGCACCCTTTTACAATCCTCAAAGCCGCGAGATGACACCTCTGGCCAAATTGTACCTGCGACGTGAAAAGATTGTCTCCCGGAATTGCGATGATGAGTTTCTTCAGGCCCTTCAGTTGGAGGTGTCGGATGATGCCGAGGAGCAAGACACCAGAGGTGCGAATTAACCAATTTAAATAAACATTGCACTCTAATCATACTTTTTCAGTTGAATGCCGGGTCAGTGAATACTCCGCTTGGAGCCCCTGTTCCGTGACTTGTGGAAAAGGAATACGCATGCGTAACCGGCAATTTTTGTATCCCGCTGCCGCGGAACAGAAGAAATGTTCCCGCCAACTCGTTTCCAAAGAAATGTGCGTGGCCTCTATACCCGAATGTGCAGGTGGTTCATCCCAATCAAAAGATCGTGACGATGATGAGGGCGAGAACCTGGCCAATTCGCAATCCCTAGTGGGCAACAACGGTGAGGGAGCCGGCGTGTGCAAGACCTCACCTTGGAGCGTGTGGTCAGAGTGTTCGGCCAGCTGTGGCATCGGAATCACCATGAGGACTCGCACCTTTGTCAATCATTTGGGACGCAAACGATGCCCCCACATTACGGTTGTGGAGAAGAACAAGTGTATGCGGCCGGATTGCACATACGAACAGGTTGAGCTACCGGATCCACAATGTCCCACCACCCAGTGGAGTGACTGGAGTCCGTGCACCTCGACCTGTGGCCGGGGAGTAACCATCCGTACCCGTCTGCTCCTTCTGGAGAATGGTCCCGATAAAGAGAACTGCACGCGACGCATGGAGCTGCACCAGCAGAAGGAATGCGTCAATCCCGTGGATTGCCACATAAATGAGGAGCAAGCCAAAGACATCTGTGTCCAGGAACCGGATATGGGACCTTGCCGCGGAACTTATATGAGATATGCCTACGATCCGCAAACCCAGCGTTGTATTTCATTTAGCTACGGAGGATGCCGGGGCAACCGGAACAACTTCCTTACTGAGTTGGACTGCCTGAATACCTGCAATGTGATCAGATCAAGAAATCCCTCGAGATCTGATCAACCTAAGGCCTGCGTTCTGTCGGAATGGTCTCCGTGGTCGTCCTGCAGTGTTGGCTGTGGGGTCGGAGTCTCCGAAAGCCATCGCTACGTGGTCAGCGAGTCTCAAAATGGAGGACAGCCGTGCTCTAAGCGCTTGGTTAAGTCACGATCCTGCTCCATGCCGGCGTGCTAATGCGAAATCTTATTTCTTACACTTTCACTCGTTAGATATCACTTTATAAATTCAATCCTTTTAGGTGCTCTATTGATAACTTCTTTAAAATCTTCCTTCTAAATCCTGTATCCCATGAATCCCTTGTTCAATCTTAATTCCCAATAAGAACTTTTTCAAAATAAAGTTTTTACATAACACCTTTTTTTAAAATGCCTTTTTAACTTTTATTCCTGGGAAAGAATAAAAAAAAATTGCTTTAAATAATGGATATCCAATAAAAAAAATTAGACATTTTTAGTAGTAAACTAAGAAAGAAATACTTCAGTTTAAAGGTCTAAAGGTTATTTTTCTCAATAGTTCTGCGGTTTTCCAAAGATTTAAAACCCAATACACCAAAACCAATACGCTACTTAGGATGACTAAGTTTTACTGTTGACATCAAACTGTTATTTAAGGGCTTTGATTAAAGATTTCGAACAGTGCTTATCGTTAAACAACCTGCAAAAACAAGTTTACTTTATCCGGAAATAACTAAGGTGCCTTTATATTCTTGCAGAACAGAACTTAAAGATCGAATAGACAGCTACCTACTGTAAATTAACATTTTAATTGATAAGTAAAATAATAATTGGTATTCCCCTATATTGTGTTCTTATCGTTATAGGTATAAATGCAATCATTTACTGTTGCTTCGTTTCAGTACTGAACAGTGAATACGTGCAATAACAACGCATAAAGTAAAAAGAATAAAAATTGGAACAAAAAGTTCTAAGAACAGGTAATTTTACACGATTTTTTAATCTATGATAATATAATCGGGATATTAATCGTTATAAACCGAGAAAGATTCTCCTATATACAGAAAAAAAAATGTATATAATGTCGTCAAGTGACCTTAAATACTATCAAGAACTTTCTGCTTAACAAGTATTTTCAAGGTTTAATTACAATTCGTTTGTCGTTTTACTTTGTTGTCTGGATACTTTTTAAAAGTAGTTGTAAAAAATCTGTTCAGTAATATTGAAAGAATAATATATACATTAGCATGGTTCGCGTTTATGACAGAACTTTAAACTAATAGCCGGAATAGCTAAAAACTCGTAGAGGCCAGTGGTTAAACCACACAGTAACGGATCAAATACTGGCGGGCTTTCCACTTGTTCCCATTGGCACGGTATATAAGGTGCAGATTAAAAGCGACCTCGTGTTGCAAACCCAAAGTGGATTCGTGTTCTGCAATCAGCGGATGAACAGGAACGGCCAGCGCCTTTTCATAGTACTCCACTGCCAGGTGGAGGATGTTAGCTTGGTGGTAGATACGTCCAATGTTGTAGAAGATCTCCTGTTGGGCGGCACAATCTGAGAATTCATGGCCAGCCGATCGCAGCTCCTTGTACCGCTGGGCAAAGGCCACGGCCTGGGCCACAGAAGCCGACTTGCGAAGAACTTTCTTCTGCAGAGAAAGCTGATTAAAAGCCACTGCTATGCAGAGGGCCACCAGGGGATCCGGATTCTCACGCAGAATTGGCATGTAGATGTTTAAGGCATACTTAAAGGAGGCGCAGTTGAGATGATAGTGGCCCTGGAAGATGCGCATAGGTTTTGTATCCACCGGATGGCGTTGCATCAGACGCCTCATATAGCGATAATAGCGAACCTCGTCACCCTTTTGAATCATCAGCGATAGCATGTTCCACAGAGCCGTCTGGCTAGGCTGCTTGGCTATCAGTTCACGTAAATACGAGAAGGCTATAGCACAGTCGTCGTTGTAGTAGCAGATCAGCACCATAATCCTCTCGATTTCGTGGTGGTAGTATGTAAATCTCTTTGTGGTCACCATGGCAAAGCAAATCTTTTCGGCGGCGCTGTGCATGCCATGCTTAAAAGCCGTACGCACAAGTTCCTGGAATAGGTTGAATTCATCCTTGACAGTCAGATCGGAGGCCTCAGTGGCGGCATTTTTGGCAGGATCCTTAAAGAAAATTATTTTAGATTTAATATACGGTTACTTAAGCCTATGCTTACCTGCAAATCTTGCTCCGCTGAGCTATCAACCGCCTTGCTCCGCATTTGAATGATGGTCTTGAGGCTTTCCGAATTGTAGGCACTGCCTCCATTTGAGGCAGCCATCATCTCTTCACGGTTGTACAGCTTTATAGAATGTCGGCTTAACAGTGCGTAGCCTACGTCTAAAAACTCCTCGATTCGCCCTATTTGCTGTAGCATCACACACCTCTCATACAACAGGCGAGCAATTAGTGGTTGGCCCTCGGCTTCGCCCGGTTGCTCCAAAGCCTGAACGGCCTCCTCGTGCCGTCCCTGCTGTTTCAGCAGTGCGGAGAGGGTAAACCGTGCATCGTAGCAGAAGGGAGCTAGTTGTACAACTTTCTCGTAGCTTTGAATTGCCTCATTTGTACGGTTTAATTGACGAAGGCACTCGGCTTGTCGCAGCCATACAAACGCAGGACACTCAACAGTGTCACCATCAGTAATAGGACTCATCAGCGCTATGGCCTCCGCATACTTGTGCTCCTGCATCAGAGCCTCCGTGACGTCCATGTATAGCTCCACTCGATCCGTCGTCAGAGTGATGTGTTCCTGGATATTTTGGATTAGATAGCCTAGCAGATGGTGTGCCCGCATGTGGATGAGGCTTACACACAGCTTTGCCCGCAATTCGGGAACATAGTCATCTGGGATTTCACAAAAGTATATCAGCTCCAGACTCTCCTCCTGGTCGTTCTCTAACTCGAAATTTGTGCGCTCCCGCAGGCATCTTAAAACCTTGGCATACTGCTTGTTTAAGATCAATAGCTCCAGATATATGTTAATGTCCTCCAGACTGAAACGCGCGCCGCAAACGCTATATGCCCCCTCCATTGCTTCCAGGGCCAGCGTGTGCTTCTCCAGTACATGAAAGTATCGAGCAACATTTTTTGCCGTGTTCAGGCACATTTTCCATTCGTCGGGCGGCATCAGGGGCAGCATTTTTAGGTACGTAAACATAGATGCATTGGTTTCCCCCATTTTCTGCAGCAATTGAGCCTTCCTCAGTCGCAGTTGGTAAACTTTGGGCAGCATTTTAATGGCCTTCGTGTAGATGAGACGAGCACGGGCCAGATTTCCCTGCTGGACAAGCAGATCGGAAACCCGTATCCACATATCACGATCCTGAGGATTTAAGTGTGCAGCAAGCGTGGAAAAGTTTAGAAACTTGACCTCGTCGCGGTTCTCATAAATCTCGGCTAGCGTGTAAAAGGGTTCACTGGCTAGAGGATTCTGACGAATGATTTCCATACAGATGCGTTCAGCTGTTTCGAAGCGTCCATATACAAAGCTCAGGTTCGCTTCGCCCATCAGTCCTTGCAGGGCAGTGCTCAGTTGGCTTTTACGAAAGCCCCCACCACCGGAACGACCACTTCCCGTCGACTGTTCCTGTGCAGTTTTTGCTTGTGCCGAAGTGCTCGGCTGCTCGACGCTGCTGTTTCCCGCTGGTTCTATTTGCTCTTCATCATCCTCGTCGCTGGCCTCTAGCTTGGTACAAAAGTCTGGGAACTCCAGGCACTGAACACCCTGCACGTAGCGCTTGATCAAAGCTCCTTCCTCCTCGTCTGCTCCGAAGCTGTGTCGCTCGCCATCTGCATCGCAATCAATGATGTCTACCACGCGTAGCGGCTCTGTTTCCTGGAATTGTTCCAGCTCGTTCTCCGGCACATCGTTGCTGTCTATTTCCTCTATTAAGACCTCGTTGGAATCCGAATCGGCCATTTCCGACAGCTCCTCAGTTTCAAGTTTTATGTTGTTGCGACACTAGTAAGAGTTGTGTTATTTGGCCGCCCGCTTGGCACGGATAACATCAAGAAATTATTTAATTTAATATGATGTTCTAATTTGCTGCCGGTTTATTTTGTAAACAAATCCCTCTCAACCAGTTATTAGATATGGTAAAAAACCTGTGTTGGAAAACGTATTTGCTAAAACAATGATGCCTAGCATAGGAACTTCGTGCACACATATCGATTACTGTAGATCGATGTTAGCCGCGAAAGCTTGAATATGATTGGTGCGTCTCGAAAAAACTAACGGAACTTAAAATTTGGCGAATGAGTTATTATCCAGAAAACTACGCAGCTTTCTACGTTTTTGATTTTGAATTCATGTGATTAAATCTGTGTAATTTACTTTTAGCAACGTAACAATGCACGGAACAGAGAATTTAGAGTTGGTGAGTGATTTTAATTAGTTAATAGCTAATAGCAAAGACGTAATTATTAATTTTGCAGTTGGATCGCCAGCTATCTTTTATAGCTCGAAACGCAGAAAATTATTTAAAACGTAAGAAAATTATTTTTAATTTGGAAGCTAATGACGAAAACCAAACCATACCATGTGGCGCACTAGAAAAAAAGATCAAGTGAGTTTATTTATCCCTCTTAAATTCCTAAGATACTGATGACAATCCTCTCCAGACTTCTGGACCTGATGCGAAGTTTGCCTTATTATCAGCCAAGTAACGAAATGCTGAAGGCTCAAGCCACCGAATTTACAGACAACGATTTGATCGTCGCGAATACTGTGTTCGCCGAATACTTGGCCACCAGAAACTTGGAGTTCTATAATGTGTGCTCCGTTATGCAGACACTGCTCACAATTGAGGATCTATCAAACCTACAGAAATACGCCCAACTTATCCAAGAGAATGTGGCTGTGCAGCGAGTCTCTAAGCTCAAATATAAAATTTCACTTAGAAATACGAGAATAAATGCAGAGGAAGTGGTCGCCACAAATATAGACGAAGTAGTGCTAGTGCCCAAGTCCAGCTTAATAGCCTCTCCACTGCCCAAACAGCTCGTACTGGCACTGTTTCCCCATCCCCATGAGGGCCTACCTTTGAAGGATCCGATGCGCCGTCATGTTGCTAGTGTAGAGCAGGTCAGTCGCACCACCGTTCACATTCGATTCAGTCGTGGAAACTGCCCCAAAGAAGAGGACTTGCTGGGTCAGCACTTCTATGTCATAATTCGCTCCAAACGCACTCCTATCCGCTACATGTATCGTGCACTACAGCTGCTCCAGGAGAGCCCCCTAGTGCGTCGGTACCTGTTTCCGTTCCCCAGTTGGTTGACCCAAATGGTGGAAAAATCGTGGATTCACATAGACAAAAGAGCAAACTTGCCCAGCTGGATGGAAGTAAAGCCACTACCTCAGCCCGCTCCTAGCGCAGCGGTCTTTCTTCTAAATTCGTCAATCTATTCCAACATGGAGCAGTTGCAGGCAGTGCAGAGAATTGTCGCGGGACCAAGTCTTCAGGGACCTTATATTCTGTTCGGACCACCAGGTAAGAGTTAAGAGTTACTCTAAAAGTACTTATTTTCTTTAAGATTCGAGAGATGAAATTACAATTATATGCCAATTAAAAGTAAAGTATGTGGAACTTCCATATTTATATTTACTAATATGTATTTTTCATAATTTATTAAATTGCAGTTATAACTTGATTAATATTATTACTTCACATTATAGGCACTGGCAAAACCACTACTATTGTGGAGGCCATTCTACAACTGCGCCTTCAGCAACCGCGAAGCCGCATCCTTGTAACCGCCGGTTCGAACTCGGCTTGCGACACTATCGCCTTAAAGCTGTGCGAGTATATCCACAGCAATGAACGGCTCCGGGAGCATTTTGCTAAACAGGAGCAGCCAAAGCCCGATCACCAGCTGATCCGCGTGTTCTCACGGTCTGTTCACCAGAAGGGACTTAAATCCGTGCCGGCACTGTTGCTAAAGAATTCCAATTGTTCGAAAAATATTTACGAGCATTTTGGAGTTTCACATATACTCAAATATGGTATCACTGTGGCCACTCTCTGTACTGTGGGACGCTTGGTCACCGATAAACTCGGGGAGCACAACTTTTTCAGTCACATTTTCATCGATGAGGCGGGCGCTTCAACTGAACCGGAGGCTTTGATCGGCATCATAGGTATCAAACAGAAGTCGGATTGTCATGTAATCCTGTCTGGAGATCACAAGCAACTAGGCGCCGTGATAAAGAGCAATCGCGCTGCATCTTTGGGACTAAGCAAATCTCTCATGGAGCGACTCCTTGGCTTGGATTGCTACAAGATGGATGAAAATGGAAACTATGATCGCACTCTGCAGACACGTCTGCGTCGTAACTATCGATCCCATCCTCAGATTGTCCGCCTTTTCAACGATCTCTACTATAACGGAGAGCTGATCTCTGAGGCTCCCGCTGCTGATGTTAACCTAGCAGCTAATTGGAGTCTCCTCCCCAATCCTAATTTCCCGATCATTTTTCAAGCCACACATGGAGTAACCCAAAGAGAGCAAACCTCGACAAGTTCTTACAACCACTTGGAGGCACAGGTGCTCTGCTGGTATGTAAAACGACTGATCAACGATGGTCTTGGAAAGAGAAGAAAAGTTAGCCAAGAGGACATCGGCATAGTGGCGCCGTATACGGCTCAGGGTAATCTGATTACCAAGCTACTCCAAAAACAGGGGCACCGCAACGTAGAGGTGGGCAGTGTGGAGACCTATCAGGGTCGCGAGAAGCCCATTATCCTTGCAAGTTTGGTAAAATCCTTTGCAAACATGGGATTTATGCGCAATCCGCGTCGCGTGAATGTTCTTCTATCTAGAGCCAAGGCTCTGCTGATTCTTGTTGGTAATCCGGTTACGCTGCGTCATCACCGGGACTTCAAGTTAATAATTAAGGAATGCAAGAAACAGGGCACATATCTATTTAAGGAGAAGAATTCTCAGCAGAGACCGGAGTTCTTGGCTGACGTTGAGGAAGAAGATTCCGATGACGACTCGAGCAATGCGCTGGAAGATTATGAGCTTACTCCTTGGTATGCCAGGATGCCGCAGAATATATCTGTGACCTTGGACAAATTGGAAACTCGGCTAATGGAATCAATGGCCAAGTTATCAATACAAAACCATTTGGACCAAAACTCAAATTACCTCAAGGCTGGTCCAACAAATATAACAAAACTGAAACTGTAGGAAATATGAGTGCAGTCTTAAGTATAAGCCATAGATTAAGTGAATGAAAACAGACTCCGAAAAGTTCAAATTAGGGGCTCTGCTATGCCCCTAAGATTATCCTCTAGAAGAATTAAACCTTTTAGTTTGTTAAGCAGCACTAGATAATTTAAGTCTTGCCATCTGTAAAACAGAAGTGTTTGTATTTCTTTTTCATTATAAGTTTCTGATAACTATAATCGCTTAATGGATTATGCGAAGAAATAATACCCATGATATTCCGTTCAATGGCCTGCAAATGAAGAAATAGAAATAGTTGATATAAGATTTGTGTAAGAAATTGACCAATCTAATCCAAAGGGATGAGTTTTCATGAATGAATGTTATGTCAAATCGGACTTTTTAAACCAACTTTTATATTCAATCGAATCGGTGATTCAAATCAATGTGTATGCGCGCATTATCATATATATTTATATATTTAAGCAGTGTCTATATAATTAGTAAAACGATTACAAAATACAAATACAATGGAGTTGCTGCGTTAGGTTTTGAAAAAATGTTTAAAAATAGTTTTGCTCTTGTCACGTTACATAATCGATTCTTAATTTTTTTTTCCAACGCTCTATCGTTTAAATTCGTTCAGTCTTTGTTAATCAACAACTTTGTTAAAGTGTTTATATGTTTACGTTGAGTTGCGTTTTTTGTTCGCTTATTTCGTTTCATTTTTTTAAGCAATCAAATATGAGAAATATGTTTACGTAAGAAATGCCAAGTTTAGTTCGATTAATTAAAGTTTGTTCGATATAAAACCTTTGTTTTGCTTAATTTGGTTTGTATTAAAATATATATTATTATTATTATTACTCTATATATAAGCGGTGTTAACGCTCTTCGTAAACTGCTTGCGTTTAACAACTACATTTGGTATATTTTAGACCCCAAGACCGATCCAGCCAGACTTCAATTTGAGGAGTTGTCGTCTTCATCCGGGGCGTGTGTTTCCCGTGCTTTAGTGTTTGATGTGTATGTACGGATTTTGAGGATTTCAATTATCTGTGAGTGGTGTAATCTACTGACAGCGATGGCTACGTGGTGTTAATCTACAGTTCGACCCGCCTTAAACCACAATCCATGCAGAATTTAGCGGTTTCAATTATGAACTTGGAGCCGCATTCATAGCAGTAATTCGAAGGTTTCGTACTTGAACTCTTTGAAGAGCTGCTCATCAACGAGTGCTCTGAAGTGGTGGGTGTCATCGGTACATTGTTGTTGTTGTTAGTGTTGTAATCTGTCTGTGATTGGGACTGGGATAGGGTCTGCTGCTGATGTTGTTGCTGCTGCTGTTGCTTTTGGTAGTTGTAGTTGGTGGTCTGCTGCGGATGCTGTTTTGGCTGCAAAGCAAAGGAGTTATCGGAACCACTGCTGGACGGCTCTGCCTCATCGCCATCGCCATTATTGTTTGCATTTCCGGGAGCGAAGAGCCGTTGGCGAGCTTTGAGGGTTCCGTAATCAGTTTGTGCCTGCGTAGAGGCATCCAACATGCAGCTGGGCAACTTGGCACCGGCAGTGTGCGGACGCAGGAGTCCCTGGGGACGGGGAGTTTCCGTTTGAACTTCTGTGGAGCGCTGACGCGAAAAACTATAAGGTGAATTGCTGCTGTAATGATTAAAAGATAAATTATGTTTGGTCACGGATTAAGTAGTTTAGTTTCTAGATAAACCATACCTGCCATATGCTGAATCCGAACTTAACTTCGAGCTGGCTCCGCGTCGTGAGCCCTGAGATGAGGACATGGGATAGCCATCAAGACTGCTTAGCTCATCCGAGTCCGCCGACGGCGAAGGCGTCAATGGATGGTTGGTCTTAACCTGATGCTGCTGATGCTGCTGGCCCTGAATCCCTGAATTAGAATCTCTGAGCTCCCTGCTCGTCCGTTGCTGCTCGTCGTCCCGCCCGCCGTTGTTTACTATAAGCATGCGACGCATGGAGGCACTAGCCTCCTCGCCCAACTGTCGGAAGTCACTCTGCATCTGCTGGATTAGATTCTTGGCATTGTTCAGCTGCACGTTGGGCGCCAATAGGGAGCCGCTCGAGGATGGGGCCAATCGGTTGGTGGCTTGGCTGGCCCGATCCCCGTGCTCATCTCCGGCATCCTCCGTGTCGCTGATCTTGCTGAATCTAGCATGCTCCGGCTCGTTTCCGTTTTCAATGTGCAGCACATCAATGGGCGTTTGAGCATTGCCAACCATTTGGCGGAGTGACTCCGGCGAAATGGGTGAGCGTCCCTGAGCATTGGCCTCCGTCTCAATGCTAATGAAAATCTCCCGCTTCGGTTGATTCTCGGCGGCTGCCCGCTTCTCCATCTCCACGCGGCTTTGTTTCTCCTCATGACTGCTGGCAGTCGAAGCATTCGACTGCTGTCGTTGCAATAGCCGCTCATCGTGCATTTTTTGATCAGACCTGTGGGCGTGATTGTCTTTAATCTTGGACTGGTGACTATGGGGTGTTAACTGTGTGGCTGTCGTCTGTGGCGTTGAAGTCGCTTTCTGGAACGAACGTTGTCTGCTCGTCGAGCGATTCATCAGGAACTCGCGACAGTCCTTGAACAGCGGAAATTGCTCGTCCTCATTCTCATTCTCGAATGAGGAGAGGAACTCCTCGAAGTCAAAGTCGTCGAAGGTGGGCATAGCGTTGTGCACCATGGGCATGACCAGTGGCAATGGATTCGTCAGCAGTTGTTTCTGTTGCTGCTGCCAGCACTGCTCGTCGTACTCCATAGATGACCGGTTGGCCTCATCGTCCGCTGAACAGTTCGAGGATGCATCCGCATCTTCAGGCGAAGCATCGTAGAGAAAGTGGTTGCGTCCCAGTCGCATCTTGCGTTTTAGCAGATTTCTGGCTTCGCCAGATTGCCTCCTTTCGTGGGTGATTGTGGACTGGGAGCTACTCCGGCTACGGCTTTGGGACAACTGCTGAGGCGTGGAACTAGCATCCGAGGATATGCCACTATTCATATGCAGATTATCGCAGGCGTTTATCAGCTTTGGATCTATGAAATCTCCTGCCACTGACCCTGACCCAGACCCTAAGCTCGTTTCTCTCCTAGGACCAAAGATGCTTTCCAACTTTATTGGTGTAAGAGGAGCTGTAGGGTTAATCACTGGTTTGCTGATAGGTTCCAACCGCAAGGGAGTGGCCACCGGTGGGTAACTAACCTCCTTGACCACATTGGGGGATGTTGGTACCGCTGTTGGAGTCAATGGTGGCAGCTGTGACGGAGTACTTTGTCCCAAGCTCTTGGCCGAGTTCTGCTTACTCAGCGTATTGCTCTTATCCTTCTGCTCCTTGCTGGTCAACTGACTGGCGGCTGCCATCTCGGCTGCCTTGGCATTCAGTTGCTCTAGTTCGTGCTCATACTTCAAGAACACGGCCAGGGAGTCGGTTTTAGCCACATTGCGGCCAGCTTGCGGAGAGGATGGGGTATTGCTGACTTCATTGGTCCCACCCATTGGCAATTTAAGCAGTTGCTTACGATTGGAGGCGCTGGTATCCCGTCGAACCACACGTGGACTGTGAAAATCATTGCCACAGGCTGCCCTAACAGGCATCTCGTCGAACTCTTCCGGTTTCAGGAAATTCGTTGAGATGGGACCCTCATCAGAGAGACCACGTTGAATGGTGGGACGATAGTTGGTGGCAAACAGGGGGCGACTGTTCAGCATGGGTGTACGACGAGGTCCTCTCAGGGATGAAGTGCGTCGGAAATTTGAGGTTGGAGCGACCTTTTGGGCAATCTGTGCTGGTTTACTGATAGACGTGGTCAAGGAAGTGGTCATGGCTATGCTGGGTGTGATTGTAGGTGTAGTTGTAGCTAAAGGTGTCAATGTTCTGGTAGCTTTGGTGGTGCTGGTGGTCACCACCTCCTCTGGCGGCGGCGTGCTGGGCGAGCAGAGCTCCTCCAGCTGTCGCTTGGCCGAGAGGAAGGGATCGTACTTATCCCCCAGGCCGCTGTTAAAAAGAAGATTAAAATCGATTAGGAAAAGAGGTGATATAGTTAGTATATGATGAACCGCCCAGTTATGCTCTGTCTGGCTGTTGTCTCTGGAGGATTGGTTGGGATTATATGATTCCTATCTTGGATACAAACCTATTTGTTCTGCGCTTGGCACCAGGGGGTGACTTGATATACATAGTTCCATCCTCATCTTCTTCTAGTAGCACCAAACGACGACTGACGTTGCTATTCTGCTTGGATATAGGAGGCAACTTCAGGGCCGGCTTCTCCTCCTCCTCCTCTTCATCTTCATCACTTCGGGCATCCTCCATTTGGAGACTGCCTTTAGGAGTGGGACTTGATCGAGCCCGGTCCAACAACTTAGTCCCTTGGATCATAAGGTCAGCCTCTATGGCTTCGTCATCTAGGTCACTGGTATAATTATCCGGTTCATCTTCATCCGGTTCAAAGTCCATCCTTTCGTTTCCCAGCTTCAATCTGGGAAGTACTGATTCCCCAATAGATTGGTTAATAGCCTCCAGACTGTTCTTTAGGCCTGACATTGGCCTAGCCCGCATTGGTTCCGAGTTGCTCGTAACCTGACCTGATCTCTTGGTGGGTCTGCATACTGTGCGCATGGCAGTGGCCTCCAGTTTAAGCTGAATCTCTGCTCTTGGTGAATCCTCTTCGGATCCGGAGTAAACTTTTCCCTGCTTTCGCTGCAATGGCACTAAACTGGAGTCCAAAGAGGCAAACTGCACGTCATTGGAGACCACGGAACCGTGTTGTAAAGAACGTAACTCTAGATTGGGATTCTCCTTGGTGCGAATACGTCGACGCGCCTGGCGTACTAAAGATGTGGAGGAGTGCGGCTTGGAAGTCATATTGGCGATTTCCTGCTCATCCATTTCCACTTTGCAAATGGGTGTGCCGCCTGAGGTGGAGCAGAGTGGAGGATGGGAGGTTGGGTACTTGGGTTAGGATTATATTTTAAAGGGAAGAGGTTTACCTAGGCATACATATCGCGTACTACTTTTATAGGTTTTTTCAGATATTACTTTTCTTAGCTGTATTTTTACCTTAATAAATCCAATTTGATAATTAATTCTAACTAATTTCCTCATTTTAATATTTTCAATAAAAAGAAAAATCCATTATAAATTCCCTTAAGTGCTACTTCCCTATTTCTCCTTCGATACCCTTGACTTCTCATTCTAAGACTCTCAAACATATGAAAAACCCAATTGGATGCACTTGCACCTGGACTACGCCTTAAATTAATGCTTCGCTGATCTTTCGAATGCTTCAATGCGGCGCGCACTAATTAACGATCATGATATGGTTCCGGGTTCTTAGATCTTACAAGTTTTAGTCTGTCTCGAGTTAATTGAAGAACTACATGCCATCTACACTGGAGCTACCTAAGAGTTGTTCCAATCCTAAACCTAAAAAATTCAACCCATACCTTTGCGCTTGATCAACCCATTTAGCTGGTCGAAGGTCATGGTTACTTGGGGAAGATTGGGCAGGCTGATATCCTTGTCGACAGCATCAAATTTATCCATTTTGGAAACGCCCTTGCGGCGTCTAGCTGGCTGGAGAACTGGCGCCTCCACGCAATCGAGCTTGGCCAACTGCAGTGAATCTCCACTGCCATTATGCCTCAGTCGTTCCATAGTATCGTCGATTTCATTGCAGGATTCCAGCTGTTTGCGCTTCGAGCGACGCAGTGCCTCACGTTCCCGCGGTGGCGGTGACGATGGTGGATCCTCATTGTAAAGGCTCACTCGGTTCTGGGTGACTGATGAGTTCTGTTTTGTACGAGCTACCGCACCTGCCGAAGTTCGAGGTCTGGAGACTTGAGCTTGAGCGCTGAGGATCATTTTTGGGATAAGTGAAGATTGCTGATCGGAGGACTAACTACAGTGTGTTGAGACTACACGACGGTGGCTATAGCTATCAAATGGTTACGGTTACGATTTACTGGATTAATCAACGACGACCAAAGCAACGCCAGAAGAGCATCGGGGGTTAGGACTAACTAGCTAAGAAAGATCTAGGTCATCTACTCACTTATCACTGTGCACGGACGACGTCATCGAAAGGGACATCATATTTGGCTTGGGTGTCGTTATCTCACCCGCTTCCAGAAGCTCCTCATGGTTACCAGAGTACTTGTCCCGAGCCAAAGATCTCTTTGTCCTTGTAAACATTGCGAAAAAAATAATATTTATAAATAAAATTAGAACAAAAAAGAAAACAATAGGTGTGCGTGTGTGTATTAAGATTGTGTCTGAATGTGTTAACCAAATAAAATCAAGGCTTACTTGAGATTGGGTGGCCTGTACTGCTTCCTGGCCTCCAGGCGTTCCTTAGCCTTGTTGGTTTCTAGACTGTTGTTAGACTTCATATTGGCCTGAATGGCCTTCTCCTTGCACCATTCCACATGCCGATCAAAAGCCTTGGGGTTAAAGGTGCGATCACAGTGGGGACAGCGATCGCAAGCCGGTGCCTTGATACGTTTGGCCATCGATCGTTCACGGACTAGTGGAGCAGCTGAAGCAGCAGGTGGCCCAGTGGGTGTCCCAGCGGGTGCCTCTGTAGCCGAATTAGAAGATAATGTGGATGCCGCCTTCCGCATAGAAGCTCGGGCAGTGGAACGAACCATTTCGGCTTGCGACTTTCGACGAACTGGCAGAGGTGAGTTTACCGGCTAAAAGGAGTTGGGAATGCGGTTAAAGGTGGAACAAAATTTTTGGAAAAGGCAAGTATAAGAAAGTATTTAAGCTTAAGACAGATTCTTGGGAAGAATATAAAAAGAATCTTACATAATCAGAAATTAAGTCACCCTTTTTACTGATATATTTACCTCTGCTGTTGCAGCATTTACTGAAGTAGTCATGGGATCGCGACTAGTGGTCGGCGGAGATGGTAATCCAGCCGTCCGTTCTGCATTGGGAAGGCCAAAGTTCTTGGGCAGAACGTAAGTGGAGAGAGCCGTTCCATCTCGGCGTTGGCGTGACGAGTCAAAGATCTTGCGCTTCTTAGAGGATTTCTCGCAGATAACCACGTGCTTACGTAGGGCATCCACGACAAAGGTGCGGCTACAGCATGGACATGGTGTCAACTGGCTGGGCTCTTGGGCCACGTACTCCGGCACTGGAAGGGACGAGTTGGAGGTCAACGGCGGCGGGGGCAGCGGTTCATCCTCCGCGCCCCGCATAGAATCTTCCGCCTCGGGATCCGTGGTGGCGCTCGTTGCTGTGTCAAAAAGATGGAAAAGAAAGAAGTGAGAATCGAGTTTCGACACGGGTTTCAGTTAGCTACGAGCACTTTGGCAATGTTTGTCAGATGAGGTGAGGGGTAAAAATAAGAGTATTTCCGAACGTTAACGAAACAACGAAACGAACGGTCAGGAGTAGCAAACTGGGAGTTGCTTTCAAATTCAAAAATAATCACCAAGCTAAAAAACACAAAAGCAAGCTAAAATAAAATCTAAATTAAAATCGAAATAATAAAGGTATGATGAAATGATAAAAATATTACAAAGTTTTTATTTTAAAATACCTGAATTTGGTATAACAATAAATAGTTTCAAGTTGGTTTCTTATCTTACTTAATAGCTTAACACCTAGAAAACCCCCTTATCCAGATCAAAAGGGCTTGGCTTCTTCGGGGAAAGTTTGGATTTAGGAAAAGCCCAGTCACTTTCCCAGTGAAAATGGCTGGCAGCGAAGTGAAAAACACAGGCTGGCAGATTCATGGTCGATTGTTTTTTTGGGCGACAAATTGTCTGTCCCACCAATAAATTCCCAAAAAAAAAAAGCGCTGAGACAATGGAGTCACAGACCCAGCCCCAAATAATTTATAGCTATTATTTCGGTTCGTCTTTGGCGATCAGCCTATAAATTGTTATTTATCTGAAATGTAGTTATGTCCGAAGTGGGCAGCTGGTCTCGGCTAAAACTCACTGATTTTGGTTTTGGTTTTGGCCTGTGGGCGGGAATTGTGTCTCGAAGAGCGAATATCGAGTATCTTGTGGATGGCAGGTGGTTCTGCCAACAGCTACCCACAAGTACTGTGTTGCTCTTTGATCTATACTTCTAATAATGATATAACATTCCTCAACAATAAGAAACAAAATAACTTGAATATATTGAAATTTAAAACTTTTCTATCTTTATTATTAAGACTGTACTTCTTTAGAGTCTTTAGTTTCAGTTCTAAAAGTAGAAAGATTCCTTAACTGTTTTCCTTAGACCGATCACCCGCTACATTGTGTGGGCTTTGGAGAATAATAATTAGAAACATCAATGGTGGAGGCCACTAATCACAGAGTCGTAGGAAATCCAATTATAATGCGGACCCAGCACCCGCAAACTAGCAGTCAGATTGAGATTACATCAATCAGCGACACGCACAGACATGGGCTGAAGAATTTCCGCAACATCTTGAGACCCATCTGTCTCATTTCCATTCGAATCAATGCAAAGTTGTGTGTTACGCATATTATACATAAACATACATAATCCACAGTGATGAGAAGTGGGTGAGTTGTACTATCTAACCATCTGTCTTGTGCTAATGATGCTTCGAATATGAGATATATGCACATGCATTATGTGCATCCACTTGAGATATTTAAAAATAAAAACATCAGGGGCCTTTACGTCTGTTCACATCAGATCTTTTGCAGATCTCGGGCAAACTGGAGCCAAAGGGATTTTCAAATGGTCAAGAGTTTACTAGATCAAAAGTTGAAAGCCATTGAGGCGAGTGATGAATGCCACTTTAAATCTAGTCGAATATGGCATTGCTGCTTGCCCAATACCGTGGCCCATCTTTCTATTTTGTTAGTTGGTGTCTAGTCTTAAGCATTTCCATATTTTGTTGTCTTTGCGGCTAGTGGTTGTTGGGCAATCTCCATAAGCCACTTAAGTCTTCAGTGGGCCCCATAAATGTCTTGGTCGTGTGTGCAATATGGTAAAAGTGTAATACAAACAGTTTCCCTGTTCCCAGACACACACACACAGTGCCTTTCAGGTTCTTGGGTATGCTTTGAACTCTCAACTCTTTGACACCCGAGAAGAATGACCATGGAAACTAAAACCGAGGACTTGGCACCTTGGTACGGGCAAGCTGGGAACCAGACTGGTTTCCACATTGGGAAAAGAGTTGCGGAATTTGGTATTCAGTTGTGAAGTTTAAATAATCCTTAAAAATTACTTTAACTTTAGTTTACTTTTATGTTTCTTTTAATAATTTTGTAAAGCAGATTATTTTATGTTAAAGAACTATTTTTTAAAATATAGTTTAAAAATTGTGATCTTAAATAACGACTTAGTTACTTTTGTACTCAAAAGCTTTTTGTGATAAAATTTCTAATGAATGTTTTTTGCCAACATATAAGAGTTTTTTAAGTTATACATAAGTCTAAATAATATATATTATCGTATATATACGCACGTTTCAAACTTATCGCTTTTAAGTTCATGGAAACCCAAAAGCCTAAATGACTGAATAATAAGCTTGCAAAAGAAACCATTTAAATTTGTGAATTTGTCACAAAAAGTTGTTTATGAGCAGAAACCTAATCATTTATAATGATTCATAAAGAAATTTAAGATTGATTTCAAGGATTTAGAAACTACTAAAGATCTTTAAGAGAGACAACGTTTGTACATTTTCTATGAATATTATTCTCTTATAAAAATATTCATTTCTCAACCTTATGCTTGTTCTGTTAAAATAACGAGTTCAGATTTTTCAACCTAAAATCTAGCCATTAATCAAAGCTTTGAATTTCAGTTTTCTTAAAGAAAAAAACAAAGGTGACATCATTTTCTAGCTGGGAATTGATAAGCAGAAGGAGTCAGCAAAGAGGTCATCATGAAGACAGATTAAACAATTGGAACAGATGTGGGTTGCAAGCAATTTGGCTGATTTTCCCCACAGCTTTCACCAAAGAGTAATTTAGATGGAAACGAAAACGGTTCATTTAGCACTAATTAGTTGTTAATTTCTGCATTGAAAATTACTTGATTTAATTGCCGTAGCTGTGGTGGCTGTCGTTGCTGTAGGATTGGCATGCAAATTCAAATGGTTAGTTGTTGGACACTTAGTGGCCACATCGATCTTATTGACAACGATTAAGACGCGTTGCAGTTGATTGCCTGGCTTATTGTTAGTTAATGTTTCTGATGTTGCTGATGTTGCATCCGACTCACTTGGCTTGGCAATTGCCAGCTTTTTGCTGTTGTTGTTACTGTTGCGTCGCATGGAAAATGTGTTGCGAACGCGCGAAAACGTTGACAGATGTTGCTGCTGCGGCTGTTGCTTTTGTTGATGTTGCAGCTGATTCGCTTCACTAAACTCCAACGAGTTGAAAGAACTTTGCAGCGGCTGCTGTTCGAAAACGTTATTGTTGCCATTTCCATTTCCACAGGCAGGGCCATTTCCATTTCCATTTTCGTGTTCATTTTCCTTTTCGTTACTGAAATTCATCTGGCCATTTTCACCGGCCAGTAAATCATTTAATTGCTGATACTCCTCATACACAATGCGACTATGCCGCTTGTTGATTTTGGTCAAAGGCTGAGGTTTCTGTGACTTCGATTTGAAAATCTTTTGCCACATTTTCTTGCTCATTGTGAGGCGATTTATTTCCGATTTTAATCACTTATATATATCCCTATTGCTTAAATGCATTTCACGCACTAACTCCACGTTCCGAATGAACTTTACGCGCCGGCTTCTCGTGCTCAACTGAAAAGCAAGCAACAGCAACACCCGCCAGCAACATTACAAAGCTCCACTGGCAACATGTTGCCGCTGGTTGGCGGCATTTTGCATGGCATTAAAAATAGTTGCACTCCAGTTTTGGACCGAGTGTGGGTGTTGTTGTCTTTGCACAAAGGCCACGATTCTGTTCCGACTCCCTCGCTCTCACCGGATTTCAGTTGTCTACTAGATAAGTTTCCCTTCTCTTCCATGTTGTCTTTACGGCTGATTTATTTAAAGCCGCCGCCGCTGGCGACGTCAAATGTTGCTGAACCCTCGACTACTTGGGGCATTATTCATTCTCCGCCAGAATGGCTGCCAATTTCCCAGCTCCCAAGTCTAAGTTTCAAATTGAAGTCTCACTCGTTCCGACCATCAGTCAATCAGTTAACCGAACTTCAAAGAGAGTGCCCATTTCCTGTCTAAACGGGCAGGGAATCGGTAACACAACTGGGTGTAGCCCCCACACATGTGCAATTATGTCCACTTTTGGGGCATGAAAAACATCCACTTACTGCCACTACTTCGGTTGCATAAGTGTGCCAAAAAAGGTAGACTGAATCGAAAAACTGCAACTGCAGCAACATTTGGCGACCTCAGCAACATGCGGTGCAACATGCAGGCGCTTCACATAAATAAACAGCTGGCCGCAGAGTTGGAGACACTTTTGGTGGACTTTTATATAAATCAGGGGCATCACAGCTGGGGGAAACAGTTTGTTATGGAGATACCACTTCACACAGAGAAAAGAGTATTTGTTATTAGCTAGCTATAAGCCAAACTATCTATCGATCTGTAAATCAATGATTCTATGGTAAAAGAATGAAGTTTCTTTGTTTGGTATAATGGCTTAGTAGTTCCACTTATCACGTTACTAATTAAAATATGTAATCATTACTTTATATCACACTATAATTTATGCTCCACTATGCTTAAGGTGATCTTGAAACTATACAGTCGGACACCCGTTGGCAGTGCATTCCATATTCGTGTTTCGCCTACATCAACTTTGCCATATTCGTATCTTCTTTCCATCTCTTTTCGCCGTTTCTGTTTCTGTTTTTAATTGAAATGCGAATGCACTTTTAGTATCGCTTTGCTCGGGCCAAACGATCCCCATTTGTTGATGCTATAAATCTCGGAATATATACATATATTGCAGCATCCATCCGCTGACGTCACCAGGCTGTGGAACTCTCTTATGCAAGTTGCCTTGACATGAGACAAAAAGTTTGATTTCTGCACGTGCCAAAAGCGAAGGAGAATTATGTGTAAAAGTCATGAACTTGAGGTTCAGCTCATTCCTGCTAATTTATATTTATATCTTGTTTATCGACCCAACAACTTCCCTTTTTGAAGAGAAGGGGGTGGAGGTCTTGGGGAATGGGTGGTTTTTTGGGGGTGCTGTGGGCGGCGGCATCGTTTGTGGTCGCCCACGCGTCGCGACTTTGAGTCTTGGATAATCTCTGATAATTGTCACGCTTCGAGAGCGCCAACGAAAATAGAAAATCTGCTGCAGTTGCATATCGCGCGGTCTCGTTGGGTGTGGATTGAACGATCTGTTGCACATACTCGTACATATATCTCGCTCTGGCGATTTTCACGGTGCAGCAACATGCCCTCAGGAAATATGTTTCAAAAGGGGCGCGTGCTTATAAATAGTCAAAGTTCTAAAATCTAGATGATGTGCGGATGGCGTTTTGGGGGCAAGGCGGCGACACGACCGAAAAACTATATTTTCAAAGTGAACTCAAAATGCTGTTTCTTATGCACTGTTATAAAAAGGTTTAGGTTAGTTTAAATCTTGGTTTCAGTTTCTCTTCGGTAATATTGATATTCAAATTTGGTTTAAAAAGATTTTCAATGCCTATGACTAATGCTTTAAGAATTTTTAAGTGTTTAGAAAGTTTATTTTTTAAGATTAGATATTTCAATGTTATTTTTCATTCATACTTATTATTCATTTCCTAAAATATATCTTCAGTCATGAGTGTTAATCATAATTTCACAAAGTTCTAAATTTTAAAGTTCTGAGATAAAATATTTTATATTTTGTTTTATCATTTGATAGATTTTCAAACTGCAGGTTATAATTAATTTATTTTAAATCCCATTGAGATATATTAAACTGATAGGCTATATTTTATGTCCCCTGTAGACTAACTTTAGACTAATCTTATTACTCATCAGGAATCTACGGCTAAGTTCTATAAATATTGTGCTAGTGTATTAGGGACTCTTTCGATACTGCGCACTTGGCGACATTTCTGTGGCATCTGAATCTTCACCTGCCCCTCCTCTTTGCAATCTAGCTATGTTCCATCTCACTCTGGCCAGCTGAAACACACTTCACATATCAGCAACATAAGGCCGTCGTATTTTCCACTAATTAAGTTCTATTTCTTCCAGTCGTCAGTCGCCCCTGAGTCCCTCTATCGCCCCTTCGATCATCTAATGAAACCATTTCAGTTCATTGGCGCTGAATGTTTTTTCTTTTTGTTTTTCATTTTGTTGTTGTTGTGTTTTCTAAGTTTGTTTCCATCGAACGCATTTTGCAGATTGCACAATTTTCCCTCGGTTTTCATTTTTCATGTGTGTAGGTTTTTTTTTTGTTTTTTGGTTCTGTTTGTAACTTGGTGATTCCGATGTTGTTGCAACAAATTGAAGTTGATTTGTTTGTTGTTGGCAGTGCTGATTGGCTTTTAGAAAGTGTGAAATACTTTTGTGTTTGTATCCAATACGATTTTGTGTGTGTTTTCAGCTTTTCCAATTGTGTTTTTCTTCTTTTTTGTTTTTTGCATTTTGGAGTGTGAGTAGAATTGGGCCGTTAATTGAGGTAGGTAATTTCCAATTGGATTCGGAACACATTCGATCGATAGGTGAAGCCAAACGATTAGCAATTCAATTTGTGAGGCGCTTAGGCTTCGAATGTATTTCAGCAAAACAAATTAAAATTTGAAAGGGTTAAGTGATTTTGAGTGTGCTAGACGATTAATATAAATTGTATTATAAAAGCATAATAAAAAAAGCATGCATAAAAAGCTATTGATATTTAAAAAGTAATTACTTAATATGTTTTGCCTGTTAATGCGCTTTATTAAATTTTAATTTAAGTATTTCATATTTTTATATATTTTATGTTTTAGCATTTAGCTTAATTATTTTTGATTTTTTTTTTTTTATAAATTTTTCATAATTTTCTTACTGGAAAAAATATGTTTTTAATTCTCCAAAACTTTACTTTTTACCTCTAAATCTACTTAAAACACAAAAGGTAGTACTAGCATTTCAGCACGGCAACACTGCCTACTACTATATTTAAAAGCTTTTTCAAGCTTTTTTGGCATTTGCCGGCTTCCAGCGGATTATGTTCGAAGTTTGTTGTTTGCCGAATAATTGTGGGCATAAGTTTATGACCACTTTAAATGGATATTTAATTGCGAAACTGCAATTCATCAATGACAAAATTTGTTAATGGCAGAACTCATCCCAAGCAGAGAAGTGACTTGCAGAAAATATTTTATAAAAACTGGTTACTGCAAAGCTCAAAATAACACCTTTATATGAAATGGCAGTAGAAAAACAAACAGGTTGAGATTTTGACTTTGGAATTAATTCTATGTTTGTCTGAGACTTGTAAACAGCTTGTGCCACTAAATGTGGTTCAATGTCAAGGAAATTCATCGGATTAACAGAGAGATAGAGAGTGGCAGAGGGAAGTCATTTTCGAGTGGGCCGAGGGAAGTGGGTCAAACTGACTGTCGTTTAGGCCATATATACAAAGTCAAGCCATTACTGTCAGTTGGTAGGGCGACAATGGAATAGTTTTTGTACTTATTTATTAGCATTATCGGCAACTTGTTAAAACTGGCACGCAAATCTGCCTGCCAGACGTGACTGACATGGCTAAAACGGATTTGAAATCTATAGCAAAAGCCCGATTTCTGTCAACCAGTTGGCATATTTATCAGCCATATAAATATGGGCTATAACTTGAGTTAGTTTTTGTTGACTCTCTGACAATCTTTAATTGAATTATTCTCGATTGCTGCGCAAAACGCACACATTTTGTCTCCAACTTTAGCTGAATTTCTTGTTTTGGGCTTGTCTTTAATTTAATTAAAACTTATTTGATTCTCTTTTTTTGTTTTTTTTTTTTTGGTTCTTTTGCTGTTTACTGCAAATGGAAATTGACATAGATATGTCAGTTGCTTTTGTTGTCAATTGCTTGGCTTCTGTTTTTTGTGTGTGTTTATTTTCAATTTTATTTTAAAATGCCTTCCACGTTTTGTGTGTTTGATTTGGTTGAAAGCTTTTTGAGCTTGCTTCTCTTTTTTTGCAATACAAAAAATAATAATATATAGTATTTGCAATAATAACTGATGTCATCTGGGGGACTTGGGGTGATAGAAAGCTGCGGGCTTTGTTATTTTCAAGCGGTTTCTTTCATTGAGAGAAGGCTTGGAACATACAGATAACTGTTCAAGTCTGTGGTTTTTATAGTTATTTCAAATGATTTTCACATCCGTTTTGTTTGAAAATGATTAATGTGCTTTGTTTTCTATCTATGTATATATTCCTCCCAACTTCATATAAGTTCTTTTTATTTTTAATTTTGTCTATATCCGTCTTATAGTTCCCTTAAAATCTTTTGTCCTACACCATTTTATGGGCTTTATGAACATATTTAATATAAGCTTGTTCTCTGTTTTTTTTTAATTTGAATATAACATGCTTAGTTGGTCGTAAAAAGTGACTTCATGCTTCATTGAGTTCATTATAAATTCAAATCGGCCCCGTTTTTCCCCTCTGGGTGTATTGGCTTTAAGTGGTTTCCTAAACACTTCCTCCAACACAGCTGGAGTTTCTTGGCCTGGGGCTGCATGCCAAGTGCTTTTCGGAGATTTTGTGCGCCTGCGCGGAAGTGCCATGAATATTTGAGTATTTTAAATTAGCCGCACATTGTTTGCATTCATATTGTATGCATTTTTTTTTACAAAGTGCACATGAAAAAATAGATTTGGTAAAAGAAAAATATAGCTATTAAATGTATTAACTTTAAAAATGACTTTTACATTGTTAAATTTGAAACTTTTAAATGGTATTTTCAGTATTTGGTGATAGAAATTATTTTTGACACATTTCAATATGTTTTTTATTATCAAAATTGAAACCCAAATATATACCCAATCTTGTAATGAAGTCTTTAGATATAGAATATCGACTTTACCAGAAAAAATTGTATAAATAGTGATAGTATATATAAGCTTATTTCCATTTCTGTGATAGTTTTTCAGATGAAATTCGTTTTTCTTTAGTGTAAAGAATCGATTGATAAGCCCATAACACAAAGACTGTTTACAGTTGTAATTGGCTAAAGTGGTACTTAATGGCTTACCAAAATCAAAGTGATACATGGTGGGCATTTCCCTGGGAGTTGTGGTGCGCGTTATCGAGTTGTGCTGGTGCAGCCGGGGTGTGGGCGGCGGCGTGGCGATGAAGATCGGCTCCAGGGGCCTCCTGGTCTGCTCCGAAGTAGCCATTTTTTTTTACATATGTTTTTATGTGGACACTCGCGATATTTATGCAACAAACTTGCTATTAACTTGGCTATCACTCTTCCGCCTATTGGTAGTTAAGTTAAAACGCGAACGCGTCTTTAGTCGCCGGCGTTTAAAAGCGCGCCAAACTCTCTTTTGCTCCACATGCAACTTATTTTTTTCTTAACTTTTCCCGTTTTGTTCGTTTTTTGGTTGTTGTTGTTTTTCAGGTGCTTTACTTAATATTCATTAATGATTTTGCCGCATTGCTAATTAATCATATTTCGTTTTCACTGCACTTTCAAAAAATCATACAAAAAGGCTTTGGAAACAATTTTGCCTAATGTACCTTTTGTTGTTTTCACAATATTTTTTTTTCTTTCCATGCACGCTAGTCTTTTTTCGGTTTTTGAGTTTTTTTTTTTTTTATTGTATGATTGGTTCACATTTGAAATTCGCTTTGTTAGTCGCAAGTTTCCACCAAAATCCTATGGAAATGCGGCGGCTGGCATGTAATTTTTGGGTCTGCAATTGCTGTTGGATATCCGAGAGTTGCAATTGGAGTTCGGCGCTGTGGGATTCCCCTTCTACTCCTCTTTTTTAAGTTCGTTGTCGTTTGTTTCTATGAATATCTGCAAAAGGTCAGAGCGTGAGATATGAATTTTAAGCAAGTCGTTTGGGCAGCGGGAGATATTTCACTATAACAAAGAAATTTCCAGTTTTCTTAAGATTTACTACTTTAAAACTGGGTTATTTTAGGTCTTTGATTTTACAGGAAAATATATTATATTTATGTATGCATAGTATTAAAAATGAATAAAATTTATTGTTTTTGGCTAGAATTTGAAAGATTCTTCTTCTTTTGTTTGCTAGACCAGTTTTATAAGCTTTTTTAGTGCTGTTAAAGCAGTCGTAGATGAGTTGATCTATTCAAATAATTTGTTTTGCTTTACCTATTGACTACACCAACTCCCTCAACAAGTTTCAGGAAAATGCGAGGTTCAAACAAAACAGAAAAACCCACATAACTTTCAGCATTGAGGCTAAGCTTATATTAGCTAATTTGCAAAAGTCTATAGGAAAACCGTATACAGTCAACTGTAAGAGCGTGTATCTAATGAATACGCAAAGCGAAGAATATGATGAAATCGTCTAAACTTAGATTGCGATTTCATAAAACTTTGCCTTTTGTTTTGCCTTTGGAGGATTGGCTCACGCAACCGCAGAAATAAAAAAAAAGGGGAAACAGAGTGAGAGTAAGGGTGATTGAATTGGTTTTCCTAATAGGCCAATTAATTACCGTTAACTTTTCGTTTCAGCCCTTCAAGTTTTTGCTTTCGATTCGCGATGTCTCCCAGTTTGTTGGGCAGCTGAAACGAGACTGAAAATCCCAAATAAACCGCGAGAACTCAGCCTCTCTTAATTGCGAAATGAAAGTGAACATTAAAAGCAATTGAAGATCTTTTGTGTGTGAAGATCTCTCCCACAAGTTGAGGAATTTTCAAGTTCCCAAAACGCAGATTAAAAGTCTTAAAGAGAAAAGCTTTTGTGGGTATATCAAATGATATTTAAAATCAAAAGAGGAGGAGAAAAAATCAAATGTTATGTGGTAAATAATCAATAATTTGCAAGCCATTCTCATTAGAACTGGCCAAGGGTAAATCTATTATAATAATCATCTCATTAGCAATCAAATAGTCATTAAAACAAGCTGCCATTTTAACCCACACCTTGACTGGCCAATACAGTTTGTTACTTTCCTACCTGAAGATGTCTTTATATACGAGCCAATCCCCAGATAAGCTAATCTAATAACACGCTTGTCTATATCTATGTTAGGCGACAACTAAATCTATAAATCTTAATAGCCATCGACAGACGCCATATGCCATATGGCACATATAATATATATATAGCATATATATTCTATATAGAACAAGTTTGTTGTTGGGTAATTGCTGGGCTCACTTGTAGCGATAAACTCGTTTCGATTTTTACATTTTTCCGAGTTAATTTATGCCCCCCAACCCAAACCGATTTACCAGTTTCTCTCGAACTATACGCATAGATAAGACCCCTGAAATTTATGTAAGATTATTGTGCATAATTTGAGTTGAAAGGTTTGCCGCTCCCTCTCAAATTCAATATTCATTCTGTGGGGCAGATGAAGTAAGTGACTTGGAACAGTCATATCAACCAAATTGGGATAGGGCTGTTGAAAGGCTTGGAGACGTGCTTTGAATCCCATCCGGAAAATCAAGTGAGTAATGGCATTTGAGATTTCAGTTATTCGAGATCCGTGCTTATACGTATATTAGGAGTATTTTTTTTGGGAAACAATATAAAGTTATAAGTAAAAATAACCAAAAACCACAGTCGTGATGTGTGACTCTTTCAAACTGGTTTCCATATAAAGCTAATTTATTTATTTATTATTATCCCAGCCACATTATTATCATCTTCATCATCGTTTTTCATCTTTTTTTTTGCCACCCACTCAAGTCATTCCAAGACGTTGACGAACTTTATCTTGATCTTACTTCATATAAAACTCATTCATATCCCACGCTAAAAAATAATGCAAGCTTAAAGCTCACACATTTCAATTTAAATGATGACTAAATGATGGGAGTTTCTTGAACTAACTTTTGGCTAGTCTCACGCATTACGAAAATAGCACAAGTGTATGTTGCAAAGGTTTTAAACTAGAACAAGACGAGCGTCAAGAGTTGAGAGCATTGAAACATGGGCAATGTAAACAAAAGCTCTGACTTGGGTTTCCACTTTGGAATTTGTCTGGGGCCTAACAAGTGCAACATTGTCGTTCCATTTGGACAGGCTCACCTTCAAAAGTGGCTGTGACAATCTCACTCTTACATATATTCTATATATATATACTAGTTATATATATAAACTGGCATCACTTTCGATTTGGCACAGTAACGGATACAAAGGCCCAGAATGAGTGGCTTGTCTTGTTGCAGGTGAAGGTCGCTTGGGATTCCAATCTTGTTGAGCTAGGGTGTCAGTTTACACAGATCTCTGAGGTCTGGCTGGGGATGGGGTTCCTTATCAAACATGTGTGTGTGTGTATGCAGTTTCATTTTCTTTTCCCTCTATCTCTCAGTTTTATCAGTTGTTTTTGTTTGATAAGTGCAATTGCAGAAAAGTCAACACAAGTTGATCCTTTTATTTGGTAGAAATATCTACCTTTGTGCACTAAGGGGAAAAACTCGTGAGAAAATACTTAAAAAGAGATAATTTATCTATAATTTGAATCACTTTCAATGCAACCAAGAAACACTTTCCTAACTTAATGCATTTATTTTCCATGATCTTACTCTGATTTAAAGTATACCACCATTTGCATAGCTTTGACATTAGAAAACTCATTGGCTAATTGAGTTAATCGATCGACATGAGCATTTGCCTTTCAGCGGAATCAATTAAAGTTGTTTTTCACTCTGCACCTGCACAGTCGAACAATTTGTCAGCACTTTAACAAACTGACTTATTGATCCAAACTAGGAGAAATGTGAAACCAGCCACCCTCAAAAACCGCACTATTAGCTATGGTAAGTGCCATACAAAATGACCACAAACCTATTAACCACAAATGATAATCGATGGAATCGTTAGGTTTCATAATTAATACACTGTTTTCGATGTCCAATTTTTAAAGCTTTCGCTGGGGCTGAAAGAAAGCCGTAAAACCGTATAGTCTCAGTCGAACTTTTGCTTTGTTAACCGCGCTGATGTCATTTGGCAATCATCTCAGAGTCAGCTTGGTGAGTCTGTTTAGAACAACACGTCACTCCAGTCTCTGGTGGTGATCGCGTGAAGGTTACCCAGAATCTTGAAACAAAACGAGGCATTTCATTTTTAGAGGCGTGTTTGGGATCTCAATTTCAAATTAGAACCGAGAACGAACGAGAGACTTTGTCAATAATACTCGGGTTTGATGTTAATTGCGGTGTACTTACACATCAGTTCAGTTTCCATCTGTACATATGTATATTTGCCTAGACATATGTGCTTTTTATGCAAATCTTTTGCCATCAAATGAAAAGGCAATGGAAAAGCATTTTCTGCTGCCTCTTGTGATTGCCGTTTATTGGACTTTTTGGAGCGTTGCAAATATGCATGGCAAATAGCTTACCGACTGTGAAATACTCGTAGGCTTGCGTTTCTAGCTTTTTCCAAAAAAAAAAAAAAACATTATATACCAGTATATATATGTGTGGGGAGTTTGGGAAGTGAAGGGAAAATTAATTAATTAATTTCGAGGAAAACGTAAAAACAATGAGGATTGGCTACCTCTGTTAATAAACTTGGAACGATTGTTTGAAGACTTCATTGAATGCCGGATAGCTAAGCTTGGAAAAATGTATATATTTTATAAGATATTAGTCGCTTTTCAAGGGAATGTATATATCTAAACAGAAAACAAATATTCTGTAAATTTTAAACTGCTTCAGTTTGACTGTAATTTATTGGATGAAAAGTAAGTAAAGGTTTTTGGGAACCCAATATCTACACCCAAAACGTTTACTAGTTGTTTCAACTTTATGTAAATATCTCATTAAAGCCTTTCAAATTTGCAGTTTTTGCATACTTTGCTGATCGCTTACCACAAGAGAGTTATCCACGAGGTATTTCACCTGCCAAAGCAACTGCGTCGCGAAATTCCAAACGATAATTAACAGCAAACCTAACGAGCTCAAAACAAATGGTAAACAGTGACTGGGCGGCCACCGCCTCCACAGTGAGCTCTCCCTCACAGTGCCAAACCCAATGTACTCCCTCCCTCATAAATCAGTTACTTAGCCTCGATCTGCAATTAGCACACAAATGGCAAAGTGAGGAATGAGCCATGAAAATGGGAAATACCAGAATTTTCCTACACTCGTTTTTGGGTTTTATCGATTAAACACTGAAAGGAGCAGCGAAAGTTCTAGGGAAACATGGGCTATAAATGGTATAATGACGCCAGACATTAAAGCCGCACCCAGCTGGTCACTCGCTGAAACCAAAGAGTGTCCCTTGGACAGGGGGTTGCCTTGGCCCGGGATCTGTTTGGCATTGCCATTGTTGTTGTTATTGGGTGGCAAACAACTCCGGCCGGAGTGGTGGACTTGTTGTGACCGGCTGGCGGCAAGGTTGCCATGGCGAAAAATGCACACACATTGTGGGCTCCCCAAACTTTTTATCTGACCGAGTACATATGTAAAAGGGTGCTGCTGCCCCATTGATTGCCCTATTGCATGCCAACTTTTTATTTTTTGTTGACCAAACAAAGAAACCCATCAAAAAATACACACAAATCAAAACTTTCTGCACGAAATTGGAGCAAGTCTGGCCATATAACCTAGAGATATATGTGAGCGGTCATATCTTATCTGCTAGATAAAATACATAATAGTGGGCAAAAGTCGAAAAAAAGAGAACCTTATCTTTGGTTTGGAATATCAAGATGTAAACATAATATGAGCCTTGGATATATGCCATGGGAACTGAAGGAGATTTCGATTTGAGTGCCTTATAAATATATGGATATATTGCGCATTATTTTTATAACTGGATACAAATATTTACTTTTCTTCCATAATTTAAACTTAAGTTTAAGATAAGTCTGTCTAGGGAATAAATAGATGCATATAATGGATAAGTAATGCTTATATATACAAAATGAGTTAGATATATAACGATTATTACAGAGTCAAAAGGTTAGGTAAAGTGTTATTCTAACCTTAGTATAGTTAGATTAAGTTATTACGAATGCACGCCTTTCAATTACATTCTTTTCCCTAACTGCAAGTATTACCTTTCAGTCAATAGAAGTAAACTATATTTTGTTCCCACCCTTAATATAGTTTAAATAATAAACAAAGCGATATTCCCAAGAAAACGAGTTAACTCTTAAAAGTTCTGTTTACTTTCCTATAGCTTTGGTCTCAACCTATGTATTTACTCTACTATGTATTTCAGCTCGTATGTTTACCTTATCGATACTGAATAACCTGCTAATGAACAATTCATGATGATGATGTTGCTGTTGTTGCTGGTGACTGTATAATTGGCTATTAATATGGCATTTAACTTATCGCACTCAAATCAACGGATTCCATGGGGAATTTAGTTACTGTTTCAACTGTATTTTGTTTGCTTGGAAATTACCTTGAAGTGAGCTCCTTTTATATGGAGTGGCTAAGTAATTGAAAATTCCGCAATGTGCACTCAATGAAAACTGCTTAGACAGCTGAACGGTGATGGGTCGGTCACTCCATATCATATCATATCAAAAACACAATAGCATAAACATACGCGAGGGGCGAAACGGAAATGCTTGGCTATAACCTTTTGGGGCGCCACTTAAATCCCTTTAGAACTGCTTAGATCGGCAGTAAAAAGTGCATTTCAAATTGTGTTGTTATTTATTATTGCAACTTTTTAAGAAGAAATCAGGTTTTCTTCCCAATATTTTTGTATATATATTTTTTTTTTTGAAGGTAACTTCTCACACCCGCGACGAAGGCGGCAACGATTTTGAACGTCTCGGCGGTTCGACGAGCGCGTAGCGAATGAACATATCTCACCAAGTTGGACCGCTCCACCTTCGCTCAGCGCTGCGGCGACTGCGCAGTCGGCGGGGGCTGCGTCACTGAAAAAACTGAATTTATTTCATATATAATTTTTTGGCAACCCGGTTTGAGCCGAATCTTTCTGACTGTCTGCCCGGCTCGCATTTTTTAGGAGGCAGTGCACCAAAATTTTCGGCTGGCAGGGGCACAGGAAGTTTGGGGGGCTGCGTGGGCGCCCTGTTAATGTGACAGGTTTCGCTTTTGTTGTTCGGCCTGAAATTGATGCCACCAATTGATCGTCACCTTTGTGCGCGACACTTGTTGCTCACTTTTGGCTATTTTTATATATTTCTTTTCATTTTCAAAATGACATCGGACGCGTGCCCAGAGAAGCGTATTTTTTCCTCTGTTAAAATAAATGTTTCCGCTATAGAAATTTATTTGAAATAATTTGTGCACGCCATTCGAGACTTACATAAATTACATAAAAGAGGAAATGGGCGTGCTGGTTGGGCATCGAAGATCAACTAAATTAAAAAACGCCGACGCGTGGCAAAAATGTTAGAAATAAAATTAGAAATACCAAGCCAGATCAGATCAGACCGGATTGCAAATACCCACGCAGCAGTAATTATTGTTAATTGTTGGAGGGGTAAAATGTAAACAAAATATAAATTAAATGGTAACAAATCGATTAGATCTATGAATTTGTAAGCCAGCAAAACAGTTTACAAAGTCATAATCTCATTTAGCAGATTAATTTTACTATTTTAACTATCAAATATAAACGCTTCTGTTGAGTATACAAAAATTGATTAATATTATTTTATTATTTCACTAGCAGATACACAGAAAAACACTTCAATAACATAGCTCCAAGAGCGACGAATGTTGACAGTTGGGATGATTATAGATCTTTTTTTTTTGCGTAGAACGACGTTTTGTACCCTCGATTACAGCACTAATTGCAGCTAGAATAAATTGCTTGAGGAAGGTTTAACAACGGGGTGTTTTGGTGGTTTAAATACGGCACAGGAAATGCACAAGTTCCGTGGGGTGGGTGAAGAGCGAGGGAATAGCTTTAGTTGTCTATTTCTGGCTGGGAGTGTAGTACATGGAGTGCAGGAAGAGGCGAGTCACTTCGCCGATCACCGATCGGTCGGGTATACTCTGGGCCATGCCGTAGAGTGCCATCTTTCCTTCCACAGGCTGGCCGGGATCCTTCATTATCTCCGCCGTGCAGCTGCGCACATCGGCAATGAATTTATCCGCTACTCCGGGCTGTGTGTGCATGTCCGTCACGCAAATGTGGATACTTAAATGAGAAATAAAACTTATTCGTATGATTTCGCTAATTTGAAAGATGATTCACTTACCCAGAGGGGAATTGCAGGGCATTCAGGTTCCAGCCCAGTTTGCACAGCGAGTCAGATAGCCGGAAAATGTCGAATACATTGGAGCCTAGGGCAATCACTGAGGTGGCTGGCTTGCCAAACACAAAGATTCCATCGATGTCGCGAACTCTAAGAAGCGAATATAAAATCATAATAATTATAAGTTCATTAGTTAATGGTTTAACGGCCTCACCCTCTTTCGATATAACGAGCAGTATCCACAATACGCTTGGTGGCCTCCAGGTAACCATCATAGCCGAAACTCATCATGGTCGCCCAGCAGGCAGCAATAATACCTCCAGCACGGGATCCGTTCACAGTGGGAGAACCGTAGACGCCACCAGGCCAGTCAGTGGTTACGGTGAACTGATGGTCCTTGTACTTCTTGTCCGAGTACAGAATCACAGACGATCCCTTTGGTGCGAATCCGTACTTGTGGGTATCAGCAGAGATACTGGTCACTCCCTTAACATCAAAGTCGAAGGGACGCAGTTTGTAGCCAGCGTTGCGGACCAGGGCTACCACGAAGCTGCCCAGGCAAGCGTCCACGTGCACGGGAATATCGTACTTAACGCCCAGAGCGGCGATGGCTTCGATGTCATCGATTGTGCCATAGGGGAAGTTAGGTGCAGACCCAACCAGCTGGAGAAGATTTAGGGTGTTATTAATCAATACATATATTAAATTTATCATGAAAATTATTACCAAAATTGTGTTCCTGTTAATGGCACGCTTGAACTTCTTGATGTCCACTTCGTAGGTCTCGGGATCGACATCCACAGAGCGTACATGGATGTTGAAGTACTGACCACCCTTGTCGAAAGCTGCATGCACAGTCTTAGGCACCACAATGTTAGGCCTCGTTATGCCCTTGTGCTCCCTAGCGTAGTCCCTGTAGGCCTTCATGGCCATCACAATGGATTCGGTACCTCCGGTGGTCATTGTACCACAACTGGCGGAATTACCGTGGAAAAGATTGCACGCCATGCGCACTACCTCTGCTTCCATCTTGCAGACGCCAGGGAAGAGATCTGCATGCAAAGGATTTGTGTAGGAAGCCTTGCCGTACACTTCAGTGATGAGCTCCACTAGCTCAGGCTTGTAGCCGTAGACTGCACCAGATACCCGACCATCCTTCCAGTTGTAGTGACCGGTTTTAAGGTGCTCATCCACCAAACGGAGGATCTCTTCCTTGCTAAGTCCTTTCTCGGGCAGAGTTTCTGAGTAGGTAAGGTGTCCATTGCTCTTCTTGATTTCCGCCTCAAAGTCGTTCTTGGCCTTGTTCAACTCAGTCTCCACCTGGCGACGAACGGCAGGAATCTTTTTGGCGTATTTGAAAAATTGGCGCTTGCCGCGTATATAGAGACCTAAAAGGGAGGATATTAGAGGTTAGTTCTGTATATATTTAGAATGCGATTCTCTTTTACTGAAACATCTCTTTGTCAATAAACCTACCCTAAATCTTTGTTTTCACCAGACTTAACTCATTTAAAAGAGGAATATATAAGGGTATAATTATGGTTATCTTGAGGTGAACAGACCCAAAACAAAGAACGATTATTGAGATAAATTGTCGCCTGATAAACGATATATGGTACCCACTCGAGGCTATAAGATATGGCATGTTCTGTTGTCGAAGAAACTTTGGTCAGCTTTTATGATACCTTTTCGGAAACTATGCTCGGAAACGAATACAAATTTGAGGAATTAGTCATGGGTTAGGAAGGCATACGTATTTAGAACTTGTCAAATACAACTGTACTATAGGAAAGGGGGATATCTCAATCTTATCGATTTCCTTAGTTTCACATTGTTGAACTTTGCATATCTGATTGATTTTCAGTTGCTACACGCTTTAGCAAACATTTTAACTCTAATCTAACGTAATCTGTGGATAGATTAAACTCAGAAGTTCGGGGAGGGCACACGACGAGTGCATGGCATTTGATCGAGCTCTTATTATATAAAGCACAAAGTACACAGTGAAGTCTGTTTGTATTTTCGAAAAGCAGTGCCAGTGTTAAACTACAGGGAAATGGGCTTTTATTTACATGACATCTGATTGACTTGAGTTCTTAGCAAAGATTAATACAAGATTCCTAAAAGTCCAAAACCCAAACTATTATCATAATTCTAATATTTTTAGCTTGAGTTTTTGATAAGAGTGTTTTCTTTAGTCAAATATTTGTATGAATCTTTGAATCATTATATGAACACATACAAATCTTAATATTACTTATGACGAAGTTTGCTTATATTTTCTACCTTTTTACTCTACTAATTACTTTTAAAGAATTCAAACTGTATTTATGTAAAGGCGTCGAAGGAACGCACCCACTAGATAAGATAGTTTGATGGATTTAAGTAATTGACGTTCCCTGCCCTGCAACCCCAATACACATATGTATAAGGAATCGGCTGACTATGGTGACTTGGCAGTATACTATCCAGAGAACTTTTCCAAGAAGATCTCCCTCATTTTTCCTTTCATAAAAGAGCAATTACTCCAACTAGCATTACCGAAGAGATCTTTCATTACGAGACCACCAACTCACTTTCATCCTGGCAAATTACAGTCCAGAGCCATACTCCTCCGAGCACAGTGGTGGCTGTGATGGTGGCCACTTGCCAAGGTTCCTTGGCACCAAAGGCTTTATTGATGCCCTCGGCGACGGGTTTAAGGCAATCACTGCCGGAGAACGGACGCATCTTGTGGCAGCTGGAATGTGGATATGGAGTACCGTAATTAGAGGGATCCGCACTCGGGCGGTTCGAATCGTTAACTGATTTGTGGAGCAGTGAATGTGGGGCGACAAATACAAATAGCTTTGGCGGCTGATAAAGTTATTTCCATGTAGTAGTCACATAGATTTACTAAGTACATAAGTCGGCGGGAGCTTCTCCCTTTATTGTTTTGTTGTTTGTCCGCTCAGCTGATTCCCTAACAAAGGCAGCGCTTATTGACGCACCTGAGGTTACTCACCTGTACAGTGGAACAGCTATAACAGCGGAAAAGCTTTGAAAAACGCGAATAAACTTACACTTTTAATCGTAAAATTGCATTGCGGCTTAGTGTAACCGTTCGACAACTGTTGCTGTATGTATATCGTGTATCGATTAACAGCTGTTTCGATAGTTGGTCAGCTGTTTGTGTATCAAATTTACCAACACTGGCTACAAATCAAAATACAAAATGTTGCGTGCATTGAAAATATCAAAATCAACAGGTTGGGCGCCACAGGTTCTCCGCTTTGCCAGCAATGGAGGCAGTGATTTGGTCTTGGTTAAGGAAGAGCATGGAGTACGGGAGATAACGCTGAATCACCCGAAAACTCTTAATTCCCTTTCACTGGAGATGATGACTGCCCTTCAGGATGCTCTGCTGAAAGATAAAGACAATGTGGACCTGAGATGTGTAGTCCTAACGGCCCAAGGAAAGATTTGGTCAGCGGGTCACAACCTAAAAGAGCTCCACAATGACCCCAAGATACAGGCTTGTGTGTTCCAAAAGCTAACCGACGTTATAAACGACATCCAGAAGCTCCCGGTGCCTGTGATTGGAAAAGTCAATGGTTATGCGGCTGCTGCGGGTTGTCAACTGGCGGTCTCATGTGATATGGTAGTCTGTACCAAGAACAGCAAGTTCTCCACTCCAGGGTAAGAATAAATTACCTCTTTAGTACCTATTAATCATGTAATCAAACTTCTTGCAGAGCTGGCGTAGGAGTTTTTTGCTCCACTCCCGGCGTGGTCGTTGGCCGTCTCATGTCACGTCCAAAGTCCGCCTACATGCTAATGACTGGTCTACCTGTGTCCGGCGAGGAAGCCTATATATCAGGAATGGTAACCAAAGCAGTGCCAGCGGAGGATTTGGATAAGGAAATTGAAGAAATCGCTAAGGCTATCAAGGCCAAAAGTCGGGCTGTCATCTCTTTGGGTAAGGACTTCTACTATAGGCAACTGGCATTGTCCCAGGCAGAAGCTCTTTCCGCTGCTCAGGAGAAGATGTGCGAGAACTTACAACTAAACGACACCAAAGAGGGCATTGCTAGCTTCTTCGAAAAGCGATCACCCAACTGGAAGCACCAGTAGGCGGAGCATACAGTGTACAACTCTGAAAATTAAACGGAACTGTCCAATTGTGCATTTATACTTCTAGGCTAGTTATGTCCAATGTGACACAAAATGTTATTAAAATGTTTTTATATTAACCAAAACGACTCTGTATCTCATTTTTAATTATGTTTTAAACATTTTATTATGAAAACTAAAAACCTTTCCGGAACTTTGGGAACATTCTATAGCAAAATAAAACCAGTTGTCGTGCTTTCGAAAAGTGCTCATTCCTTTTTAGGTGTTTAGTTTATTTAAGTGTGTTTTGTGAAAATATTTAAAAAATACAATTACAAATTTTAATAAATAAAATGTATAAGTTGATGTAAGTGATTGAGTGCATTTGAAATTTGGCAGTTAAAGTCTGTTCTTATTATAATTTTCCATATCCTTTAATTTGTTTAGTTAATTTTTTTGGGAGTCCGGTTCTATTGATGTGAGTCTTTTTTTGAGTTTACTTAATTGGGAACTGGATGAGACGAAGAAAATACCTGGGGCCGCGAACGTTTCGTATAAAAAAAAAGAAAAGAATTTGTAATTGTTTCTTAGCTTTCGCTGAATTTGTTTAAATATTTGTTGAGCTCTTCGCAGTGAATTAATTATAATAGATTACGTCTAAAAGATGAACCACTCGTATATTTTTTATGTATATATATATAGCTACAGTAAGCATCTGAATAAGTGCGCTAAATGTATGTTCTAAAGGTTGGCCAAAATATTATAAACTGTGCAATAAGTATTATCTTTCATCATTACAGAAGTAGCTAACGAACTTTGATCCGCTAGCGGATCCCAATAGAAATATATGTATATAGCGCCATGCAAAGAGAATTATTAACCAAGAAATTAAGAACAAATACGATTTGTCCATTGTGATACGTGCTAAACTCCTACGCGTCTATGACCCCGTACGAAAATCCGCTGCTCCTCGGATCGGATCCTCCGCAAAAAGGAACAAAATGTGTACAGATGTGGGTTGGTGTGTTGCATTTCTGCAGTGCGGGTGGTGTGTCTGAGTGGTGTGCAATGGTTTCCCTTCATCCAAAGTCGTGTTTCAATGAACTTAGACCTCGGTGACGGGACGCTTCTCGATCCAGGCTTTGATCGGTTCCAAAGCGTTAATGGCATCCACGACACCGCGCAGAGCTGGGTAGGGTTCCAGCAGATCACGCTTGACCATGTAGTTCATGTAGTCGGTGATGCCTGCGAAGTAGACGTCGGCCCAGGTCAGCTGTGGATGGGGAAAAAAGGTACATTTTTAATACGATTTATCCTTAAACCGTTTTAGGAAACTGGGAGTACAATCCTCCTTATTATAACCACCCACCTTGCCCAGAGCCAGGTGACCATCGTTGTCCTTGACGGTCTGCTCGAGCTTCTCCAGGTAGAATGGAATGACCTCCGCATTCAGGGTGACCAACTTCTTCTCCTTGATCTCGTCCTCCGGTTCGTACGAGACGACTGCAATTTCTATACATTAAAAATTCCAGAGTTAATCAAGGACACTGAACATGAAACTGAGGCACACATTGTTCGCTACTTAGACGGAAGTCATTGATGGTGTCAACCACAATGTCGATCTGGAGATCCTCCCACGGAGTGGCGCCGCATAGGCCGACGGTCTTGGCCAGGAAACGGGCCATCGAGATGCTCTGGTGTACACGCTTGCCGTCCACCTCCAGCACAGGCATCTGTCCCATGGGCATGGCTAAAGGAGAAGGAAGATGAAATTAAGGTAAGCCCTCTGGCTATTTTATAGACTAAGGTTTGTGAACTCACTTGGCTTCAGGGCTGGCCACTCATCACGAGTCACGCGGACATCCTCGTACTCCTGATTGCCGTAGGCGAACAGGTAGCGCAGGGGCTCGGCCAACGCCTTCACGTTGAAGTAGAAGAGCGTGTAGCTGTGCTTGATGGGCTCAGCGGGCTCTGCTGGTGGTGCGGGCTCTCCGCCCTCGACGGCACCCTCGGCTCCCTCGGCTGGTGGTGGTGCCTCACCTTCTGCTGGTGGTGCGCCCTCAGCTGGTGGTGCTTGTGCTTCATCGGCCATTTCTGCGCTCTCTCAATGCAATTCCCTGTAAAGCATATTGACAATCAAGCAACTATGTTAGCCATCGACTAGCGTTATCATATATTTATCAATGTGATATGGAATGCAGAAACATATTTAAATTGATAGCGATTTAGTAATGGTATTCGCATGCTTAGTTACGTTGTACAGTAGAACCTAGAATGGTGCGACAGGTGGATTCAAGTTTAAGTTACCCACCAATTAGAAGCACTCTTAAAGCCTTCAATTAAGGGAAGTCTAATTTAATTTTAATTAGTGAGATACCTTTTCAGACCAATAAGTATTTTAATCCCAAAGATTTCATTTCATGGCGAAATAGCTGAAACTATTTTAACATTGTTTTCCCAATTTTGTTTATGTTTGCTAGAAGATTGAACCTAGTTAATCAGTCGATAGCCTGGCTTTTGTGATAAGCAGAACGTGACAATCTTTGGTGGCTGAAGTGGGTCAGAATATGCGTACCCGATAAGGATAATTAAAGGTACGTAATAACTTATACGATCCCAGATAGGGAATGACTAGAAGATTCCACGATAAGTGTGTGTACAAGTGCTAACAAAATATATGAGAAAGAACTTTGCTGGAGGTAGAAACTGATATAATCTGTGAGTTAACTTTGGGTAGTCATATTTGCTCTCGAAAGTTATTTATTTGCTTGCCTTATTTGGTAGCTTTTCAAGAATAATGCAATAAATCAAGCGCAGTCAAGGCAAAAGTTGACAAGAAAGATAATTACCATAAAACTGCAATATATATATATAGTATACATATCTTGAAATGCCTACTTTTAAGCAAGAGTATTTCCCTATAGAACCGAGCGGAAGTGCATTGATTGTCCCACAGACAACACACCCACCCACGCACATCAAAGAAACAGACACTACTCCTCCTCCTCCCAGCTACCCACTTTTTTTCCCCTTCGATTTTATTTTTCTGCTGAATAGTGCAAAAGTCGGGCTCAATATCTTTTGGGGCGTTGGCGCTGCTGGCAGAAGAATCGGGGGAGGCCCGGATAGTACGCCCCTGTTTCCATTGTAGTCGACACTTTTTTTGCCTGCCTGGCTGGATAAATATTTAAACGTGGGATAGGATCCATTAGGAACGTAAACCAGTTTTCTCATTCGATATATATGTGTATCTTAGTGTCTTTGCCTTTGCCATGATTTTGGCAGGGCGCCCAGTCAGTCAGCAAGATTTCGAACCCCTCGTCTCCCAGTTTCCCCCTTTTTGTAATGCCCGATTGGTCGCCTCTTCCGCTGCAATTTTCGCTTTCGGAGAGTCTCAAATTGCAACAATCGATTCGACTTTTCGGCGTTATCTTCGGCCCCTCTGTAGGAGCTCTCCCTTCTTTCTTATTTTTTTTCCTAGATGGCACTTGTTGCCATGACAGCTTCAATTGAATTTAATTCGGTCTGTCTCTGTGTTTTGGTGTCATGATTTAATTCAATTTCGATTTGCTGATCTATTTTGGCTCTTTGATCTGGCACTTTGGCACTTAAATCGAGGGAAATAGTTTCACTTTAATTGTGGGAAAAGGTTAGGGCAGCCAAATGACGCCAAAGATTATCCAATCCATGGGAAAGGGCAGAGATCACAGTGGGTCAAGGACCCATTTTGCAACGTTGAAAATACGTCAATACGGTAAGGCAATGAATGGAATCACGTGAATCCGGGCCCATATGGGCAACTTTTTCGAAATGAACTTTCCGATCGGATGGGTTATCACTAGAATTCGAAAGTCTAAGACCCCAAGTCTCTAGGCATTTCACTCTATTATCAGTTGTGAAATATTATTACTGATTGTCTCTCAACATTATTTTTCAATTTCAATTTTTTCAATTTTTTTTTCTTTTCAGAAAGGTATTGATTGAGGGGTTATATAAGCCTCCGTTTTGATAAGGTTCTTGAAATATATGTATATATGCACTGCACTTAGGGAGATGTTTCCGAATCGAGTACCTCACGCTTCGAAATACGTTCACGCACTCCACGGTCGACGGTGGTGCTATGGTCGTTTCTATATTTCTATTCCGATCTGATCGGTTCTGAAGTGGCAGAAGAAGAGGGCCTTCTAGTTGATCGGTTCACGTCGTTGTCCTTCACATATTTGCTTGCGAGCGGGGCGAGATATCCGCGCGAACTGCGATTCACCGAAACGAGTTCAAAACTTTTCGATTTCGAATCGATTGACCCAAAAATCAATCAATCGAAGCCAAAAAATCAATGTGTGTAATTTTAGAACCGAATCGAGACGAACGCCATTCGGCTTCGAAGTTTGCAAAAAGCGTTTTCCATTTTTTTTTGGCAAGGGTAAAACGTTGTATTTGTTGTACACCTTAGTGCGTAATTACATCACTCAAGTTCTACGATATTGGATTGGTTCCAGGGATCCTTTTTGGACTTACCTGAAGAAAGAATAAAAAAATCAGCTGGGAACTGGGTATACTCTCAGTTCTTCAATTTGCCAATTAAGCTTCGGTTCCGCACTTTTTTTCCGTTTTGTTCGCTCTCTCTCTCCACCCACTGGGACGCTTTCACTCACTAAACGGATCGCCACAACGATTGCACAGCAACTGACTTTCTTCTGCCCGGCAACGCTGCTTTTATACTCTCACCCATTTGCGCTCTCTGCTCGAACGAAAAATCTTACTCTCTTTCAAGCTTATATGTATTGGCACGTCGGTGTAAGCCGGCCGGTTAACTGGAGAGAGAGAAAGAGCGAAATTAAAGGTAAACACTCTCCAAGTTTAGTGGGCGTTGAAAAGGAAACGCAGTTAATGAATTAGTTAATATACCTAACCAGTTATTTGGTTCAATCTACCATCTTGTTCTTACTGTCTCTTGATTAAACATGGAATGCAATATTCTAACAAGCTCGGATTCCTAATTTGGCAATTGCTTTTTATAAGCTAGTCTACAAATTCCCCCTCCCTGTTCTTATTCTAATTTCTCTCTCATATAGTCTCTCTATTTTTATCTCTTTTTGGAGAGATTGAAGCTCTCAGTTCCATTATAAACCAATTATAGTTGCAAAAAATAAAGGTAGTAAATATTTATTTCTGCTTTTAGTGGGAGATGCTTATTGGCGTTTAGCTTTTAAGATAGTTTAAACAAAGAAAAGTAAATAAAGCGGAGATTCTAAAACTGTTATAGTTCCAATGTTTGAAGTTAAACAAACCATTTTTAAGTATCTTTTTAGATTGGCTTCTTTTTAGATAAAAAAATTATAAAATATTAAATTACCCAAACTTTTAACTTGAGTAAAATCTGCTTTCTGCTCTTAAGATTGTTTAAAAATTGGTGGGATCACATCCAAATTGTTCTTTTATCTAATTTATCCTATCTTTTCAATTGCTGTAAACATATACTGGGAAATCGGCTGGCAGGAAATTTAAAACGCCCAATATTATTCGACGGCGTTGCCCTGGACTTTGCTTTAGTTCGATCTCGGCGGCGGGGCCTGGCGACGAAATTCGAGTGCATCTAAGATGTTTACTTATGTGGGAGGCATCAGGTTAACTTCAAAGGGTTGTCAGCTTAAGCAGAAATTATATACAATTTTCAAGCTATGAAAGAATATAGTTCTAAATAGAACTATAGTTCTTTTGTAGTTTTTTTTCAATTAAACTATAAACTATATTTTAAGATACATTTATAGCATACATTTTAAGAACATAATGTTTTTTATTTACAAAAGGTGGTGTAGGTAAAGCATATGAAAACATTTAATGCGTTTCTTAAATTTGTTTTACATTGCTATATAATTGTTATGGCTAGCTTAAAATGTAACGGAAAAACATAACTTTTGAAAAGAATGATCTGGCAACTCTGACACATTTGGTTGTGGTATTTGATAATACATCGAAGTTGGTTGTTCGCTAGGCTAACTGATAAGGCTGTGAGTTCCGGCGAATTCACGAATAGAAAGGCGAATTGAAGAGGTTTAAAACCTGGCGCTAACCAAAAAGTATTCACAAGCTTACGATCATAATCAAATATTAAGTGTTATTAAAAATAAATTCTGAATAAGATATTTCAAGGCCAATAACCTGAAGATATAAAATTAAGTAATATCCCCGAGTATTAATAACATAAATGCTTCACAAAACGTGCTATAAAATGTAAGCGATATAATAATATGCTAATGAAATATTCTCCGAGAACGCATGAAACTCCCTCTATTTGGAGATTACACCTACTCAATCTTGGGCTTTACCCAATTAAAAACAATAAAATGCAATCGATTTTACCAGTTTAACCAACCCAAAATCATGGGACTCCCACAGCTGGGAGAGAAGCATTCCAAGCGATTTGGCCACTTTTGTTGTGTTGGCGGGGCGGAGTACGTTCGAAAATGTGCAAAGATAAGCAAAACGGTGCAAAAATAAGTAATAAAACGGAAAAAAGCCCCCAGAAAACAGAGCCCAGAATTCTCGCCAAGAATTAAACCGAAAATCCACAGAAAATGACCGATTTGTGGCCGTTAATGCGACGGCGGTGTATTCAGCTTTTGGTTTTCTGTTGGCGGTTTCGATTGCGAGTAGACCTCGTTTTGATAAGATATGACAATCATTGCCGATAAGGCAAACATTTCAAATACGCTGACGAGTGCATAATCAAGTGGAACAGGTGAAAAGTATATATATGTATATATATTCCAGGTTATTACAAATCACAGCGGTACTTACCGGGTAAAACTCTTCCTGGGGGATTTGGAAAGTCCGAAGTTTATTCGGCTCACTTGCTAGTTAGTCAGGGAAATTTTCGGTTCGTTTTTGATTTCGAAGTTGGCTTGCCAGACTGCCTGGTTGTGACGGAATTTTTAGCGCATTCCTTTTCGTTTCTTTCTTGGCTAAAAGAAAAGAGTTTACTGCACAGAAAAAATTTATAATTTTTGAAGTTTAAAGTATTTTTAAGAAAAAGTGTTTTTTAATCTTAAATAATAAATAAAACATATGCTTAAAAATTTGTAAAACCAATATTAAAACTATTTTTATTTTTATAGCTACATTTATAGATAAACAAAATTATTTTTCTGTGTGGCCTAGACTAATTAAGAATTTATGCCGCCTGCAATTGCACTCCAGAAACAAAAGCCAAGACAAAGAATGAGAGGCGGCAGCGGTGCTGGCGGAATTATGACAATAATTTGCTGTGGAAAATGCGACACAGAACGGAACCGCTAAGCCCGAGAGAGCAATCTAAATAATAATAATAAATAGTATAAAAAAGGCGAGCGCATAAAAAAATTATAACTAACTCGGCAGGCAAACAGTTAAAACCAGACGACGGGAGCGAGGTAAAAGATATGGTAAAGAGAGAGAGAGACAGAGAGAGCAAGATCGGGAGAGGCGATAATTCTCGCACTTGCTGCACCGCGAATTCCACTTCAGTGCGAATTCAAATGCGCAGGTGAGCGGTACGTTCGTTGAATATTACTCAAAAACACGACAATCACTGGCAAGAACGATTGTTAAGCCAGCATATAGCCAGTATTGCGTATACGCAGCGTGCACCGTGACCTTAAACCAAGCTAAACCGAACAATGTAAGTGCCAAAAATGGCAAGTGAACTCGAATGCCAGATAGTGAAGAAATTGAAATAAAAAAAAAATCAAAAGCAAATAAACGTACCGTCTACACGCGCTTACAAAACTGTCTCATTAACACGTGCCCACAAATTATGAACTGTGCAAAATGAAAAACCTGAAAATCAAACTCCAAATTTCATTAAGCAAATAAACGAAGAACAAAATAAAATGTGACTTTTCCCTCGAAACACTTTTGGCTGTAAAGCTGTTTTTTGGATTAAACTTGTCGTACCGAGTCGTGTCAGTAACGAGCGGTTTTCCCACTTTTTTTTTAGCCATTATTCTGTTTGCCCTTATCTTTGTAATCGGCTGACTAAACAGTAACTCTATTTTGTTAGCTGATTTCGCTAATGGGCGAAAAACGTATCATCAGAATGTGTCTTAATTCAAGGTTCCCATTTATATATCTATTTGTTTACCTATTCTTCTATCGATTTGATTTGATAAACATCGTTCCGAAAAGTTCCCCTACTTGATAAGAGCTTAATAATGGGCGCCGAATATACCTGGAAGTGGCTTTAAAACCCATTCAAATATTCAAACATTGATAAGGAGTGGGCGGATTGGTTAGAGATACCAGTATGAATCAGCTAATGATCGAGAGTTAATTTCCTAAACGATTCAGCTGGAAAATCAGCGCCACCATGCTTCCCTGATTTTGCAATAGTAATATTTTGTATTTCTACAAGTTAAGCCTTATATACCCTTTGCTCCACGGGAGTTAAAAGGTAGCCAAAGCCAAACACAATGGAACTTGCATGTGATGACGCTAAAAGCCCAATTAGTTATAACCAGTTTGCGGTCTATTAATAACGATTGAAAAATCCCCCAAGAAGCTTAAAAGTTCTATTAGGAGATTAAACCATTATCTTTACCTAAATATAACCCAAAATTATTATACTAAGGTCACGTAATGAATGAATCACTTAAGATAACAAGGGTTCTTTTTGTATTAGTTGGGGAAAAACCTTTTAAGTAAAACTGCAACTGTCGATTGCAGCCATAAAACAGTTTTATAGCCTCTACACAAATATGGGTACCCCGATTAGATAAAGACCAAAAAAGATTTGGTGTATATCTGTACATGTCTAACTATTGGGCTATTGGAACTTATCTAACTGGGTCATAAAGGTGATATTTTTGTGATTATTGGCCTCCATTTAATGGTTAGCCCGAATGCAGTGCAAGGTTATAATTTGTTACGATCAATTGTTAGTATTTCTGCGGAAGTCTTTGACATTTTCGAAGGTAACTGAACTGAATAAGGTTATCAAGTTCTTTGGGGTTTGTTGATAATATCAATATAAGTTAGGTCTATCCATAACTAATTCTATACAATGAACATCCGGACTTCTGTGAACTTATTTCTCATATATAATATAATATCTCATTCTGAATAAATCCAGCTCATATAAGAAGCAACTGTAGTGCCTTTTGATATGGGCAAATTCAAATGTGAAGCTATTCCGGAATCGAAATATTGCATTTCTGCGACTTTTTCTACTTTCTTTTGTTTAGTTTGTTCAGGGGAACTTCGTACTTCCTCCTCTATCAAGCCGTTCACTCTTCATTTGCTTTTTGTTGTGCCTCATTTGCGGTTTCGAGTGCTTTGTACTGGTTTTTTTGTTGCCACTTTTTTTGCTCAAATAAAAAACAGCAAACCAAACGTCACACATAATTAACTACACACAGATTGCTGTCTCTCTTTCCCACTCTGAAGCTCTCCATCTCTCTCTTTCTGTCTGTCACGAACCTCCGACAACTTGACGTCATTTGTCATAAAAATAAATCTTTTGTATCTCAAAGTTAAATTCTATGCAAATATTTGAGTATCTGCATAGGGTGGAGGAGGATTAAGACTTAAATTTAAAGAAAATGTTTGTTCTAGCGATGTCTTTAGTTTGGTTTGGGGTTATATAAAACAGAATTGCTGATCATCATTATAATTCGGAATATAATCTAACATAAAATTAATCTATAGTTTGATTTTTTGATTTCTTACAAAAGAAAAAAAAAGAAATCCACAAAATAAACATAACAAGAGTGAGAATTCTTAAAATAAAAGTTGTATTTCTCCAACTTTAAGTCATCTAGAAGATCTTTTTAATTACCATTGATTATCCTACACTCTATTATATTATCCAACTATAAAATCAAGGTCAAAATCCGGTTTTCCTAACCATTAATGACTTAAACCCCATGTCAAAATCTGCATTCGTTTTCCGTCATCATTTCTGGCCCCTACATGTCTAATTAGTTGTACAATCTCGACTTTAATTCTCAATTTATAGTGCTTTGACGATCGCTTTAATTGTAAATTTCTGTTTGCAGCGCAATTAAGGCGACGAAAAAGTATCAGCACCGTGGCAAAAGCAACAAAAACAGCACAGCCGTTGACGCCAACACAAACAGAGAGATACGAATACGTGTTCCTACACAAAAACAAAAACGCTAAAACAAAAAAAGAAAAATTAAATAAAATTAAAAATAAGATAAACATTATATACACTTGGCGGTGACAAAAAACCAAAAGTAAATAGCTGCTCGTAAACGTTTAATTCAACTGGAGCGCCGGGGGAGAATTGAGAGCCCAGCCAAAAGTCCCCCCACGATAATGTCTAAGTAAAAAACCTCCAGACAGAGAGTGAGAAAGAGAGAGTGAGCGAAAGAGAGGAAGAAAAAATCAGGAAAAGAGAAAGCTATAGATAAGGTTTATCGGGGGGACTACCACCCACATACCAAAATGGCCGACGACGAAGATCTCAGTCCGCTGCCCTTCCGCCGGGAGCGCAATCTCAGTAACCGCAACTTCAACAAACGCACCTCGCGTCGCCGGATCAGCCAACAGGCAGCGGAGCAGGAGCGGCATAGCAGCGCTCTCGTCAGTAGCAATCCAGAGTCCGTCGACGTCGCACGACGGGACAGTCCTCTGAGCTCCAGTAGCTCCAGTTCGTTCCAGCTCTCGTATTCCGTTAATTCCGATACGGAGAGTGCCTTCCATCGCCGCTCGTTGCTCAAGATGCACGAGGCGGAAAGTGGCGGAGTAGGTGGAGGTGTTCATGGTAACCCAGAGTCACCAGGGACGCCACAAACTCCCGATCCCGCTCTGCTAGATGTCCGGCAGAAGGTACACCGTTTTGAAACGCTCAAAGCAAGCATTGGGTTTATGAAGCAGGAGAGGCACAGCCTAAAATTGTTAGAGAACCGCCGACATCCGTCATTTGAGGAGTATTCCGGTGATAATGGCACGCCGCCAGCCACGCCCCCGAGACGTATACGTCTCCCGGGACTGGGCAGTAGTCGCAGCAGTTCCATACCCAGTATGCAAGGTGGAGAGAGCATCCATGAAGTGCGATCCGAAGACGAAGTTGATCAGATATCCGACTTTGAAACGGAACCACATGCACCCACCGAGGAATACGTTATTGCGGATACCATCTCGGAGGTCATACCCAGTCAGGAGGCTGTCGAGGATTCAAAGGGCCAGCAGCAGGTACAGCGATCCATTAGTGCAGATCAATCCAAAGAAAAGCCAGCAGCTCCGCTAAAAATGCGCAACGATTTCCCCAGGTAAATGTTTAAATAATGATAAGCCTTATCAGGGTGGGAGGGCTTATAGAAAACTTTAGATTGTGGAAAAACTAACAGGTGCAGCAGTGTATAAAGTTCTCTCTTACTAATGGGGAAATTTGTGTATTGGAATGTTTAAGGGAGTGACTTTTTAAGTTTTATTTACTCCACAGAAGTTTACTCTTTTCTACCTTAAGTTTTCATTTTAAGAAAGCTTACACGTGTGATCATTCTTTCTAATATATATATTAGTAGTAGTTATAGTATACCAACTATTTACTCAGATTTCTAGATATTTACTCAATTAGTTTCAGTTCGTGCAGAATAATAGACTTTACTTAGAGCTGCTTTCTCAAGTTAGTGCTAATATTTGTTTAATCATTTAACTGAAAGTTTAATAAGTAAACTAATAGTAGGCATTTACTAAATGTAAAGTTAATAGCAAAGGTAATGAAACAAATCCAAGTCTTTACCAATGCTGACCTTCCCTCCCAACTCGATTAACTAGATTTCGCGGTCGCTTAGCTTCCTTTTCGGTGTCAAAATCAAATAATGTGATTTTGGCCATATAGAAAAAACCCCAACTATTCACAGCACTAGCTCAGTCTGAACTTAATTGGCAAAGTGTTAATTGAGTTTTGGAGCACTTTTAGCCTAACCGGTTAGCCAGTGAAAATGCCAAAAAAAAAAGTATACACCCAAAATGAAGGATAGATACCCAGGTCAAAGCAGAGCAGGCATTTCGTTTATTATTCTAGTTTTGAGAACTATGCCAAAAATCGTAAAATGTACCTCTGGGAAACGTATGCCCTGAAGCAGTTTCATCTTGATAATGGATGAATCCAAGAAGGGCGAGGAGAAGAAGAGCCAATCACAGACGACTTCTGAAGATGATGTCGATCGCCAAATCTCCAATGAGGCTCAGCACGAGCGAGTGGAGCGTTCCCATGTCTATACAAAGCCTCCTAAAGTTTCCATGGCCACAGACACCGCAGATGATCCTTTTCCGTCTCGAAAAAAGAAGAGAAAGAAGACACCGCCAGCGGTGCCGGCGAAGAGAAGATCGGGTGAAAATGATTCCCAAACGGAAACTTTAAGTGCAGACAGTACTAGTCAACCCAGGTCTCAACCTTCACTAAGATCTGCCAGCAGCGAATATCCCTCCAGATCCCGCACATTCCACCGAGACGATAAGAGAGTACGATCTCGCTCCTTGGAGCAAGAGAGGTTCTCCTCATTAGAAATCACTCGAGAATCTGAAGCTAAGGCGAGAAGACATGGGGAGTATCCGGACGGGTACAAGGAGGATGGGATCAGTCCTAGAGGAGAAACCTCCTTCCATTGGCGAGCGAATCCATTCGATTTACCCGAGGATGGCTTCCTTTCCGGGGTCTGTAGAATCGCCTTCTGTTTGGACTAACTCCCAACTTTGTAAAGTCCTTTTCCAGCTGACGGGTTTCATTATGACCGCATTGGCCATGGGACTGCTTATCATGGTCTCCTGGTTTATCATCTCGCAAATGGATTTCATTCTGAAGGTGGTAACCAGGATAGCCAGATCAATAGAGGAGTCCATGGCGCTGTTCAGTACTCAAAGGAAACCACCTCGACAGGAATCGTTGCGTGAATGAATCTTTAGATTGAAATCTATGAAATACGAGGTCTATGAATCATTTCCCGAGGCAAACATGTATGCTCTGACATTATCTACTAGCCATGTTTTTAGCTGCTTAAAGGTTGCCACTGGTCTTATCAACCTCCTTCGACTGACTCATCCGCTGGCACGGGGGGTTATTATCTTAACAGTTATCACTGCTGCACTTGTTGTTGTTATTGTCTTGGGGGGGTTATTACCATTAAGCTGAAGATAACAAGTTTTTTCAATTTACAATAATCTCTCTTCCTCTTTAGAAACTATCGTTCCACGCCGAGGCGAAAGACTGAAATCATTGGGACCACCAATGAGCATTTGGTTGGCAAGTTTCACTCGGTCTATCAGCCTAAAGATGAGTGAGTATTAATCTTAAAAGCTTAAAAATAGAATAGAGTGCACTTCTGCTGATTAGTTGGAGTAAAAACTTATACTTCTTAATATCTATTTTCCAGAGAGGAGGAGGTCGAGATTGAGCTGCGGGACAAGAGCGACAAGTGCGTCCATCCCATTCTGGAGGAGCTGATCAAGACGGAGGAGGCCTACGTGAACAACCTGTACACGGGCATTGAGAACTATGGCAACATCTTCCAGCGCAAGGATCTTCCCCTGGGTCTGCGTGGCAAGAAGTACGATCTGTTTGGCAACATCGAGCAGATTGCCGAGTTCCATCGCGATGAATTCCTGCCCATGTTGCAGCGTAATCGACGCGATCTGAAACTGCTGTTCGATGAATTTCTGCACTTCCTGGATGTGAGTTTTTAGTAAATTGTGGAATGAAGATTTAGAAATTAATTTTTTTATTTACTTTTTAGCAAAACTGCTTTTATGGCTATGTCATCTTCACGATGAACAAGCAAAAGTCCCTCAAACTATGCGATCTCTACAAAAATTACTTCACTGTGAGTATAGAAAGATATCAAGTAAAGTTATTTTTAAAATCTTAATTGGAACATTAAGTGGTTTTGTTTGCTTAATTTAATCTTTGTGCAATATATTTATTATTTTATATAATATCTCTAATTATATGTTTAATTTTCCAGAGTATTCGCCTGGAACGCGATGATAAGTTGGGCATAAACAGCTTTCTGGTGCAGCCTATTCAGCGCATGGCTCGTTATCCTTTGCTCCTCACGCAGTTTATCAATGTAAGTAAATCTTAACAAGAAAAAGGTGTTAAAGCAAACTAATAATATCAAAAACCAACCTTAGACCTTCTTCAAGAACCGCGATATAGTGATGAAGCCACTAATAGAGTCCTGCTGCCGTCTGGAGAAGCGCCTACGTTCCCTGCTGACCACCACCAATGAATCGGAGATCATCAATGACATAGTAGACTGCCATGAGGTAGGAAATACTTACAAAGCTTACCTCATCCGAGTTTTTCTAAACTTTCCTCTCCACTTACAGTTCAATGTCTACTACCAGGGCAAATTCCGGAAGGTTAACGAGTTCCAGGTGCTCGATCATAAACTCAAGCGTAGCTACAGAGCCAAGGTCTTCATCTTCGACAAGTGTATCATCTATACGGAGATCAAGGGCAAGAATCTGATCTTCCATGGTCGTTATCCTTGCGAGCATATAGGCATCTCAGCTAAGGTGAAGTCATTTACACTTTACTATGAGCGAAGGAAACAGCAGGAATGTGAATTCACTGCAGATCCAGTCCAGATTGCCGCCTGGTTGGACTTAATCCGAGACATGATCAATAATTTTGCCAATGAGGAAAGGCAGAAGCTGCAGGAGCGCTATTCCCGAGAGAATGATCATCTGCATCGCAAGGCTCCCAGTTTTTCACTGTACCGCGATTCCAATCGCTTCAGTTCAGATAGCGGAATCGGTAATATCTGGATAATGCCAAAACCAGACGAAGACACGATCAGCAACAGAACTACTTGGTATGCGGTATCTTAGGGCATTGCAATATGAGACAAGGAAATAATCCTTTTTCTGTTATGGAAAATCGGCAGTTTGGAATAGATATATATGGTATGATATATAATATATATCTGAAGCTGTCTAAGGCGGCCAAGTTTCGGAGGGCCATCAAGCCAAGCCAAGTCAATATTTGAAATTTGTTTTTCAAATTCCTGCTCATTGTGAATGTGGCAAAAGGAGATCGAAGGGAAAACTTCTTTCGATTTGAATGCTAAATAACCAAATATTGAATTATAAGTTTAGTCGGTTAATTAAGTTGTATATATCCTGTATTATTGTTGTCACAAAATGCAATTCGTTGAACGTTCTCTTGTGCCTAGCTGGTTAAGCATTTTTGTTCTTTGTAAATATTAAAAATAGAAAAGAAGTTTTAAATAAAAATTAAAGATATGGAGAAGAATATGATTATTTTCCAGCTTAACAAAAATATAAAAAAAAAACTTTTGATTTTACAGAAATTTGAATTTAAATTTGAAAAAAAAAGATATCAAAACTCCCTTTATTACAATTTGATTTTTATCATTAATTCCCACAGCTATTCATTAAGGAAATATTTGTGAACATTATTTTTTAGAAAATCAGACACTTCCTTCCATTTTCTGCCAGCGGAATCACACGCTTCGCAGACGTCAAAACAAATGAATCTATCATGGAAAGGTCGCACGCCATCGGCGTTGTCATGAGAACCAGACGTGAGGCAGCTGTTATATATATCCCCTCGCACCGATCTCTATACAAACAACCACCCACCCATCCATCCACCTCATCACTCTTGATATTGTTAATGATACGACACGCAATACTCAAAACAGCGAAACGACTTGTTTTCTGACTGCCACTTGCACTCGCCTGTGACATCACTAAGAAAATGTATAAAAATAAACAAATGGCGCATATAAATAAATGTAAGCAATAATTATTGTTCGCCTGCTGAATGGCCCCCCTGACCCTCTCCCCATCTTGATCATTCCGCTTGCAGCTCATCAATCGCGCCCAGAACTGCTCGATGTTTATTTATAATTCTCATTGTATTTTTTTTTTTTTTTTTGCATCATCAGGGAATGCTTTTGATGAGGAATGTTTAAAAAAAAAATCAATTGTATAAATAATATAAAATGTTAACAATTTAGCTGGTGAATTTCACAAATGCAAATGACAATTGCCTGTTTTCCGGTGATCTCTTATGAGATCATCACTTTAGTTTTTAGAACACTTAAATGTTAAAAGAATAGAAATTTTCGGGTTTCTGTCAACTGAAACTATTTGGTTTCTGATTTATAACTCAATTCGGTGTTCGGCCGAGAACCCGATAAATCGAAACAAAAGCCAACCAGTTTGGCTGCCCCCAAAAGTTCAAGGCGAAAACGATACGCCTCGATTATAGGTAGTGGCCAATAATAACAGTTATTGCCCGGCCATTAGCCAAAAGCCACCTAATTGATATGCAAATATGAAATCATAAACGATTAAGTCGAATTATTGCCATGATGAAAGCAAAAGTGTTACACAGGCTTTTGTTTTGAGTTCTATCCCAATGCCAGACATCGGAATGGTTTTCACAGTTTCAAATTTGCTTTTGATGATGTTTACAAACAAAATATGAAGGCGCGTGGTCAGCTATAGCTTTTCATAACAAAGAGAATCGATGGAAGGCAAAGAGAATGATCATATAAAGCTTTTGAGCTTTTTTTTAGGCTTTGCAAATGCTCAGCGCAAATTTTGCTCAGTCGAGTTTTGCCTTTGATTCGCTGCGGATCGGTTTCGGAATATTTTTTGCCATATTTAGTACAAGTTTTTGCCATCGATATGCGTCGAATTCGTTGGTGGTTGAGTCTATAGAAAGCTGTGCAAGAAAATAAAATAACGAAATCAACCAATATGGAGTTAACAATGATCACCTTAAATTGGTTCGATTTGATTACGTCGGTGGTGACATTTCTTGTGATATTTCTAGTGCAAGTGCTGAATGTTTATTTGAAAATACTAGACGATAATCCCGATAATGGCAAGTCAATCGATGTGGTCGACAAAGCCGCCGTGAAAGAATTTCCGATACTGGAGTCTCAGTCATCCAGTTCACCCGTTTCCACCACTCCTTCTTCACCGAAAACACCGATATCGGCCAACGGCAAGTTGGAAAAGCAAATATCTCTGCTGGACAATGATAGGTAGGGGCTAAGCATTAACCCATTGTTTACCCATCCTGTGTTTGAACGTACCTCTACATCTGCCAGTTGTTTGCGGTCTTTCCATCGAATTTAATGTACATTATTGAATGCCCGACCTTTGGCTTGTTTTACAACACTCACAGTGCGTATACGTGATAAGATAACACATACGCCCCGTTTATTTTTAAGCCTTCTCACGGTAATTGCTGTCGGGGAGTGTCTAAGTTCATGACATGCATTATAAACATGGTACCAAGTTAATTCGCACGACTGATTAAAGATAAGACAAGTCATTTTGATCATAAAGGTTTTGGTTTTGGAAGCCAGGAAGGAAGTTGTTCCAAGATTGCACTCATTAAAGTGTTTTACAAAGGAAATGGGTTATCTAAGTCATAAAGGGGGTTTCTTTTTGGTTAATCATGCTGTTTTCAGTTGGTATCTAAGCTTTGTAGTACAAAGTTGCGACTATTTTTATGCAACAACGACGATAAGTAACAAAAATAATCTATAAATTTTGTAAATTATTATACTGGAATTTCCATTTTCTAAGCAAATCAAAAACTTTAACTTGTCTTCAAGCTAACTTGCAACTGAAAATTAAGTAAAAAGCTCTCAAAACTCCACTGAATCTCACACTTTAAAGCTTCTAGAGATTTCTGTTAAGGAGAAGTTTATTTGTATATTTAATTTTGTATTTCCATATTTTTATACCCCTTATACCCACCACATTTTCAAGTGTTTTCCATTCACGGCTTGTTGTTCTCGTGTTCTCGTTACTGTTCTGTTTCCAGCGGCATCTCATTGAGCTCCATCAACACCTGTTCAGCAAATGCAACGAACTCATCCCCAACATACCGAACACACAATGGCTTCCACTCTTTCCCTTCGCACACGCTCAGTTTCGAGACCCTGACCGATGAGTAGTAAGTACAAAGATCATAGCCATCCTTATTAGCAGATTATTGGTAATTGTTTTGGTAATTAACTTATGATCATCCGCCTCCCCGCAGTCACGAGGATGAGGATACATTGTCTTTGGAGAATCTGTTTCCCTGCGATCAAACCGAGATCTATGCCTCTAAGAAAATAAGTTTCATAATAGATGAGCTCATTCAAACGGAGGTGAACTATGTGAATAACCTGAAGAAGGGAATGGTGAACTATGGAAAACTTAAGGATGAAGAGGATGTGCCAGAGGGTTTGAGTGGCGAAGAGAAACAGAAATTGCTGCTGGGAAATATCGAAGAGATTCTGGAACTTCATGAAAAGGAAATACTACCACTCATGCTGCGAAATCAGCGGGATCTCAAAGGTCTATTCGATGAGTTTGCCGTACACTTCGAGGTGAGTTAGAGGGGTATATATTAATATAAAGGTAGGGAGATTGTGTGGGATCCATTAGCCAAACTGGTGTCGTTTAGCCAAGTAGCCGTTCGACAGGTTCCGACAGCTCATCTATCAAAATTCTTTTGTCTTCCGTAGGCACTCGAAGTGCCTAATTTAAACCTCAAATATTTACACCTAACAAAGTGGCTAAGAGAGTGGCTTTTTTTTCTCTCGACATTTTTTTGAACCCACTTGACACCTGCCTTTGGTGTCTCTTTTTTTGCTTTGTTGAGCTGTTTTTATTTTTATTATTTTTAGACAGAGTCTCGTGGCTTAATGCAAATGAAGTCTCAATCTGGGTTATGCAAACTCTGCGAGAATTTCAATTAATGATTGTGTTTATTATTTAATTTTTGTTGTATAATATTTTTGATCACACCTCGCAACAAGTGTGTCACCGAAAATCATTCATATGCGTGTGGCATATAAATTAAATGGTTTTCACAAGAAAAATATTTATCCCAGATCATTTGCAGAATGACGAATGGGATGGCTTAGTGAAGTCCCTCTCCCCTGATAAGACTGAAGTAATCAGCAGAACGCCATAATAGTAATAAAAATGAAATCAACACAAAGGCAAAAAAGCTCGCACTCAGTTACGAAAATCAGTTAGAAATTGTTAGGGCAAACAGACTTTATTTTGTATTTAATGTCTGGGTTGGGGTTCCAATTTGCCGGCAACTGACGTCATCGCTGACAATTGCTTGCCTCTGGGGCTTGGCGTTCATACACACTCGTACCATTCAGATATAGCTATAGAAATCCCCAAATCATCTCGTTAAAAAGTACTCATTTCGGAATGATTTTCGGGCCACTAGAGAGCGGACATGTGGCCATGTATAGAGCCGAGTGTTGACAACGCAAATGATCAATTTAAATTGAAATTGTCGGAGGCCTGTGGAATTCTTCAGCAGTCGAAATGCTTTCTTATGTCATTTTTAAGTTCCAAGAAATCCCAAAAAAAATTATCAGTGAGTTCAGAAATTCAAAGAAACTTGTTTCCAAAGCAGGTAACATTCTTGTTGAGCTTCCCCAAGGATTTGCCATCTTAATTTTCGACAAACATGCTAAGCCCCTGGGATCTGATTTATGTTTATCTTGTTCTTGTCCCGCAAAACCAATATTCTTTCTTTTTTTTTTCATACACAAAACCAAACAAACATTTCTGACTCACAGGACCAGAGAGGCAGGCGGAAAATTCGCTAAATATATCATTAAAATCATTGCGATTTGTTTATACATATTTTCTAAAATTTTTCTCAACTTTTTCCCTGCTCAATCTTGGCAGCATGCTGTATAAACACCGAAAGACGAGCACACCAACTTGTTGATAAATATATACTTATGTTATGAATTTCCTCTCAGACTCGTCGTCTTTGCCAAATTAATGAGGCTTTTCACAAACAATTGCCAAATCGATTAGTTCTGACATCAATTGATGTTTGACTGCTTGATAGGCCTACTAATGATTAATGTTAGACCTTGTCCAGCTAGAGATTTTGAATAGTTTTTTGGTCTCTAGAACCCACAAATGACAAAAGAACTTACCATAAATAGAGTTGCCTTCATTTATTAATCGGCTTTAAATGGCCAAGAACATCGCAAAGTGACAAGCGTGTCGATCAGACTTCTCACCATCAAATCGAATCAAAATCAATTAAAAGTTTTTTTCCACATTCGGATGGATTTTTGAGTGCTCTAAGTGGGATGGTGGGGGGGGGATTTTCAGATTGATGCAATCGATTTGGCGATCAAAAACGTAGAATATTTTTGCCACGAAATAAACAAACGAAGATTGTATTGATGGGGAAGCCTCTGGCGGCCATAAATTGTATTTACACAGCTGTGTTCATGAAAATAATAATGCTTCCAGAACTAACACAAAATTTTTTTTGATTTCTTTAAAAGCAAACTCATTAAATGAAATGCTTTTAGAAATGTTCGTTTAGTGTTTTGTTTTGTAAGTTTGCAAAAAGTTTCTCTTTTTAATATTATTTTAGATGTTTTGAACAAACTTAAAAAGGTGATTCATCTGTTTTTCAGTTTTCTTACTTTAATACTAATATCTTGAACACAGCTGTGCATATGGGCAACCGCTTTGATGGCTATAATTTGTATATGCCAGCAATCGTTTTAAAATAAAAGCCCATAAAATCCATCCCCTATTAACCCCGCTGACACTTCCTTCTGACTTAAGACCGTAAACCTTAAAAATAGATCACACTTTTTTTTCATACTTTAACCGCAACACAGAAACAAATTACTAAATTAGGTGGAATGCACCGGAGATAGGAATTTAATGCTAATAAAATACACGCCCACCCAAAGAATATTTTGCAATATGCAAAAATCTATATATATATATATATATATATATACATTGTCACCTTTTTGCCCGCCAGACGAGGCGACAATTGTTTAAGGCAGTCATTTGTCCGGCTAAATCGAATTAGACATGCAAAACCCAGTGCCAGTCGATGGAAAGGGAAATATTATGGCTTAGACCCGCAGAGAGATGATTATCATATCATCTAGATGCAGAATTTCGAGCTCTGATTCGGCCAGCCAGGCGAAGCTAATGAAATTAAAATGGAAAGGAAATCGTTAGACAAGCAATTTTCCTTTGCAGTTTGCACTAGTTTTGGGTTTTTTTCTTTTTGGGAAAACATTTGCATTGGCATTGGCCACAGTTAGCAACAGGAATTCCAAATTTTGCGCTCTGGCTTTTGCCAAGGCTTCACCACAGCTCTGTAGTTACGTGACTTAAATATTTAAGAAATTATGATTTCGCCACCAGGCAGACTTCGCATGTGTTTGTATAGTCCCATAGTATATATATCAACGATGTGCCAAATGTGAGGTAAAAGCACATGGCTCAGACACAAAGGTTTTTCTAAGACTCGGTGAGGTTAAAAAGGTTTCTTTCATTTTCAGAAAAATCGCTTCTACTGCTATGTTAGCTTCACCATCGGCAAGAAAACGTCAATGCAACTGCGTCAAGATAATCGATTGTGGTTGCAGGTGAGTTATCTCCTTTAAACTATTATAAATAAAGCAATTGAAATATTTAAATTCCCTTTTAGACGTATCAAACCTCTATAAAAGACAAGCTGGGCATCGACAGCTTCCTAGTTCAGCCCATTCAAAGACTGACCAGATATCCTTTGCTCCTGCAGCAATTCATATCGGTGGGATATTATTTTCGAAGGTTTAGAAATATTTCTTAATATTTTGCTTATTTCAGGAATTCTACAAAAGTGGAATTAGTTGCAAGCCAGTGCTGACTGCCGTTTGCAAATTGGAGACGCGAATGCGGCGGGCTCTGGATGTGGTCAATCAGGCCGAGGAGATACCCAACATCGAGGAGCTAAACGAGGTGGGTAATCCTTGAATTTTGTTTTGAAAAACTATACTCAAGCTCTTCTTTCTTCTCCTACAGTTGGACCTCCTACAGTTGGGTAACTTCCGCCGTTCAACGGAGTTCGATGCCCAGCATCTTCCCACCCGGAAGAAGTACCGCTCCAAGGTGTTCCTGTTCGAGCGGAGTCTCGTATGCACGGAAGTGCGGAAGAAGAGGCTGGCCTACCGGCAGCACTACAACTGGGAGAATGTTGAGCTGCAGAGGCCCTTGGATTCTGCCTCATCCAATGCCAATAAGACTATCAACATGCTGGTGAAACAGCAGGAAGGAGGTTCCAATGGCAGTTCGAAACGAGAGGAGTACGCCTTCGTGGCTGCAGAGGCTGCGGTGGTGAAACAATGGCTCTTGGCCACCCACAAGATCATTGAGATCGCGCGGCATGAACATGCCAGAAGGAACACTTTTAGCCTGCCCATGGATCTGGTTCTTGGAGTCATTTTGGCCATCTGGCTGATATGGCAGTACTTGTAGATAGTCCCCACCTCAACAGCACATAAAAACCATGTCCTATTCCCCATCCACTCACAACTCAAGATCGTAGATATCTAAGAATAAAGCTAAGTTATTTCGTAGTCCTGTTCCGTTTCTTGTCCTCGATGCTTGTCCGAGCGTGAAATAAGCTTGCTGCAGTCGCCTGACAAATATTCATGATAAATTGCCTTTGCAGTGGCCAAATGCCTTGTCTTGTCGTTGTCCTTGCAGCAAAATGTAAATAGCTCTTCATCTTTTTCGCCAACAGCACACACATACTTAGCGCTTAGTGTGTACAGCGTACAGTGTGTGTGGCAGCCACCGAAAAATTTATGACAAATCTATTTATTTAGAATTTATGACGGAACGTTGTAGGAAGCCAAGTCACGGTCTACGGGAATGTAATGAACCATGGCCAAGGATGTGAATATGAACTGATGGCTTCAGGGAGTGTGTTAAAAACCAGTTTGTTTGGTTATAAGATGTGATGGAGTTTTCAACAATTAAATTTAAAATGGAATAAGAGAAAGTTTCGAAGAAAGTTATTACTCAAAAAGTTGATATTCTATGAAAATAACTTAAAAAAAAAATAAATTGCTGAATATTATGAAATTATTAATTGAATTCAACTACTTAGTGAAATGTAGCTATAAAAATATAGGACTAAATTTATTTTACAGATTTGTTTACTTAACTCCAAGGAGGTTCTGACATCACTCAGTAAAATGATGTCAATTTATTGTTAATCATTATATTGCGGTTAGCGAATTATTCAGCCCAAAGATAACACAAAAATGTGTTTATATGTGTTTAGAAAAATATAAATGAAGAACAATTTTTTTTATAAAATTTTTATTAAAGCGATAGTGTAAAAATTCTAATGAATTTATGTCTTAAAAGTCTACTTACTTTATACATTTATATTTCGATTACATCCGGAAAGTATGCAATACATTTTAATCACTTACCCCAAAAGACACCCCATAAACCGGCAGAAAAATGTCAAGTTAAAATCACATATTTCTGCTCTTCACAACCACTGTATGACAGCCTTCGATTGAAATCAAATCAAAAACTGATTTCCCACATTACATGGCCTGATTATCCGGTCAAGCGATGGTCAAAAACTCTTCTACATACAGTAAAAAGAAAATCTGCCCTGCAAAGTTTGTTGCAACATCAAAGAGCCGGCAAGGATATAAAATAAAAACCAAAAATGCACTAATGAAGTTAAGCAGGATACGAGGGGGCGCAGGGTGTCCCATCTGGCTTTATTTTCATGTCCTTGGCTATGTGGGCTGAGGAGGAGTGGAGGAGTGTATTGGTGTTTGTGCTTGGGATGTGACAAAATTTGCACAAAAGCAATTTGTTAAAAGGGCACAAAAAATAAAACGCGACTCCCTTGACATCTGGCTGCGGGATGGGTGGAAATTTGCCTTCATATGAGTTGCTGTCTAAGCAAATTTTGGTTGCTATTTTCCTATCTCTCGTCCTGGCATACATACATACAAGTATATGTGCTCATTTTGTGTTGGTTTGGTGCTCGCTGTTGGTTTATTATATTATGTCATTTATGTTGGCATGCCGCCATCGCATCCGCTTGTCGTTTGCTCAAGGGATAAAGGATGTACCAGCAAGGAAGCTGGCTAAAGGATAATGCCCGTGTTCTTACCAGGCAGCTTAAGTGTATTAATGTCTGTCAAGTAGTTGTCACAAAAGTGACGTGTATGTAAACGATTTGACATTTTTATGAGCCAAAAACTCGCAGAGCTGAAAAATTACAAAATTTTACCCATAGACAACGAAAGGATCTTCTCATCGTCTCATCTCTTTCAATATTTTTTTCTGGGCCATTGGCTTTCGAGCGTCTTTTAATTTTTTTTGTCTATGCCCCTCACGTAGTTTGCTCTACACGCTCCACATGTTTTTTAAACTAAATGCATAATTTCGAACGCCAAAAAAAATAGGAAAATGTGTAGAAAAAGAAGAATTTGGCAATAGAATTGGAGAATGCCACGGGGCATAATTTATTTGAATTTTTTTCCCGAGGCACGTCGCAGGACTGGAAGGATGTCGAACAAATGTGCCAAGTAATTGCACAAATTATTGCACGTAGGCGGGCAACACATGATGGCTGGAGTGCCACAGATGGCACTGGGAGATACCACCCCCGCCGCCTTTCATGCTACATTAAATTAACTTGACATATTCTCTAGCATATACATATATATACAGATTCCTTGCCACAACTGTTGCTAATTTTTTCCTTAATATGCCCCCCACACACACGGACTCATCCACAGCTCCATTGGATTTGTGCGTATCCAATTCACGCCTCAACGCCAGTTGTTGTCCCCCAAAATCCATCGACTATATATATACATATATACGAGTATATCCCACGATATCCCAACCTTTATCTCCCCCATCTCAATCCACAATCGTATGGCCATCCAATGTAAATGCAACACAACACTTAGGCACGCATCTAGCACACATCTTCATCCATCCGTCCAACATTTGCCGCCTCGTCTCTGGATTTGTGAATTCGTTTAGTTCTTTTGCTCCGGGTGCTTGAAAAAGTTCAAATTTCAGCTGCGAAATGGCACGTGAAACAATGTGCTACTCGGTTTGGGGAGTTGGAGTAATCGGTTGGGTTTACAGTGGGATAAAAAAGTTATGGGATATGCAGATTGATTCGTAAAAGAAATCTAAAAGCTATTTGGTAAATGAAGGTATCAGAGAAGGGAAAATGCTGGAAATTATTTAAATATATCATTGATAGATTTTTTTTACGCGCTCAAAGTAAAATCCATACCACTGTGCCGGTTATGGTGGCACAAATCAAGCAGAGCGACAAATGCCCATGCGAATGTGTGAATTTGCCGACGATGACAACTGATAAAAGATCGAATTGCGCATCTGAATTCCGAGGAGAGTTCCAGGACACGTTTCGCAAAATAGGCAGGAGGAGTGGGGAGAGCACCCTTAAGACCCCGGGTTAGAAGGCCTAATGCCAACGCCTGGCATTAGATAAAAAACAAAGGCATGTAATTTTCGGGGCATGGCCTAAAGCCACAGAACGAGCCGAGCGGCGGAAACGGAAACGCTCGATAATCGCACAGAGTGCAGCGTCATGTGTGTGTTGGTGAATGGGAAATTTTTGGGATGGTGATGGGTGGTTTCAAGCACGTTTAAGGATGAGGTTGCTTCCTGATGATGGCTGATAATGCGGGGGCGCCGAATCACGTATGGCTAGGGAAATACCCACTCCTGCATTGATAAATGCCCTCCGTTAAGTGGCATGTTTTGGGTTAAATGCGGTGTAAAATGTGTTAACCCCCTGAAACCCCTAATGGCATAATAACCTGGCACTGGGAAAAAGTTGGATTACCAAATCCAGGAAATAAAAACCTCATTTGATTTGAACTTGTGGTTATTGGTTAATGTTACTCCTAATGATATAGTCCAAAGAGGTCAAGGATACTTTTCTCTGGGTGTAATTGAAACGAGAAATGGTGACTCCTGGCTGAATGACATTTCAGTTAGCAGCCAGGACAACAAGTCGCAACAACACCTTGAAAATGTCAACCTGGCCAACTGACGCAAATAAATCGCCCATCGTTGGCGCACCTGACACTGTCAACATATGCTCCGCTCGGCGAAAAGCAAATGCAGAACATTTCTGGAGGGGATTTGGGGAATAGCCGCGCCGGCCTTGTACATACATCTTGCTTACAGGACGCCAAATTGAAATTTAAAACGAGAAAACCAATAAAAAACAAGTTACAGACGCCACCGAGGGGCGGCAATACAAATTGCACTGACGACAGCTGAAAGGCCAGTACGCTGGAGCTCCACATCCGAATCCCACATCCACACCCAGAAATCGGCAAAGGATGGTAGCACCCGAAACCACCCGAGACCCAAATGCAATTCGCGCCCAAGACCAGCATACAAATGCCTTCAGCCAAAGGATAATATAATGCACGTTGTTGAAGAATAATGGTCCTGCCAGAAGACAACGTCGCCATCGCCATCGTCGTCGTCGTCGTCCAAGGGACTAAGCATGTCTGCCATTCCACAAAAAATAAAGGAAGAGAGCACAGCTTTGGCCTGGAGTAAGACCCCAAACCATTCCAGATCCAAGGAGCGGACAATAACGATGCCGGCAACGGCAATGACAGGCAATTTTAATAGAATCTGCCGGCGGGTGTGTGGGGATACGGACTTAACTTGGTGCGTGCCTTGGCCTTTTCTTCGGGAACATGAACATCCAGGACATCTTCAATTTGCACCACCAGCCTACGAGTTCGCAAGTCCTTTCTATGGATATCAAAAGGGGTGCAGCTATTAGGGGTTGGGGTGTGTGATTTATGTACAGCCAAAGTCAACAATCAATATTCAAATTAACACAGAACCTGTTGAAGACTTTTCTATTTTTAAAAACGCTCTCCTTGGTTAAAATACTAAAATTTTTACTTAGATCTCACAATGATTCACAACCAGTTGATTGGTTTTTGATTAAAGAGAGACTCATCTAAAAGTTCCCTTTCATTAATCAGAAATATAAACTCAACTATCATTAGAAAATCCAAATAACTAAATCGTTAAAATTCCCTTTTCTTAGTAGTAATGTACATAGTAATTTCCCACTTTTCCCACTTAGTCAACAAACCGAATGAATGTTCTCAAAACAATGCCGAGATTACACATACACTCCCCTCTTATCACCCAAGCATTTCAAATACCTCATTGTTTATAATCGCATCATATATTTTGTAAAATTAATAATCTCAATTCACTGCTAGGCAGAACTCCTTGGAACCTGCCCCAGTTGCTTACAACTTGGCGTTGACGTGGATGGCGAGCACTCCGTCGTCCTCAGAGGTGCGAATAGTAATGGTGGCCCGTCCATCGGATCCGACAGTGACGGTTTTGCCAGTGCAGGAGGATCCATTCTTGGTACCAGAAATCACATCGCAGTAGGTGCCGGCTGGGAGGCCAGTCTGCAGGGAGCTGTTGAGGTCGTAGTTGTCGTTGTTAAAAGCCACAAAGCCCTTGTTGCCGCGGCTGAAGGAGATCTGGTTGCTGCCGTTGCTCCACCAGTTCTGGATAGCATCGGATCCCACGGTGTTCCTGAAGGCAACCATGTTGTAGATTTGGCGCCAACGGTGCTCGCACACCCATCCGCCGCTGCAGGAGTTGTCGCTGTTGAAGACGGGAGAGGCGATGTTGTGGCCGTCGGTGGTGGGTGGTCCTTGGTCGGTGTCGTCGAAGGAGAAGGAGGACATGACGCGGGGTGTGCCGAAGGGATGAGCCAACATGAAGGCGGAGGCCATCTTGTACTGCTTGGCCACCTTGTAGGTGAGCACATCAGCACCTCCAGCTCCGTGTCCGCGCTGGTTGTCGTGGTTGTCAACGAAGACCAGGGAGCGGTCGGAGGCGGCGAAGCCCCAGGCGGTACCCCAGTTGGTCAGGTACTGCAGCTGGTCCTTGCCGCGGAACACTTTGCCGATGGAGTCGGAGTGACGGAACTCGGTGATGGCGCCCAGTCCGGTGTACTCAGACTTGCTGATGGCCTCGCCACCCATGTCAATCACCTCCTGGACGATGTAGGCCTTGGCGCCAGAAGAGAAACCGTGGTCGGTGTTCAGGGTCTTGAGTTTACCGTAGATAGTGCCCAGATCTGCGGGCCACATGTGCTTGGCAGCGTCCACACGGAATCCAGCCACTCCAAGGTCGATCAGGTGGTTCAAGAATTCGACAACCTTCTCCTGGACCCAGGAGTTGCCCTGGTTCAGATCGCGAAGACCGACCAGCTCGCAGTTGCGAACCTGGTTGGCGTCGTTGTAGTTGGTAATAGCGCAGGTCGGGTTGAAGTCCAAGGAGGAGTAAGGCACTCCGGGGTAGCTCTTGCTGCTGGGGTTGGCGGTGCTGCCACCAGTTCCGTAGGTACCGCCATCAGCGGCCATGTGGTTGAAGACGACGTCCACGTAGGTGCGGACTCCGACGTCGTTGCAGCGCTTGACCATGCTGGAGAACTGTTGCTCGTTTCCGGAACGGGTTTCCAGTTTGTAGGAGATGGGCTGGTAGCGCTCCCACCAGGGACGGCTGTCCTTGACGGCGTTCTCGTTCACAGGGGAGACCTGTGGTCGAAGCACTCAATAAGGTGTTCTTGGCGGGAGATTAAGGTTCTTACCTGAACTCCAGCGAAGCCATTGGGTCCCAGGAAGTTCTCGCACTCGGCGGCAATGTCGTCCCACTTCCACTCGAAGAGGTGCACCATCCCACTACGACCAGAGGCGTAGTTGGTGTTGAATTGGGCGCTGGCCACGGCCAGAAGAGCGAGACCCAGAATGCACTTGGCCAAAAACATGGTTGTTGTAGGTGGAAGCTCAGTTTCACTCTGATTGCATTTCAGTTTTGCAGTTGCTTATATATGAGGTCTACTAAGATTATGCCTCACCGCTTTGTGGAGAGTGATTTGTGGGTCGATCTTATCGCCTCCTAAGACGCAACGTCGTCATATTATTTATTGAGTTGATTAAACCGCGATTAAGGCGGCTTATCTAAGTTTAGGTCAGACCAACTGGCTATCGGCTCATTATAACAACATCAGGACAGTGCATTCCTTTGATATCGGTCCCTGCTGGGGATTTATTGGCCACTTGACTGGCATGCTGCCCAAAGCGTGACCAATTTGAACTATGGTCAAATATTTTACTTTATCATTGATGACTTTATCAAACTTATAAAAAAACAAAAAACTTTACTAAAGATGGTTTAACCAGATGAATATGTATGTAAAGGGATATACATAAAATTTGTTATTAAAAATTCCAACTTAAATACGAAGGTAACTATCGATAGCTCCACCAAAAAGTTTCCACCTCTACGAATTGCAATTTTCCACAAAACAGATGCAATTACATGGTTCAAGCTAGGGAAATCCAAAAGTAAACAATAGTTTATAAAAGTAACAAAACACAATGCACATGTTGCTGCTGCTTCTGTTCGGAATTTCAAGATCCAGAGCTCAGAAAAATATTCAAATACCTGAAAGTTTATACGCAGCCATAGTGAGCAGTTTCCCAGATCAAAACATTATCTTCTCAACGGATGTGATACGATCCAGTATGCTGTTCATCTATGTTGGTGTGGAGAACGATGAAGCCGAGGAAATTCGAAAGGCTTTACGCTATGAAAAATCTTATTTATCTCAGTATAAACCAGATTCCAAGAAGATCTTTGCTATGAGATTGCAAAATGACACGATAGCAAAGAGCCTTACAAGATTCTACATCCCCCTGGATCTGAAAATGTCTAAAAATTATAAAAGGTTCATGCGACATACTGAAGGGTCAGCTGAAGGTATTAGTTTTACACCGGAAAAACTTAACGAGGTGAATAATTTGTACCGCAGGGAGATGGGTGATAAGATTGGGAAGATTGTCAAGAAAAGTTGGTGGAAATCGACTAACCAAGGACTCCTCATCAATGCCATGTTCTTTAACCTCACTTGGCAGCTTACCTTTAACGAAGAAGCCACCTATCTCAGGGGCTTCCGAGTAAATGAGAACAGAACCATTATGATACCCATGATGCATGAGGATAGTCAGTTTGCTTTTGGCAACTTTACGGATCTCAATGCCACTGCCGTTCGCGTGCCTTTCTCCCAGGGCGGCTTAGGAATGCTACTCATAAAACCTGATCGGCCAGATGGTCTCTCCAATTTGGAAATAAAGCTGTCTGGCTTGGATATTATACAAATTTCTAAGAATCTTCAAATGAATGAAGTTTTTGTGGTCATGCCAAAGTTTAACCTTAGCTGTCATTTAGAGCTAGCTCCAGTTTTTAAGAAGATGGGTATTAGGGGTATATTCAGCCCTAGTAAGTCATTTTCTACGTTGCTTGAAAGGAAAACCGAATTTCGGATTGATGGGGTTAACCATGTGGTCAGTTTCGAGTTCAAGGAGCAAGGCATTGGTCCGCCCCAAACTGATGTTGGTAATGTTGATTATTTCTTAGATAAAATTATATTTTAATATATTTTATTTATTTTTTATATTTTAGGTAATGGCAGTTTGACACACACTGTCAGCGAAGTGAAGTACTTTATGGCCACTCATCCATTTGCTTTTTTTATAATCGATCAGGAGTCCATATTCTTCGCTGGTCATGTTACATCTTTTTAGGAATAAAAAGTAAAAAATTAGAACCTAAAACTTAGAAAAATGTTAAGAAAATTTTGATGGAACAGAAACTTTGCAGGAATATTTTTATTTTGGGAACAGAAAAACAAAAAATTATTTTGTTAATTGGTAATAAGAAGTTTATAGATAAGAAAGTTTAAAGATAAATATTTCATATTTTAATGGTAAAATTTCCTAAAAGATCCAACTTTCTATTTCCATTCTAAAAATTTCCGAAAAATTAGTTCGCTTATTTAAGAGAGTATTCCTTTTTAAATAAAATCACATCTTAATTTTTATTTCCCTTACATTTTTAGGCCCCCAATCTCATTGCAGAGCTCACATTTTTGTGAATAATAAAATAAATCGTTGCCCAGTATTAAAAATATCCTTTGTGGTCGAGTCAAATTCATTTATGGCGGTTGCCGAAATATCTTTTGATTAGCCCAAGGAATGGTGCTGGTTGTTGGCCATAAGAATCCAGGTCATGTAGCCCGCATATAAATCCCAGCAAATTCATGCATGACCCATAAAACCGGAGACTCCAACTCCACCGGCACTCCAAGAACATATTTCCTATTTATGACTGCAACTTTCGGGCGTAGTCCGTGGGTGGGGTGTAAAAATTTCAACACGCTTACACAAAAATTGCCAATTAAGCGCATTTATGACTGCAACGCAGCGGAAGTATGTGTGGCATGCAACTGGCAGGATGGAAAGAAGAATGAAAGAAGTCGGGGTCACCAGCCCGTAGGAATCACCACCGCCTCCCAATGGAAACACTGTCTGGGCCCATAAACATCCTTAATGCGAGGACGTGTGCACTCCGAAGACGCTCGTCGGATTATTAAGAAACAATGAAGCCAGGACGTCGCTAGAAGCCATAAAAGCGGACACATAACGCCCCCGGGTTTATGGTGCAAGTTAAAACCGGAAACTAAATAGTTGACACCACGCGGACATTGACCATCGGATACGGACGGCGGGATTTAAGGCGAATGGGGGAGGGAGGGGAGGTGAGAAAGGAAAACTCTCGTAAAGCTCGGGTCAATGACGAAAACATAATTTGTAATTTGAATTTGCTCCGTGTTCGAGCATAAGCAATGAGCTTGCCACGATGTCCTTCGAGGTTGTCCTTTTGGCCATAACAGATTCTGTTCGCGTTCTGGTTATGGGGCATATAATTTTTCTTCAGGATGGCGATTGCTGTTACAGTAAGGGTTCTTGAATTGGAAGTACAGTAAAACACATTTGGTATTTGGTTAATGTTTCACATGTTTAATTAGTTGGCCTTGTGATTAATAATAATTATATTTGCATAATAAACTTTAACTATCTTGCACTTTGATTCGTTGATTAGTCTTCCTTGAATTTGAATTAAAATATGATAAGGAATGATAAGATCTGTCTCAGTCTACTGTGATTAGGTTGTTAAAACTTATCAGTCTAAGTAAAATTTGTTGATTAATGGTGAGTTTTCAGTTTCTAAATTGAATTCTTGCAGAGTTTTTCATTTCGAGTCTCTCAACTAATAAACAAATTTAACCCCCTAAAACCCCAATGCAGTTTTAAGCCCAAATGAAGCCGCAATTAACTGGTGAATGAATGAAGGTATCAACCTATATTAAAAGCCGTCTACATGGCGGGGAGTTACGTCTTGGGTTAAGCTATTGGGATACCTTCGTGGCTGGTCTGATTTATGCGCTTATCACGCAAGCGTCGCCGTTTTTATGTCCCTGTCGTCGCCGTCTGTCGGCCATAAATGTCCTGGCCACGAGTCCTGCTCACAAATTTGCCATTTTAATGCTCCTCCGGAACTTGGCTAGCGCTTTTCAATTTCTCCACACATACCTGCGAAATGGCAAAAGGCTCATCCTTCGCCCTTCGTGACAGTTTTTCATTACGCACAAATCCTTCGGGCATACACAGTCGCACATTAAAAAAGGATGTTGACTAAAAGCCAAAGCAAAAATAAAAAAAAAATAAAGAAAAGAAAAGAACGAATCCAGGGGAGAGATGTAAGCAAACAGCGAAGAGACGGCAGTCTTAGGAATTTCATAAAAATCGTTTGCCGGCTTATCGCAGCTTTAAGATGTCTGCATGTCCTGTGGGTGTGCTCGCATGTCCTTTGCCCTGCGACACTTTCAAAGTGACATTATGCAACTTTGAGCGGCAGCAACAAGAACTGCAGCTATCTAAATTACCCAGAGACATCCGGCATGGCAGGACGCTCTTATATGCTCAAGGATCAACAGGAAGCACCCCAAGGAGTCTGACTAGCTCCATGTGTTGCATTTTCCTCTTCTACAGATTTTCTTTTTTGCTGTTGCAAATTTCATTTGGCAGTGGCACTGTGCGACAGGAAGGAAATGTGAGCATGCAAAACCGAAAAAGGTCCTGGATAGACAGAGATAAGTTGAGCAGCAGAATTCGCCAATTAATGCGTCGTCCTGCACGTGTTAACATTCTGCCACTTGAGAGTCCGGAGGATCAAGTGGCCGCCAGTCAAGGCCAGGAGTCACGTATTCCTGCGGGAGTTCTGAAAGGTTTAAGCCTGAATTTTGGTTTTATAAAGGTAAAATACATGGTGCGTTGTAATAGAAAAGAGTTTTAAATTCCTAACAGATTCCTTCTATAGGATTGTGAAAGCTTAACCCATTTCCCCTAAAACCTTAATCAAAGAATTAATTCCAAACATCTGGCCATATGGACCATAGTTCACATTGGTCACGCTTCTAGCCGCGTGTAAGTAAAGTGGCCAATAAATTCCTAACCTCAGCTGATTTTTAAGGAATGCATTTCCCGATGAATAAGTAATTTAAAAATATCTATAATAAGCTGGCTAACTAATCATCTGCGAAAATATGTGAGCTCGAGTCAATACGTCTGTTTGGAATTTCGATAAGGTAAACTAATCGCAAATCACTCCCCATGAGAAAAAGCCCCAAGGGGGCGATAAGATCCCCTGCAGCCACAAATCACTCCCCGCGAAGCCCTAAGATATAGATACAGTAGCAGTGGGGTGGACTATATAAGGAGCTGCCGTGAATAGCTTTCGACCAGAGTGAAACTTAGCTTCCACCTAGTATCATCATGTTTTTGGCCAAGACTATTCTGGGCCTCGCCCTTCTGGCCGTGGCCAGCGCCCAATTCGACACCAACTACGCCTCTGGCCGTAGTGGAATGGTGCACCTCTTCGAGTGGAAGTGGGACGACATTGCCGCCGAGTGCGAGAACTTCCTGGGACCCAATGGCTTCGCTGGAGTTCAGGTAAGAATCTAATTCTCCCTTCAAGAACACCTTATTGAGTGCTTCGACCACAGGTCTCCCCTGTGAACGAGAACGCCGTCAAGGACAGCCGTCCCTGGTGGGAGCGCTACCAGCCCATCTCCTACAAACTGGAAACCCGTTCCGGAAACGAGCAACAGTTCTCCAGCATGGTCAAGCGCTGCAACGACGTCGGAGTCCGCACCTACGTGGACGTCGTCTTCAACCACATGGCCGCCGATGGCGGTACCTACGGAACTGGTGGCAGCACCGCCAACCCCAGCAGCAAGAGCTTCCCCGGAGTGCCCTACTCCTCCTTGGACTTTAACCCGACCTGCGGCATCTCCAACTACAACGATGCCAACGAGGTGCGCAACTGTGAACTGGTCGGCCTCCGCGATCTGAACCAGGGCAACTCCTGGGTCCAGGAGAAGGTTGTCGAATTCCTGAACCACCTGATCGACCTTGGAGTGGCTGGATTCCGTGTGGACGCCGCCAAGCACATGTGGCCCGCAGATCTGGGCACTATCTACGGTAAACTCAAGACCCTGAACACCGACCACGGTTTCTCATCTGGCGCCAAGGCCTACATCGTCCAGGAGGTGATTGACATGGGTGGCGAGGCCATCAGCAAGTCTGAGTACACCGGACTGGGCGCCATCACCGAGTTCCGTCACTCCGACTCCATCGGCAAGGTGTTCCGCGGCAAGGACCAGCTGCAGTACCTGACCAACTGGGGCACCGCCTGGGGCTTCGCCGCCTCTGACCGCTCCCTGGTCTTCGTTGACAACCACGACAACCAGCGCGGACACGGAGCTGGAGGTGCTGATGTGCTCACCTACAAGGTGGCTAAGCAGTACAAGATGGCCTCCGCCTTCATGTTGGCTCATCCCTTCGGCACACCCCGCGTCATGTCCTCCTTCTCCTTCGACGACACCGACCAAGGACCACCCACCACCGACGGCCACAACATCGCCTCTCCCGTCTTCAACAGCGACAACTCCTGCAGCGGCGGATGGGTGTGCGAGCACCGTTGGCGCCAGATCTACAACATGGTTGCCTTCAGGAACACTGTCGGTTCGGATGAGATCCAGAACTGGTGGAGCAACGGCAGCAACCAGATCTCCTTCAGCCGCGGCAACAAGGGCTTCGTGGCCTTCAACAACGACAACTACGACCTCAACAGCTCCCTGCAGACCGGCCTGCCCGCCGGCACCTACTGCGATGTGATCTCCGGCGCCAAGAACGGCTCCTCCTGCACTGGCAAGAGCGTCACTGTGGGATCTGATGGTCGGGCCACCATCACCATCGGCACCTCTGAGGACGACGGAGTGCTGGCCATCCACGTCAACGCCAAGTTGTAAACAACTTCGACAGGGAACCAGTCAAGCAATTGAGATTATTAATTTTACAAAATATATACGATGAGATTATCAACACACAAGTCTTTTAAAATATTTTTACGACACGGAGATTGCAAACGATAAGCATTATATATTATGTTATTGGGTTCGGAAAGGCTTATCAGTGGGAAAGCTTTTACTCTGCTATCAGGGGGGTAAACAAATTAAATTTGACGAAGGATTTGATTTATTTTCCCTATCAGGAAGGTGTACCGAACGTTACTCTTTAAATCACAAAACAAAGTTGGTAAACCAAAGTGAGAGACCAATAAATAAGAGAACCTAACATCCGCTTGAAAAGCTTTTGGAAAATCCATTTGATTACCGCCTAGACTGCTTCTTGGCCTCGGTGTTCATCATCATTTGCAGCCTGGTTACCACAGGCGTAATCATCTGGACACCCAAATGCTGCTCCAAGGTCAGCATAATCTCTTGGTAGAGAGCCCTCTCCAAGGACTCGCTGAATATTGCGCTTCTCCACGATATCCACCTGCGGAAACTGAAGCGGATATTTAGCAGGACAGGTGAACACCAGCTGGAGAGCAAAGCCCCCTCTTTCCCCAGCTCCCACATTTGCTCCATCTTCGTAGTTCTCAGTGGACAGCGGTACTTTCAATTGTAATCTTGGACGACGGGAGAGGACCTTGTAGGGCAGACCCAAATAGTGCATCGTTCGCACCTCATTTTCCTGCAAATCCCCAAAAAATCTGTTCCTTCTTACAACGTCACAGCCATTCGGTTGATCCTTTTTGGCAACATCTCCTCCTCGTTCCCTGTGCGTCATCCTTCGGTAATTTTGAATTTTGCCTATTTCTATTGAAATTTACTGCTCTCCCCCTGGATTTCTGTCTGTTCCAACCAAAAAATTATTTGAAATGTAATGCCAGGCCATGTCGGCAAAGGAGAACATTTCGTAAGCCGAGATTTGCATAGTCCCCATCAAGGCAATAACAGATGGATGCGATGGAACTGCGGGCTTTCATTAGATTTGGGATCTTTGAAGGGTGTGGAAGAGTCTTGGATGAGATTTGAATGCTCTGCCAAAAATATTTAAAGATAAGGTATTTAAGAAAAGTAAACATCGTATCGTGATAAAGATGAAAGTTAACTATGTTATTAAAGTAAAACTTGCAAGAAGATAAAGATGACATATAACAACCCCTATAAAGTAAAGTTCAGTAAACCCTTAACTAATATGATCTCCTAGCCAATGTACCCTTCTTATAAAGAGCAATAAAAAAGAAACCATGAATATGCTCGCACTAATACTCTAGCCGCAAATTGAGTTTGTTCGTTTGGGCTGATTTGATTAGCCTAGATTTGCTGGTCTCAGTGCTATGCAAATTAGTTGTGTGATTATCGCGAAAATTGGCAAACAGAAGGCGGCACACGACGCAAACACTCCCCCGAGGGGCGAGAAAACTCACCCCTCACCACCACCCAACCCTTAATAGTTTTCAGCTTCAGACGTGCGTGAGAATTTTCTCTTTGGTCGCCTTTGGCACTTGGGAAATCTTCCACGCATATGAGTAACACTTTTTATTAGCCCTGAGAAAATTTGCATTTTAGAGCAGTTTCAGTCACGTGAGTTGGTTTGATTAGGCCACACATGTGCCCTTGGGTTAGGGTTTTCCCTTTGATTTCACACCCCAACGCCTGCATAGTGCTGTTCCTTAATGAGAGATGATGATGAACGAGCGTTGTTCACCTTGCTGTCAATCTGGTTTCAATAAGCCAGCGCCAGTCAGACTCAATCTTCATTAGAGTTCATCTTTTGGGATGAATGTGTAAAAGCCCTACTACCATCGAACTCACTCAAACATGTTGCATTGCCCCTACAACGGAGCCGAGTGACGAGGTTTTTCAACCCACTTTTTCGCCCGCTTTTCCGAGTGTCCTTTCGGCTGGCTGGCGGTTGGTTGGCCACGTTTGCGGCTCCTAGCCGAGATGGCAACGCCCAGGAACGTGACCAAATCGCATTCGGGGCGTGCACCCCGAATAATCAGTACAACGGATGTCTGACTCCTTTTGGTTCCCTCTTTGGTCTTCCACCTCCGTGGAACAGACTTTTGCAGATTTTTCCTCAATCTTGTATTGACTTTTTGCTTTTGGCCTGTTGGGATTTTGAGGACCTCCACCCACTGTGATTGGCTGGGGGGGGAACTACTGAGAGTTCCTTGTGCTTTGTTTTTGAGAGTTCCCCTGTCGCTGTTGTTGAAAAGTTTCTGAAGCACTTGTTTACGATTTGAAGTGCATTTTCCTGGCTGACTTCTTTGGGGGTGGGTCTGTCATAATTTGGGCTGCAGTCGTCGCCCATCGATTGCGATCTCCAAGAAGTGTGAAAAGTTTTCCACTTCAACTCGGCAAATCTCAGCTGCTAACTTCCTTGGTTATGCTAATGAGGCAAACTTTGGCCACTCTGATCGTTGGAATGTCTATAATTGAAAGTTCAGTCTGTTTTTATTGGTTGGCTGAAGTTGTTAGTAGCTCTGCGGATGGAACAAGGTCACTCCAGGGAACCCCACCCATCAATGCCACACCTTGTGTTGAACAAGCAACTCATATTTGGAGCCCCAAATTTTACTGATTAGATATCATCATCTGTCTTCGAAGGTTATAAGAGGCCCACCGAGCATCGATGGCTGAGCATAGAGCTAGCTAGCACGGCATGAAGTTCTCGACCTTGCTAATTTTGGGTCTTATTTTGACCCTCGCCTTCAGTGGCGAAGCCAAGTCCAAGAGTAAGAAGCAGAAGAATAAGCAGAAGGTGCAGACCCAGAACCAGGAGATCCTGCCACTCGCCGAAACCTGCAAGGCTGCCAACTGCAAGCTGCCCGACTGCCGCTGCTCCGATGCCGTTCTACCCAGATCCAAGTTTCAGGGCAAGGAAAGCGAGATTCCTCAGGTGAAAACAACGGGAAATGACTGCCAAATATGGAAAATTGAATACCTCTTGTTTCTTTCTGACCTCTAAAACATCAAAACAATTTTCATCAATTTCTTTCCCAGTTCGTGACCATTACCTTTGATGATGCTGTTAACGCAGTAAACTTCGCTCAGTACGAGCTGCTCTTTGAGGGATTGACCAATCCGGATGGTTGTGAGGCAGCCGGAACCTTCTTTCTGTCCCACGAATATACAGATTACGTGAGGGTGAACGCACTCTATAGGGCGGGACACGAGATTGCGCTGCATTCGGTGACCCATGGAGATGGAACCGATTACTGGCGTTCGGCTGATCTGGCCACCGTTGAGCGAGAGTTCGGAGACCAGCTGAAAATGCTGGAAACTTTTGCCAAAGTTGATCCCAAGAAGATTCAAGGAATGCGCTTGCCTTTCCTTCAGATCTCTGGAAATACCACCTTTGAGGCAGCTCGTCGTTTGGGCTTGACTTATGATAGTTCCTGGCCAACGCAGCAGTTTAAGGATCCAGCCATGTGGCCTTATACTTTGGATTACAAATCCAAGCAGGATTGCCAGATTGGTCCTTGTCCAGAGGCCTCTATACCCGGATTTTGGGTCAATCCAATGGTCACATGGACCGATACTGAGGGTTACAGTTGCTCCATGATTGATGCTTGTGTATATCCGCCGGAGGACGATGTGGATGAGCTGTTCGACTGGATGCTGGAGAACTTTAATAGGCATTATGAGGGCAGTCGAGCTCCCTTTGGTATGTATCTGCATGCCGCTTGGTTTTCGCGGGGTAACAATTACTTTGGCGCTTTTAAAAAGTGAGTACCAGAGATCTTTTAATGTTATCAGTAATCATTAGGTAACCAAGATCCTTAACCAGCCTGACTCTTTAAACTCCCGGCAGATTCATTAACCACCTGAACACCTATACGGATGTATATTTCACCGGAATTTCGCGAATGTTGGAGTACGTAAAGAAGCCCGTGCTGGGGGCACCGTTCAAGGAATGTCTCGCGCTGCCGGAGGCGGAGTGCCGGGCGGTCCAGTGCCATGTCCAAAAGATGACCACCGGCGAGGAGCGCTACATGAACGTGTGCGACAAGTGCCCTGCCGTCTATCCCTGGCTGGACAATCCTCTAGGACAGCGGCTGTAAGCCCGTCAGCCTTTCGTTAATAAAGAGTGTACACAGAAAACAATTTCAAGGTTTTTTTATTAATATAAAACTTTTTATATCAAATGGGAAAACTAACTTATAAGCATATCAAAGATATGCTTGAAATTGATATGCATTTTCCACATAATTAAGTTAACAGGATTATTTCTTTCTGTGCTGCATCATGAAGCTGCCGTGTTTTTTGAAAGGGAAACAGTTGACATTTCCCATCTCTAAGCCAAATTTACATGCGCCGCACCACCACATCGCTGATAAATGAGCTCAAATTATGTTTCTGGCCATGAGACGCTTAATTAACTCATTCAGCGGAGCAGAGACCCCCCGGTGTGTACTCATATTTCATGGCCTCTCCTCTAGAATTAATGCGCCAATTTCCGGATCTCCATATGGAGAAAGTCCTTGTTTTTGGGGGTCCTGTGTCCCGTGTTTTCCTCCTGCATTGACAGCACAGCTGCTACCTGTAAATGACGTTCGACCAGTCTGGTCTGAGCCAACGGCCAACGGTTGCATTTTTGTTAATGGACCTCTAACTAATGACAGCCTCCGGGTTGCATATCAGTCAGAGGCTGAGGATTCGCCGGAGTGGGGAATCCTGTCCGGCCGCATTTTGCGGTTGCTGTCGCAAATTATGTATGCGGTTAGCCGAACCACCTTGTCCCTGGGGTAAAATTGTGCCCCTCATTTGGAGGCGGGGCTTATGGCCAGGTTGTACACGGAACCGACCACAACATATTGGTTGATAGTTGTCCAAGGCGTGGGTGGAAGTAAAAAGGGAAAAAGGGGGGCAATCGTGGGTCTGGTCTCTTATCCTAAGTCAAATGTGTTAAAATGCTTGAGGATTGGTGGATGGAGTTTCCTATTTGTCCTGGAATGGTCTTAAAGGGATCTTTGGTAACTTGGAAGGCACTTAGCTGATATACTTACTTTAATATTTAACTTTAAGAAAAGTTTGTGCTGTTAAAAATGATTTTTTGTGTACCAGGAATTGTTTTTAATTTTTAATATCGAAAAAATGATTATGTTTTCATTTTAAAAACTATCATTTTATTACAGTTTCATTCAGGTCACATCACATTTTAAAGATTTTTAATTTAAAAAGTTGTAACTTTCCATTTTTAACTCATGTCTAGGCCCGCTTATGACAGTGTTTATTAGCCAAGACATAGCCATGCGGACAGTTGGCCTCCAGAATGTTGTAAGGTTGCGCCTGCATTGTTCCATTTGAGTTCCATATTTTAACCAGATTAATTTCCGCAGTTTTATTAAGATCCGTTGAGTTAACTCCACCTGACTGGGCCTCCACAATTTCACTGTCTAAAGCGGAAGCTTCCATTAGCAAACTTATGATGACCAAGAAGCCAAAAAAGCAAAGTAAGCCAAGCCCATAAGCCATAATATACTCCAATGAACTGTTACTGATGAATAGTTAAATTGAACTGAATAAAAATCTCAATTTTCAGCTGATCATTACGATTCGATGGCCAAAATAATTGTGAAAGTAGTTAATGGCTTATAAGGCAAGTTGATACAAGGGCTCTTCAATGCGAAACGATGATGAAATTGGTTCGTTCGAAGGTTGCCAGAAAATCAGATCTGCTTTGATAGATTCCCATTTGCATTTCAGAGGGAAATTCATAAATAAGACAGCAAACAATGGGGTAGACAGAAGAAAATCCTCGCTTTTATCAAAATGAAGATGAAAATGCTTGAGAAAATCGCAACAAAAAGTGCGCAAATATTTGCTGATTACTTTTCCGAAACTTGCACTGATTAACAGCAAACGCAGAACCATTGTCCTTTTTGCCAGGACACCCAAATGTTCAGCAATCCCAACCACCCACCACCCCTTCAATTAGAGGCCTCTTCTCCCTGTTTAGCATAAATTTTGCATGGGCCCGAGAAGGTGGCTGTCATAAATAAATGACTCTACGAGCCTTTTGCCCTGCCTCAGCTGTCTGTGACCTAAACGGGCATTATTTTAATGTACTTTTATGTAGTACACAGCGAAAAAAAAAGGTTCCAGTATTTAACCCTGACTTGCCCCCCTGAAACACCCACACACAGTCAAATGACATTTTTATGTTTTTATATATTTCTGTTTGCTTTTCTTTTTTACTTCGCGAAAATTATGCCAACCACCCAGCAGGCACTTTGATAATGATGATGATGTGGGTCGGTGGATGGAAAATAAAGGGAGTATATACGAGTATATCGAGGGACCGATGTGGTTTTTGCGGTGGTTGACAATAGAATTGTCAAAATTATTTGCTCAAATTGCTGACATTTATTAGGCAGGTTACTGCTGGGGCTCAGGTTACTCTCTAAAAAGTTACTTAAGGGATGAGATATGGTTTTTACATCGATCCTCGGCAGCGCATCTGACTGGGAAGTATTTTGTAATGACAACCGCCAATCATAGATGGCGGTTAAGTTGGTTAAAGGTTTTGGTAACTCTTAAATTTTTTTTGGTTTTATGATTAAATTTGTTTTTTACAATAAGTTTTTAAAAGTATATCATTTCAGGTTCTTTTGAGATATAAATTTGCATATAAACAAAGATGTTAGGAACAACTTTCTGCATATGTAGAAAAGATAACAAGATAAGATAGTAATTAGTCTTCTTGTGGCAGACAACAAACGAAAGTGTATTTAATAAATATAATTAAGTGGAACTATACAATGTGCAGTGGCTTGCGGTTACTGGACTGTTACCGATTCACTGATTATTCAGTTAATTATGTAAGCGTTTTCCACTTGGCTCCCGTGTGTAGGCCTTATCAGCGTTCAAACATACTCGAACACTTGCCAGCAGGTTGTACATCTAACAAGCTAATGCCTCTCGGACCCCGACTTCTGTCTGTCTCTCGAAGTGGATCTGAAAACTGATTCAGAAACTGAGACCGCCGAGCCGAGCCGGAAATCGAGACTCGAGAGACTCAGTCTCGAGTGCGATATTGGCGAGTGTGAACGTGTTTACTTGGTCTTCGATTGCAAAAAACACTAAAAACTGACTTAACGATGGCAATTACGCGGTTGATTCCCTGGTCAAAGCTGATGTTGTTATTGTTTGTCTGCCTGTCTCTGGCATTGAAACTAAATCAGGCAGCTCGAGTGCCCAGCGATCAGTTTGTGTTTCCCTCGGAGTCCAAGCCAAATGCAACGGCCATTCGAGTGGACGCCAGACTCCGGGAAATCGAACGTGAAATGGAGGAGGTGACTAAGGCAACAAATATTAGTTTTGTGATATCAAAGGAAAATAAAAAGGGCGCACCCAGAACTACAGGTAGTGAAAATGATGGCAAGATACCAGGAAGTACACCTGTTGAAACCAGAAACGTGACCGGATCTCCCAGTAATTCCACTAGAGAGGAGAGCAGTGTTAAAGGTTCATCAAACACTGCGAAAAGTCGTACCGCTAGCGAAACGAAGATGATAACATTTGGCAAGGAATCAGAATCAGATAAACCCGCTCCCTGGGATCGAACTGAAGCCACCATTGTCTCGGAACCTAGTGGTGTGATTATTGGTCCAAGGATTGTCCTCGAAACATTGAAAATGTGTCCAGATGGAACTACTCTTACCGTCAATGATCATTGCCGCAAGATTGCCTAGCGGGGTGTGTAAATTCTCAATAAACATTTTAAAAATACTAATCATTAATTTATAAACATTTTCCAAAAGTATCATTTCATTTTATTGGCAAGTATTTAAGTTAAAAGTGTAGAAACAAGTGGCCGAAATAATCCAAAAAGTTGTAAAATAATAAAAAATCTGGTTATTTGATGACTCCGATTTCTTTCAGTGCAGACTAGCACAAATATATCTAAAAAGCTTTTCGCTCCTCTTCTGCTTTGTTTACGTTTTGTTTTTATAGGAGAGCAGCTCAGGTGTCTCTCACTCGTGACTCCCATCAGGCCGCTCCGATCTTTTATCTGATTTCGCTGGGAATGAGAATGGGAATGGGAATGAGAGTGTAAATGTAAAGATCATCACCAGCCAGTCGTCTCCGCGATCAGTCTTCCAAGTTTCTTTGCAGTAAACAAGCGCGCCTCTTCCCCGAAAATGTTGAAGCTTATTAACCCATTGGTGCTGTGCTTCCTGCCGCTGATTTTCCTTCTCATCGAGTCAAGAGCCGTCGAAGATCATCGAATCGTTTTTCCCAAGGACAATGATGAAGATACAAACGCCTCGAGATTCATATATCCATGGACAAACTCAACAACGAAGACGCCAGAGGAACCACAATCGACGACAACAAAATCAGCTTTGGAAGTCAGCAACTCGACTACCATTAGTGGGTCCGAGGAGCTGGTCAATGAGACCACCACAGAGATTCCCACTATAGACAATCGGATATTGCTAGAAACGCGACCCATTTGCAAGCCTGGCTATGAGCTGCATGGAAAACGCTGTCGCAAGCCGGCTTAATCTTAAGTCTCCAAGATGGATGTTAGTCAATAAAATATTTGAGTAGATCTAGTGATTGATGGTTATCGTTTATGTTTTTCGTCGGTAATTACTCAAAATCATTTGGGGCTTATAAAAGTGAATCCCACTATAGTTTTGAAGAAACTTTAGATTTGAATTTAAAACGTACACAGAAAATATTTAAACTTACATTTATGTACATTCGAATTCTACTAAATGGGCTGATTCTTTAACTAGCACGTTTGAGAGACTAATTACTTATATTATTGAAGAAAATTAAGTAAGTTAAATGCGCTGCTAACTTTGTTTTTTATGGGAATGGAAATGAGGATGTGAATGGAAATATAATCCCTAGCCGGACCTCTCTACGATCAGTCTTTGTATCGGTTTCTTTGAAGCAAACAAACGCGCATCTTTCTCAAAAACAATGAAGCGTTTTAACCCATTGTGCCTTTTGGCGCTACTTTTCCTTCTCATCCAGGCAGCAAGCATTAGTGGTGAAAGGAAGATCTGCCCGAAAGGCTTTAAGGTGTTCATAGGCCGCTGTCGTAGGCCGGCCTAATCTTGAGTCTTCAAGATCGATATTGATCAATAAAATGATACTTGAGTAAAAATAGAAACTGATTATCGCTTAATCTTACTTTTTTGAGGTGACAAGGCAAGGCAGTTTGTGGGTATGAGAAGCAAAATCCCACTACAGTTTTGAAAGAACTTTATATTTGAATTTAAAACGGGCACAGAAAATATTTAAACTTACATTTATGTACATTCGAATTCTACTAAATAGGCGGATTCTTTAAGTAGCACGCTTGGGTCACTAGTTAACTATATTATTCAAGAAAATTAGGTAAGTTTAATGCGCTGCGAACTTTTATTTTTTGGATTTTATGGGAATGGAAATGGAAATGGAAATGAGGATGTGAATGCAAATATAATGCCCAGTCGGACCTCTCCACGATCAGTCTTCCAAGTTCCTTCGAATCAAGCAAACACGCATATTTCCCCAAAAACGATGAAACGTTTTAACCCATTAGTGCTGTGCCTTTTGCCGCTGCTTTTCCTTCTCATCCAGGCTGCAAGCATAAGTGAACCCGGGGGCGACACGAAGTCCCTCGGTAAGGACAAGAAGACATTGTCAGGTGGAACCACGATCTGCAAGCAAGGCTTTCAGGTGTTTGTAGGCCCCTGTCGTAAGCCGGACTAATCTTGAGTCTTCAAGATATTGATTAATAAAATGATATTTAAATATAAATAGAAATTGATTATCGATTAATGTTACTTTTTTGGGGTGACAAGACAAGGCAGTTTGTAGGTATCCCAAAGTAAAATCCCACTACAGTTTTAAAGGAACTTTAGATTTGAATTTAAAACGGGCACAGAAAATATTTAAACTTACATTTATGTACATTCGAATTCTACTAAATGGGCGGATTCTTTAAGTAGCACGTTTGAGGTTACTTATATTATTCAAGAAAATTAAGTAAGTTAAATGCGCTGCGAACTTTGCTTTGGTTTTTATGGGAATGACAATGAGGATGCGAATGGAAATATAATCCCCAGCCGTACATCTCCACGATTAGTCTTCGAAGTTCCTTCGAATCATTAAAACGCGCAACTTTCCTAAAAACGATGAAACTTTTTAACCAATTAGTGCTGTGCCTTTTGCCGCTGCTTTTCCTCCTCATCCAGGCAGCAAGCATCAGTGGACCCGGGGGCGACACTAAGTCCCTCGGTATAGACAATAAAGTGTTGCTTAGTGTAAGCATGATCTGCCCAGATGGCTTGGAGGAGTTCGAAGCCCGCTGTCGCAAGCCGGTCTAATCTTAAGACTGCAAGATCGATGCTGGTCAATAAAATCATTTTTGAGCATAACAAAAAATTGATTAACGACTAATGTTACTTTTTAGGGGTGATTACTGAAAACCACTTGGCGTAGGACAAGACAGTTTGTGGGCAACCCAAGGAGAATCCCACTACAGTTTTGAGGGAATTTCAGATTAGAGTTGAAGACGTGCACAGGAAATATTTAAATACACATTTTTGTACATTCGAATTCTACTAATTAGGCTGATTAACCCATTGGTATTGTGCTTTTTCCGTTGATTTTTCTACTCAGCGTCTGTGGATTCGAATCGCTGGTCGATGACACTCTCGGTATAGAAAAAAGATGTTGCTACTAAAATGTGCCCAGAAGACACTAAGATTCAAGATCAATATTAATCAATAAAATGACATTTGAGTATAACTAATGATTAATGATCAATGTTTTTTTTTTTTGGGTGATCACACAAAACCATTTGGTGGGGGCTCATAGAAAAATCCCAGCAGATAAGTAATTTAACAATAGTGGGAGAAACTCTCTCTATGGGAAACTTGAAGCCATGGAAAACATTGTAATTACTACTCGGAGTCCAGCAAAGTGACTCAGTATAGAACTCAAAAACAACTTCCCGGTGCATTCAGCTGAGCCTTCTCTTCGATTCTGTAATTTAACGCCTTATCTGATGTCATGAACCTGTCTTATCAGCAGCTCAAAACATACACATACTCGTTCCCCGGCTAGATCGTCTTTTGAGCGAGGTTTATGATCAGTCTCTTTCGTATATTCAAAGAAGCTGGCTGGATCGATTCTGTTTCTAAAATGTTTTCCCAACTCTTATCGCTGAGGTTGGCTTTGATGTTGATCTTTTTGATCACTGTACAGTGGACAGGAGCTCGTCCCCAGAATCCTTACTATGTAGAAAACATCGGACAGGGCAACTTGTAAGTATTCGAACTCGTTTAGAGAAGTAGATATCAGTAATACGTATTGGTGACTAGTTTCTTCTAATATTCAAGAAAATCAAGCAAAAGCGCATACGTATTAATGACTAATTACTCATACTTATATTATATTATTCTTTTCCTATACTCACCGAAATACTGAAGTGACTCAATGCTAAAGAGGACCCGTAATCGTAAAATTACAGTTTCAGGTTTTTTTTTAGTCAACAAGCGTTCCGTTCAGATAATAATAATTTCCATAATCTCTACGGCAGAATTATAAAATTATATATTGTCCATTTTCCAGCCATCATCAACGCCATCATGGTCATGGTCATCACGGGCATGGGTCAGGTTATGATACAGGATTTTCTGGCCCACCTCCGCCCGGATATGGTAGGATCCCACCTCCGGGTTCCTATTATCCAGATCGTCAACCCGGGGGTGGGCCTCCACCTTATTACCCACCTGGTGGTCCATTTGTAGGACAACGACCTGGTGGTCATTTTGGTGGACATGACTTCCACCAACCTGGTAACTGGAGACGACCAGGTTTCGGTGGCCCAGGAGGAGATTTCAACAGGGTTCCACAGCCTGGAAAGCCACCAAGTTCCCATCAACCAGGTAGCAGTGAGGAAACTTACTCTGGTGGATTCCAGCAACCAGGTGGCGTTAATACCGTACAACCAAGACCTGGTCAGAACACAGGAGGATTCCAACAGCCAGGCCAAGGCTCTGGAGGATTTCAACAGCCAGGACGAAACACAGGTGGATTCCAACAACCAGGCCAAGGATCAGGAGGATTCCAGCAACACGGCCAAGATTCTGGAGAATCCCAACAGCCAGGCCAAGGCTCTGGAGGATTCCAACAGCCAGGCCAAGGCTCTGGAGGATTCCGTCAGCCAGGTCAAAGTCAGGGACAGAAACCAGGAACTTCTAGTAATACCCTCCAACCCCGTCCCGGCAGCCCAGATGAGGACTTCTCCCAGTTCAACTTCCAGACTCCAAACACATTGCAGCCCCGACCTGGTCAGGATCTCCAAGGGGGAGGCACAAGTGCAGGAAAAACCATCCAACCACTTCCCGGGCAGCCCCAGTCTACCGTAATCCAACCCATTCCTGGCCGTCACCAAGATTCATCTCCCGACAATGTCCACGACAATATCAAAGATCTCTTCAACACACAGGATTTCCTTTCGCCCGAGCTGAGTCAAGCTCCTGGAGCCAACAGAGATCCCAAGTCTGATGCTGAGGATGTGAATCCAGAATCGGTGAATCAGCGCAGTCTATTCGACGTGCAGCCAAAGTGTGCAGATGGACTCAAGTTCATGGCAGGGCATTGCAGGAAGGAGGCCTAGGAAATGTCTCTTTTTTATATATTATTAAATAAACGATTTTATTATGCCAATAAATATGTCATAATGAGTAATTTAAAAGGCAGTCACTTTTTGGGGCAACGTTGCGATCTTCTTTCCACTGATAAGGCTGTTTATGCGGAAAACAAGTGACTTAAGAATTAACAATTTATTATTGAGCAATACGAAATACGAAATTCATGCGGAAATTACGTATTCCCTAAAGGGAAACTCTTTATTCTTGTTAAACATATCTATTTACAAGCAATTACGTTTCCTAGTACGAAAGACGACGCATTATAAAATATATAATAATCTTATCTCTATGAAGAAACGTAATTACTTTGTATAATCAAATCAATAAAGCGCGTTTTAGCTGTCAAATTCATCAATTTCATAACCAGGGGCAGTTCCCACATAATAAATCAACTTTTCTAGGTCCTCAGAAAACATTAGTTTTGGTTCGCAAGTCGAGGAAAGTGAATCGCTTAGTGGAATGGGACTTAACATGAGACTTTTCGTACATCTTCTCACCTGGACTACAATACTTCTACTGCTAACTGTCGAAAGGAAATGTCCGCCTGGCTTTCAAATTTTTGTAGGACGATGCCGAAGACCAGCCTGAAATATTCTGAACTTACATCCTAATACATAAGTGCTAGTAGTACCAATCAAACATCAACTAAAGCCCATAAAATTGTAAATAAATTTAAGCATATTTCCCCTATTAAAGCTGATTAACACAAAATTTATGTTATTTATATAATTTATTTACTTGTATATTTTGTTTGTGTTTGAGTAAAAATACATAAAAAATACTTTTGGCATGTTTAAGTCCGGCATTTGTTGGACAATTAACGCCGCTCTTTAGATTTGAGTCTTTCACTGACATAGTAGCCCATCTTCTAAAACTCCAAAACATAGATAATCCTTCTATACTATTATACGACAAATATTATGTGGACCAGTACGAATATACCCAGGTGGGCAGCCTTGTGCATTAATGTGGAAGATACCTTCCACTAGGATATCCAAAGGATTTATATTGGGTATATCGGGCTGGGATATGGAAACGCCATTGGGTTGGTTTTGCGGTGTGGTCGAGGGCCTGGCCCTGGTCCACTGCCAGCTCAGCATCAGTAGAACGGCGATCAGTAAAAATTTCGGTAGCAGCTCCATTAATTTCTTTAGATGTCCTTACTTCTAACCTCGGGCTTGGAAACTGCGTTACTGATTCGAGCATTCTATATTCGGCATAGAGTTGCGAATTTCTCTGTCCAAAGCAAGCTAAGCTTTTATCTGGAGGGCTTTCAATGACGCTGAGAGATCTACTCTCTGAGCTATTCTCTTTGATCGTGTTACAATATTTGGATAGGGCCTTAACATATGATTTTTTGGACGATGCCGAGGGCCAGCATGAAATATCCTGAACTGACTAGTAAGAGAATTCACCACCAAACACTAACAAAAACCTATAAAGTTGTAACCTTAAAACACGAATTAAATTTATGTTATAAATTTAACCATATTTTCCCTTTTAATACCGATTAACGTACGATTTATGTTACTGCAAGTATTTATATAATTGATTTGTTTATGTTTATAAATACATAAAAATCACTTTTGGCACGTTCACGTCTGGCATTTGTTAGTCAATTAACGCCGCTCTTTAGGCTTGAGTTTTTCACTGATACATTATCCATCTTCTCAAACTGCAAATGTAGGTAATCCTCCTTCTAAGCTCTTTTACGACAAACATTATGCGGACCAGTACGAATATACCCAGCTGGGCAGTCTTGTGGATTAATGTTGAAGATGCTCTGCACTATAATATCTGAGGGATTTATATTGGTTATACCGGGCTGGGATATGGAAACTACGTTGGCTTGGTTTTTCGGTGGGGTGGAGGGCATGGCCCTAGTCCACTGCCAGCTCAGCATCACCAGAACGGCGATCAATAGAAATCTAGGTAGCAGCTCCATGGGTTTTTCCAGATGTCTTGACTTCTAATCTCGGGCTTGGGAACTGCGTTACTGATTCAAGCTTGGCATATAGTTGCGGATTTCTCTGTCCGAAGCTAGCGAAGCTTCTAACTGGAGGGCTTTTTATGAGACTGAGAGAGCCAAAGCTACTCTCTTCGATCGTGTTTACAATATATGCCAATTGACCAGGTTTATTAACTTGACCAATTAATATTGCTTGAAAATCAGCGTTGTTTCATTATGGTTTCATTTTATTTCGTATTAACTTAATATTTTCGTGTTTAAGCATCAACCTTTATGATTCCTGTTTTATAATATTTACAATAACAACGTTTTTTAATTTTCATTCACAATTTGTTTATTATCAACAATCATTCTCAGACTAAAGCTTTCTACAAACTAAAAGCTTTAAATCGACTTTTCATAACAAATTCACAAACTTCTCTTGCTATTTAAATATTATTTTATCTTCTCATATTATTAACAATAATCACTTAAAATTCACTCAGTCTATGTTGGCTAGTTAACAAAATTATGATTTATGCCGCGTAGTTATGTCACTTTTCCGCAAATGCCGCTCGTAGCTCTTCTTGTTTGGCCTTTACCGCCGCCTCTTTGGCTTCTGTACCCTGATTAACCGCCTTCCAGCCCAACCAACCGACGGTGTGCAGCACCAGGACAGCGATTCCGATTCGGACAGCTGGACCGTACTTGAAGGAAGATCCCCGGACACCGTTTTTGGAACTATCCATACCAAAAACTACCTTTAACTTAAGAAGTGCCAAAAACAACTGATAGCACGTGAATAAATACGAGAGAGAAAAAGCTTATTAAAGCTTTTATATGTATTTCCAGGGCTACGGAATATACGATCGATGGAATCAGTTCCGATTTAATATTTTGTGAATTTAAAATTAACTTAAACTGACTTCTACCATACAAGTTTTCCGCCCAAAAACACTTTCCAAAAAAAGTGAGGATAACCTTTCTTAGAAAGTAAATTCTCTTTAAAAAATAAACAAATTAACTTAATTTAGAATATTTTTTCCCATATTTCCTTCAATTTGTATTATAAATATTTTGTCAGAACAGAAATTCAAGGATTTTCTCCTCTCACCTAAAGCTGCCATAACTTATAAGCCAAATTAAAATACCTTCTGGCAGGGAATACAAACCCACACATAGCACAAAGGCAAATGGCAGAAAATAGAGGAAAACTTCGGCATCAAATGGCACACAAAACTCTCGTATTACATAGCCAACGAGTCCTGCCGCAGGACGATCTCCGAGGGCCCAAGGAAGGCTGAATGGTGCATATATATAGAGGTAGGTACGGGTGGGTGTGGGAATTTCACCTGGCCAGGTGAAAGATTGAAGCTGCAGGCGCCAGGAATTAGCATGTTATGTTTAACGCATTTTTGCACCTTCGGCATGTGTGTGAGAGAGTGTGTGTGTGTACCAACTCCTTTTCCGACTTTTCCAAAGCGGCGTCTGGGGATGCTAAGGGGTGGCGCCCCCTAGCGACACATGTGCAAACAAGACGTTGCCTTAACCCATTGTGGCTTATCCAGCAACAACAAGTGAAAACCGAGAACAAGAGCTCAGCATTTTCCGCACATTTAATCGCATTTTGTTTTGGGGAAATTGTTGAAAAGCTCACATGAATTTTAAACTGCGGTTGGAGTTGGGGTTTCCTCGGTCTGAGGTTCCTGAGCGAGGGCATTAGAGAGGGGGGGATTTTAGGGGACTTCTTTGAGCCGCTTACGTGTGAGTGCCATTGAATAATGCAGCCTCTGCAGCACAAAAATTAAATTGAATTTAAGCTGCGACATTTAAAAATTTCATGAGCCCACACACACACATCTACACTCGAATACTAGATGTATTTTCCACCCACCCATTTGCAATGCCACCCACCTAGCCATCCTCTCGAAATTTCTCAGCAAGAAGAACCTCTTGCCGGGCTCATTAAATAGATGCCCGGTACGTGCTTCCATTTTGGGGCACATTTCATTAAGTGCACGTAAACGGCAGGCTGTCAACTAGCTAGGGGCGTGGCTCACCGCCTACAGTTCCCTCTCCCCGTCAAAAACCCCACTGCACACATACACACATACACATTGAGTGACACACATGGGTAATTCCGAACGTAAACACTTTGGGAAAGCATGTCGCAAAGACATCAATTACGGCATCAGCCGCATTGCCATCAGCATCATCATCATCATCATCGATTGGCCCGGGGACGACGATGATGATGTCAATTCGGGCCCCTAGGTGGCGCTGCCTCTACTGCTGTGCTTGCTTTTCTTTTTCCCTCGGCTCCATTTTCCATTTCCCTTCCACATCCCTTTCTCCTCCTTTTCAACCGCATTTCAAATGTGTTTTTATGTAAGCACTCAAAAAACACGACAATTCTAAGCAAACCGAAAGGGGATACAGTGCGTAACATAATTATGTAATGAAAGATATTACAAGTATGTGCTTAAAATATATCTAAGTAATACCATCGAAATTTTAGTTAACAAAGCAAAATAGGTGTATTTTCAATAATACCTTTACAAATATCTCATCATGACACGCACTGTCCCTAAACTGGCACTCGTATTTGCTTTGCATTGCTTAAATAAATTTTCACTACGTGTTGTGTCGTGTTTGGCAACAGAAATGGCAAAAAACGAGGCCCCAGAGCCGAACCAAATGGGACAGTTGACAAAAACTAGGCAACACTTAATTGTTGTTGCGTGCAGCAGACAAGCTCCTCAAATATTTATGCACTATAGCTTTACTTAAGAGTACATGTATATGTTGGCCATCTCGAAGAACTGAAAGAAGTTCGCCAACCAAAACACGAACATGCAAAAGTTCGCCAAGGACATTCCACTTGAAGGCACTTCCAAGTAGTCATCAGCCACTAATTGAGATCGTTGCAACTCAGAATTAAGCCAAAAATCACGCCCTCGCTCAAGGACCATTCATATGCAGCGTTAAGTAATTAGAGGCTCTACTGGCCCCCACCCACAATTAGTGAAAATTTTATTACAAATTTTCAGTGTTTTTTTTTTTGTTTTTTGGACCACTCACTGCCAAGTCTTGAGCACGAAGCGCACTTGAAGTAACAAAAAAGCGGAAATCTGCTTCCCACTAAAATGTTTTATAATTCTCGGGGGGTGTTGGGCTGGTGCTGCCGCTGTTGCCACCATTCTGTGTCACCTTTAACGGACTGTCAACGTGCAACAAAAACACTCGAAACTGGCAACAAGCGGAGCGGCAAAAGGGTCGCCCCTCAAGTACTGTTTTAATTGCTTCGCAAAACAACAGCAGCAGCAGCAACAGTGTTTAGAGCGGGCGGAAACAACAATATTACTGCCTGGGGACCAGGAAGGTTTACTGCTCTGCATTTTCAATTATGGCAGTATCAAAATGTTTTATTTAATTTCCATAAAGTACCTTAATTACTTGCAGAACACGAAAGTCTGGAAATTATAAAATATTTATAGAAGATATTAAATGAGAAATCTAGCATTATTCTAAGTTATTTCTCATTTTTTAAATACAAATAATAATAAGTTCACATATAGCGTAGCGTAATGTTAAATGAAAAATACTTAACTCCCATTACAACCTTAATTCTATTATTGTTCTAATTGATTTGTATAAAATGGTGCACCACTCAGAATTCGCTCTATCCGTTACTACCGAGCGATCATCGAAGCCCTGCGTCCCGAACAATGCAATGCACTACAAAGGACACTGGACAAATCCTCACGCTTCCGAATAGAACGATTCAACTCATCAACGCGGGTGCATTCAGCTTTCAGCTAGTGTGAAAGTATGTGAAGACTGACTACAGAAATGATCCTGTGAAGTATAGTCTTAACTGTTCGCTGCCCAACCTGTGGATCTTGGTGCGCCACGGGCCAGAACTAGTTGGGAATTATAAGCGTGTGCGCGAGGAAAATATCATTAGCACGAGGCGCGATACTCAAGCGACGTAAGCATGCGGTGCCGATAGTGTTTGTCGGAAAGAGAGTATACGTTTTGAATATGTTCTTTCTTGGGATTCTTGCTTGGCAACTGTTGTCTGTTCGCAAAGATCAGAAAAATAGAAACACATTAAAAATAAAAACAAAAAATAACTTGGCAGCGGTGGGATTCGAACCCACGCCTCCGAGGAGACTGGTGCCTTAAACCAGCGCCTTAGACCGCTCGGCCACGCTACCATGTTGCTTGGGGTGTCAAATGCTCATAAAGAACCAGGCCAAACAGGCAAGCACGAGTATCTGACAGTATCTGTTACACGAGTATCTGAATCTCTGCTGCGTGTGGAACTATTTTTATGGACGCAACACCTTGTCTTTATTTTTCCACCCACACTGCGACGCATATAAATGCTCTCATTTGGAAAAAGGGAAAATGTCAATCAAACGAAATCAATTTCTGGCGCAAGCCTTCTCCTTGGTTGCTTTGCTGCATTAAAATATTTATTATATGTATTTTGCTAAACTGTCAGCGTTTTTGCCTGGCAGCGTCAGCTTAGAAATGCGTTTAAAATTCAAATGAAAATGCGAATTTATGCGTGACAGGCGGTGGTCGTGGTCTCCTCGCTCACACATGCAACCGCAGCAACAATTTCTGGCTGCTGACTGCCTGCCTGGCTGGCGTCCCATTGTTGCAAGCCATAAACTGAAGCCGGCATCGCAGTTGGGCAGAAGACTCCGCAATGAAATTAGAAAATTGCAATAAAAATCTTTGCACGGGAGGACAAGCAAAACAAAACAAAGTCTGCGGTTTCCATAAGGGTGCTATCCGAGGCCAAAATAAGGGGTTGTGAGGCAACATTTGTGGTTTCATTAAAATGCCACAGAAAAAAGGAGCACAAAGTCAGAAGCCGCGTCAGCAGTGAGAATATTTTGCCGCACACACGTGGATTTATACAAATTTAAAGGCGAGCGGCATGGAAATAATTATAAAATTGTTCAATTTCCACGCCAGACAGTGCTAGGGAAAAACCAAAAAATCACGTACAATCCAAACGGACAGAGGAGAGTCACTTGAACCTGGCCAGGTAAAAACGCTAATGGAGTTAATTGTGGGTATTATCAAGAATGTTGGCCAGCACGCTGCTATGTCGGAATTAAATGGTAGCGTGGCCGAGCGGTCTAAGGCGCTGGTTTAAGGCATCCAGTCTCCCTCGGAGGCGTGGGTTCGAATCCCACCGCTGCGCCAAGTTATTTTTTGTTTTTATTTTTAATGTGTTTCTATTTTTCTGATCTTTGCGAACAGACAACAGTTGCCAAGCAAGAATCCCAAGAAAGAACATATTCAAAACGTATACTCTCTTTCCGACAAACACTATCGGCACCGCATGCTTACGTCGCTTGAGTATCGCGCCTCGTGCTAATGATATTTTCCTCGCGCACACGCTTATAATTCCCAACTAGTTCTGGCCCGTGGCGCACCAAGATCCACAGGTTGGGCAGCGAACAGTTAAGACTATACTTCACAGGATCATTTCTGTAGTCAGTCTTCACATACTTTCACACTAGCTGAAAGCTGAATGCACCCGCGTTGATGAGTTGAATCGTTCTATTCGGAAGCGTGAGGATTTGTCCAGTGTCCTTTGTAGTGCATTGCATTGTTCGGGACGCAGGGCTTCGATGATCGCTCGGTAGTAACGGATAGAGCGAATTCTGAGTGGTGCACCATTTTATACAAATCAATTAGAACAATAATAATATAATTAGAAATGTTTCATTTTATGTTTTTAAACTTCATAAGTTTTACTTGAATTGGAATTAGTTTTCCATTAGTTTTTGTAGTGCTTTAGTAGCAGCATCTGAATGCTCACTCGTCGTCAATTCCTTTGATAATTATTAGAACCCATTTATCTGTGAAAATTGTTACCAATTTTATATGACAAATTAACAAGGGGATGGAGGCATTCTTGGTGCCCCTTAGAATGGAGTTTTGAAATTGCGTTATTCTGTTTGTGCATTCTGGGAAGTGCATTAAAAGTTTGGCCGCCAGGAGAAATGCCTTCTGCGTTAGGGGAGAGCAACTCTTCGCTAACAACGTATTATTGGCAATATTTTATAAGCTTGCCAAGACCACCCTGTGTTTCCCTTAGAGTACCTATAGCCCCGCTGGTCCTTTGAAAAATTGGCATGTCGTTGTAACTTTGGACCGACTATGAGGAGAAAAAATAAAATCTCTTGGCACATAAGTTTTGTGCACGTTAAGTACTTTTTCATAACCATCGTAGTCGTTGCTGTTGTCTGGCTTTCGCCAGGACAGGGGTGGTGGGGAAAGTGTTTTCCTATGCCTCGGGGGCATAATATGCATATGCAACGACAGAGGGGCAACAAATAATAGCGAATGGCAATAAAAAGTACGATACACATTGAGGGAAAAGCAGCAAAAAGGAAACTTTAAATAGTTCCAGCTACTTTTCCGAGAGTTTTGTAAATGTGGCGGATGCGAAGGGAAAACTGCGCCAATGTTAAATTACTTTTGGGGCAATTTCAGTTTTTTTTTATTTTTTTTTTTTTGCAGGGCTTTGGTTATTTTGTATTCCGTTTTGTGTAAAAGTTTGTGGCACTAAATTAAGCGATTACAAATGGCTATTCTTGATAATAGAAATTATAAATTGATATCAAGCAAACTTGCCAGCAAGTTTTGGGGGACTGGAAGTAGTAAAGATTTAGTAAGTAAAAAACGAGCCAGAAAAAAAGAATCTGAGAAAGAATTTGTTACCCGACTGGGAATTGAACTCGGGTCCTCATGTTTTGCAGTTCGGTACTTCTTAGCAATTAGTAGTGACAGCAAAAGTATGCAACGATATTTGTGCTGAGAACTTTACGATTCTATTGCTTAAAATAAGTTTATTTCGGATAAAGTTGCATAAACATTAATGCCATTTGACAAGGCAAGTACCGTTTTCTTTGGCTTTTGGTGAACTTTGCTCCGGCACTCGTCAGTCGATTTGCTTGCTCTGCACGTAGCGTCATTTTTGACATTTAATTATGGCCGCTGCCAACAGAGGAGTAAGATGTAAACTCGATTTCATGGCCCCGAACTTACAAAAGGTGCTTCCATATTTCGTTTCTTGGGGTTCTGGCAATGCGTGATACGTGTGCATCTTGTACCTGTCTATTGTAGTTCCATATGCAAGCCACATGACCCGGCCATATCCTGTACACTGGACTAAAATGTGAGATGGATTTGCAATAATGTTTAAAAATAAACTTTACTTGAGATGGCTTTATTTTGCTAAGTTATTAGTATAATTTTATTAAAATGTAACTGTGAAACATGCTAATAAAAAAACTTAATATCGAAACTATAGTAGTCCTATTTGATTTTTATGACTTATATAATACTAACTTAGATATTTTTCAGTGCAGATTTCTTTCTTTTTCTTTCTTTTAGGATGGACGTGCGTTGTCAAAACTGCCGCTTCATTTTTTTCCCATAAAACTGGGTATTTTCTTCCTCTATTTTTTCGGTAGTTCCATCCCCATTCCCAATTTTTTCTTACCCAGTTCCGCAGCTGGACAACTTTGTGTGTGTCCTGGCGATTTATGAAAAAAAAGCAACAGCAGGAGCAGTGGCAGCAGGACGAGTGGAGCGCCGCACGTGATATGAAATGGCAAAGGATTTGCTGGTGCCTGGTCTTTTGGTGAACAGGGGAGTGCACTGGACAATGGCGTCTAAATTAATTATCAAGGATAACAGCGTGAAAGGTTCAGCGACGCTGCATTGTCTCCTGGCTCCTAATTCAATTACGACAGCTGCCGGCGAGGTGGGGGCAAATTAAAAAAGGCTTAGGCCAGAGTTAATACGGACTTAAGCGGGGTAATTAAAAGCCAAAGCTGCAATTGCATTCGGGAAATGTCTTAACTCACAGCGGCTTCCATCCCCCGTTTTGAATCCTGCGGATTGAGTTTCCCTTTAACCCCGTCTTCAATCTCTTCCTCCATCTCCTCTTTGGCTGCCGTAAAATCACGAACTGCAAATCTCTCGAGAATAATTTGAAACATAGAACAGCCCGAGGAGCTGGAGAGAAAAGCCAGAAAAGACGATGCCGCCGAATCCCTTCCACATTAAAATATGATGAGCTCGTGAAGGCAACGGCACAAATGAAAACGAAGTTAATAAAAAAAAGGTTGTAAAGGGAGAGGTGGTGGTGGGGTGCCGGAACCAGGTGAATCTCAGGTGTCTGTGCGGGGTGTCCAAAAAATAATCAACATAAAAAAGAAAATTATTTGCAATATTATCAAGAGCTACAAAAGTTACAAGCCAGACAACAGTGGCAAGCGGCGAACTTAAGAAATGAAAATGTTGGGCATGAGAATAAAAGCCAGAAATGAAAATATGGCAAGGGGGTTAGGGAAAATCAAGGCGGAATTGGTAAGGAAAAAGAACAGCAGTTGAACAATGGAAATTTTATATATTCGGAAAATAGTTTTTATGAAATTTAAAAAGTGAAATGTAACCAAAAAGAGCTTTTCTGAAAAATGTTCCTCATTGAATCTTCCATTTATTTCCCTAATTTAATATAAAAATATCCCAAGAATTTCCCCTAGTTTTCCCACTGTACCATCTTGATAGCTTTTCGCAGAACATTTGCCTCCACTTAAACTTCCCAACTGCAGTTCCCTTTTGAGTTTTGTAATTGGTGTTAGGTCCAGTAATAAACCCCCTTGGCCGTGTGTAATAATAACAACAAACCAAAAATAAACCAGCAAATCTGAGATGCAAATTAAATTTGGTTTTAATCAAGCTGAGAAACGAGAGACTCATGTATTTTCCATGCGGGGGCCGACAACCAAGGCCGAGTTCAACAAGCAAATCAATTAAAGGGCTGCGCCTCGAGCAGCAAACAAAAGCCAAAAGTCAAGATTTTCGATTCGACCTCAAACGAAGTCATCATCACTGGGCCACTTGTCAAAAGACAATGGGACAGGCGATGCATTAGGCAAACAAAAGTAAACACGAAACGTGATCTAAAGTTTTTCCATTCAATTAATGGCCTGTGCATTCGAAAGTGTCCAACCGGTGGCTAACCGGTTCGATTTGGCCGGATTCATCGATCAAGTCAGAGCCAGAGTGAGCGATTGAAGATCATCCACAGATCAAGTTCAAAGTCATTTGGGTCTCATGTCGCTTCCGTTGCCATCGGCATGAGTTGGCCAAAGAGTTTTGGGCATATAAAAGCCATGGGAGATCATCGCATCCACAGCACACATCTTTCGTAGAGCGTAGTCTAAACACTTGAAATCATGGTGAGTTTGATTGGTAAACAAGGAGCAAATATTATTATAAAACTATGTTTGTGGGTCAGCTTCATGCTAGTTTTCTATATCAGAAAATATAGTCTATATGTATTACAGATTTCTGTACAATATCAGTATAAAAAATCTTCTAAATTAACTTACCTTTCCCTTTCAGAAATTCCTGATCATTGCCGTTGCCTTCTTGGCCTGCGCCTTCGCTGATGTTTCGGAGCTTCCTGGCTACGATTATCAACAGCCTGCTCCTGCTGCTCCCGTAGAGACCTACATTCCACCTGCACCCCCAGCACCTGCACCAGCTCCCATCGAGACCTACATTCCCCCGGCACCCCCAGCACCTGAGTACATCCCACCTGCACCTGTCCAAGCTGAGGAGCCCATCATCGAGGAGATCGAGCAGCCTGCTCAGGATGGTTACCGTTACAAGACTGTCCGCCGTCGTGTCTTCCGTCACCGCAACTAAATTGAAAGTTAATTGTTATTGTTAATTTGTTGACTCGAGTGTAATTGCTGAAATGCCATCCTCTGAAATTCACTTTGAGAGTAAAGAAATGAAGAGAAGTTGTAACTGAAAATGTTTTTTGTCTTGTATTTACTTTGGTGGAAATCAAAGTTTAGAGAACAGGAAAATACATAAACTAAACTGAAACATTAATCGATTTAGTCGCTGCTCAGAAATAGATCCAGAAATTTTTAAATTCAAAACCCTTATCAACAGGTTCCCATCGGCCAAGTTCAATTTGCAATGTCAAAGTCGCCATTTGTATGGCTTTTCCTCAGCGATAACCATTCTTCCCCTTGTCTTTGCCTCAACCAATCCTCTTCAACTCTGAAGCAAAAACCAACGAAGGCCTAAACAAACCGCTCAAGGCCAAACACATGTTCTGGCCAACACAAACGCACACACACATCCTCACTGGCATTCCAATGGATTCTCTCCCAACCTTTCGAAAGTCTGGCAGTGAAAAGGTCAAAACGACGACTAGACCAATTTGACTTAACCAAAAATTGCTGAAACATTCAATGAGCAGGGACGAAAAGTGCTTCTCCCTCCCCCTCAATCCGGCACAATCGATTGGCTTCAGCCAAAGCAAACAAATCCTCGATTACAAAATCAAACAGAGCTCCCAAAAAACAAAGGATGGCGAAATGGAAAAAATGTTTGCCCATAATGCAAAATGGGAAAATATGCGAATTCAATAAGCTGCGAGTTGGGTGGAAAAGGGATGTGGAAATACATGACGACATGGACATGTGGCTGGGCAGGACACCTCCTTCTCCATCTCATTCCTCTCTCCCTACTGACGACCCTTACAAGTCATTTGGCCAATTGCTGTTGACTCTACGCTCGAAGGCGAATTTCCGCTGCGAAATCGAGTTCACATATTTTGCACTCACTTTATGCTGATGACATGCAAGTGGCAAAAATTATTTGCCGTCGACGTGCATTTGGCGACCAACTAGAGCCAAGTCTCCGGGCCAGCCAAGGCGAGTAATGAGCAGCAAACAAGCTGTGGAAATCAGCAATCTATGGTCTAGGCACTGAGGGAAAGTCTTGGTAAAAACAGAGAATTGTAAAAGAATTTTATAACTAGAAATAGTTTTGAGGTGGTCAATAGGACGAAAGTCAATTTCTATTCATCTTTGGAGATATATTTTTGAGCTTCAGATACACCTTTTCTCTCAGTGCATGTGAGAGCGGTAACAGGACTCAAAGCTCAGAGCTAGCAGGAGCGCTAGAAAGAAAAATGCCGCCCGACGGCAGACAGCTCCCATTTCCCATTTCCATTTCTAGCGTCTTCTTTGTCGTGACATACGGAAAATTCCCCACGGAGTCTATCAACAGTTGATAAAGCAAAATGTGCGTAGAGGAGAGCCATGGTTGGGAATGGAAGGACGACTCACTGGATGGCATTCTTTTCCTTTTTGGTATGTACATAAGTTTATTATTTTGAAGGTAATTGGATTTGTGTTGCAGCAGTCAAGAAGTCGCCACAGCAGCATAATAAGAAAATATAGACGAGGACAATGAACTTCATGAGTGGGGCGGCGCGACAATCCCAACATATGCTCAGTGGCCAAGGAATCGCCTCTGGCCAGGGAGTCCATGTCCATGTCCATCCATTGGCCATTGTTTGCACTCGTAATTGTTTTCCTAATGGATAAAGTCTATAAATTTCTGTGCCCGACGCGCGGCCAAATGCGAAATATGTCACGAATGTTAAGCGTTTTATAAACGACTTCGATGTGGCAAGGATGTGGGCAGGAAATGGTAGCAATGGTTGAGAAGAGAACCGGAATGCTGAGGATTTATCGATGTTGGCCACTCAGCGGGTCGGAGAAATGGCAAGCGGATTGCAGTTGTCAAGCGGATGGAGTCCACGATGCTGATGCTGATGCACTTGCCAATGACTCGTAAATTAAGATGTTGATGGAGTCGCTCCTCCTGGAATTGTTTTCCAACTTTCATTGTTATCGAGCGTTGGAATTTGATGAGTTTGGGACTAAGATTGCTTGTCCTGCAAGTGTGGGGTTGGAAAAAAGTGTAAAATTCATCTCTCTTTTTATTCCGATAAAATTAAACAACAAAACTTATTTTTGTTTCTAATCTTTAAGAGCTTTATGTCACTTATTCATAGTTAAGAGCTGCATGATGAATTCCAAGAAGTTGAGTCATGTTCCTTTTAACAATTTGAGCCCTAGATGGGCCATCATCTTTCTTCTGACCGTCAGTACGAACTTCCTTAAGTCGATTGGTGGCCAAAGGGAAGGATAATCCATCACCCCTACTCGAGAAGATCGGGAAAATCCAGAGATACCATTTAACGCCAAACAACTCTCGGAAATTGGCAGCACAACCCAAATCGAAGCCGCGATGGTTCTTACCGCCAACGAAGAAGTGTGGAGTATAACTCGATTCCATGGAAGTGCGATTTCGGGATACATTAAACACACTGACAACGTACATTATGAACGTGAAAATGTTGAAGATCAGGCATACCACGTACTGCAGAAGGTTCCAGGAATGCTCCTGCTTCAGATACCTTACATCGAATCCGCAGATCAAGTACAGATCATAGATCATCACGCAGAACAGAAAGAAGCAATATACTTCGGCGTAGAAAAGGAAGAGTATGAAGTACTTGAAGTTGTGAAAGTGGACGCAGTTCATCACCCAAGGGCAATGGTGATCCATTTTCAGCACACACATGTGGCAGTTACGACAGTGATGGGCCCTATCCGGTTTTATTATCCAGCAAGTCTTGCAATATCTCACCAATCCGTCGCTGTTGCACGTAGCAATGGGCAAGTTCCTTGCAACATTATTAAGTATTCGAGCTTTTGCCTCTGGTCCATCCTCCCGCTTGAGTCTGCTCACATCCTCTTCGGATATTTTCCATTGATCTGGAATTTTGGCTGGCAATTCGCAAATGCATTGAAACCAAGTCCACAGGAACATGAACAATAGTAGGTGGTAACAAAGTAACAAAGTTCCCATGGTCACATAGTCCTGCACCTTTTTTATGCAGATTTCATAGACCAAGACGTGATAGGACCAGACCAACAAGCCCAGGATCAGGATCAATGGAATCCATCTGACTGCGCAACAGGGACTGGTTCTCCTCCCAGAATTCTCTCTGATCAGGCACATTCTGTTAAGGCTCCTCCCTAGGGTGGGCAGGAATAAGTTTGCTGACCCTATCCCAGCGTCATTTTGTTTGGCTGATTTTTTTTTTGAAGGTTTTTAGAAAGCCTTCTTGATTTAGTTAGCCAAGTTTATAGACTTTTTGTTGTTCCTAAATTCTTAAATTATTAATTCACAAATCAAATATTTCTTTTAATTATTTATTTATTCTTCAAATTAACTTCATTTTTAAAACAAAACATTAACAGATTCCTTGGCTAGGTGACATTCGCCAGGGCCTATCACATTAGTCAACAGTTGCAATCCAGGAACTTAGTTGCGGTGACGGAAGACGCGACGGCGGACGGTCTTGTAACGGTAACCGTCCTGGGCGGGCTGCTCGAGCTCCTCGATGATGGGCTCCTCAGCCTGGATTGGGGCAGGAGGGATGTAGGCTGGGGCAGGAGCTGCAGGAGGAATGTAGGTCTCGACGGGAGCAGCCACTGGTGCAGGGGGGATGTAGGTGTTCTTGGGTGCTGGTGGTGGTGGTGGTGGTGGGGGTGGGATGTGGGCCTTGGCAGGAGCAGCCGGAGGAGGAATATAGGTGTTCTTGGGTGCTGGTGGTGGCGGTGGTGGTGGGGGGTGGGATGTAGCTCTTCACCGGTGCCGGAGGAGCAGGCTGGGGATAATCGTAGCCACCGGCGGACAGCTCCGAGACATCAGCATAGGCGCAGGCCAAGAAGGCGACGGCAATGATAAGGAATTTCTAGGATAAGAAAATTGAAGATTTTTGTAAATATTTTTGAATAAGAATATCCTTGATTAGGTGTAATCCTTGGACGTACCATCTTGAGGAGATTGGCTTGTTGCTGCTTGGATCACAAGTTGATTTGTGCTGCTGAACTCGAAGTGAGTCTTCGGTTTTTATAGCTCATTGTTTTTTTGGGGCTGCGGGTCAACCGCAGCTAAATTAATTGCATGATGCCCCCATGATACATGGGGGTCTTAGCCTCACTCAAAGAAGTCGGAAGATAACCGAAACCAAACGCACGCGTTCAACGAGCCTCCAATGCCAAGGCGGTTTGACGGGTTTTCTGGTTTCGTTTTTCTGTTTTTCGGTTTTAGTTTTCAGTTTTCTGTTAGCCAAAATCTTAGTTTCTTGGGTCAACTTTTTTTGTTTTTGGTTTCTTTTTTTTGGATACTGCAAAAGCTTCTTTAATTAGATCAAACAAATCTATTGTTGCATGTTGAAAAATGGTTTCATTTTGTTCACTTTTTGTTTTTATTTTTTGCCAAATTGATGAATGCTCGTGGGTCACACGCTAGATTGGCTTAGGTTTTGCGTTTTTATAATTTATAAAATATTTTTTGTGATTTTTTGTTTTTCAGTTTTCTTGTTTCTGTTTTGAGCTGAGCGAATTATCATTCAGCCGGGCCTATAGCGTCGTCTCAAGTTTATGCCAAAATTAATTTCAATTTGCTTAGATTATGCTGATCTTGACAATGTCTGGCGGCCTGGTGTCTTTTGTCTCTCGGAGCTTAATTAATTACTCTGGTCCGGAGACTGCGGAATGGGTTTGCCTTTTTTTCGAACACCTGGCTTATAAAACAGTTTATTATAGAGTCGCATCAGCTGGCTGGCAAACCGATGAGCATGTTCTGTGGGAGTCTGATGGAGAGATGTGGTTGGGTGTAGATTAATTGCTAGAAAGATCCTTGTTGCTGGAGAAGGTCACAGGGCAAAGTTGTTTGGGAAAGTTTATGATCTTAATATAATTTGTATTAAATCTTCGTTGACACTTTCATTGTCTTGTATGTCTGCCTATACTGGTATAAGCGCTAATGAGCGATTAACTAATGATATTATAACGTTGTTATTTAAAAATATTTAAGATTAAGCTGGGTTCTTATTAGATCCTAAGATTTATGAAGAAACTAAGTATCATCGGTGTTTAGCTGGAATTTTATTCTACAAAAAATTATGTTTTTTAAGAATGAAAATATTTACTAAAAGATAAAGTTTTTACCCCCCCTTTACCCACCAACATAAACATAGTTTTTTTTTTGTTAAATTTTATTTTTTTTTTATTCGAAAAACTTCTCCCTTGCTGAGATTAGCGATGGAGTAGTAGCTCTCTAGTAACGGCGACGGACCACACGGCGGACGGTCTTGTAACGGTAGCCATCAGCGGACACGGGCTCGATCTCCTCCAGGACGGGATGGGGGGCCAGGACGGGAACGGGAGCAGCAACGGGAGCAGGGGCAACCTTGATGGGAGCGGGCACGAAGACTGGAGCGGGAGCTGGGGCTGGGATGCTCACGGGTGCGGGGGAATGTAGGTGTTGACGGGAGCGGGAGCTGGGGCAACCTTGATGGGAGCAGGAGCTGGGATGACAACTGGAACGGGAGCTGGGGCAGGGATGCTGACTGGTGCTGGGGGAATGTAGGTGTTCACTGGAGCTGGAGCGGGAGCAACCTTGATGGGAGCAGGAGCTGGGATGACAACTGGAGCTGGAGCTGGGGCAGGAACCTCAATCTGGATGGGAGCTGGTGCGGGTGCAGGGGGAATGTAGGTGTTTACGGGCACTGGAACTGGAGCTGGGGCTGGGGCCACCTTGATGGGGACTGGAGCTGGGGCAGGGATGCTCACGGGAGCGTAGTTGTAGCCCGACAGGTGGGACACATCGGCGTGGGCAACAGCCAAAAGGGCAACGGCAACAACCAGGAATTTCTAGAAATGAATATTATCAAAATTAGTCAGGATTTAAAATGATTCTTTTTATTTTTAGTCTCTGTACTAACCATTTTGGATATGTGTTACTTGGAACGTTGATGTTTCTAGTATGTCTTGGACTCATCTGCCGGGTGGTATTTATACCAAAACCTGGGCGCGGTGCAGAAGCGAAAGATAAACATTGACACGAGTGAAGAAGTGCGGATATCAGGGTCTCTTAATATGCCAGAAACCAGAATTTTATGAGCCACGCCAATGGTCAACTGTGATACCCTACGCTGACCAGGAAGAGCTTTACAGGCAGTAGAATAAAATCAAATTAAATCTCTAAAAATATTTAGAAGTATCTTCTAGAGTTTTTCGAAAGTTTCTATAATCATTTGACATTATAAAATAATTTTTAAAGATTTATAATTTATAATCCCTAAGGACTTAGATGATTTTGTTGTTTTTCAACTTCTTTATATTCCATTCCCAAATCCAAGTGTATATGATTTAAGATTTAAACTAAACTTAAACAGATACTTAAAGATTGGACAAGCCATTAATTAGTTTTAATAGCTTTTAAGCATTTATTAGTTTTTGAGGAGCAACATGGAGTGCCCCTAGCCGAATGCGGTCTTCGGCACTCGTACTTGCTTGTTTTTGCCATTGTCTTCATTTAAATATCATTTGCATAAAACATTTGAGCTTTAGTGTATCAAATTGAACTACCCAAGAGCCAAAACTAAAGCTGCTCTGAAAACTGGAAACCGAACTCTTTTTGGCTTTTGGCAATAGAGGCCTACGGCCCACAGACTTTATTTTTGGTCTAGAGAGCCGCCAGACGAATGGCGATTTAAAGCGATGGTCATTAATCTGGCTGATTGGCTATGATAGGGTGGCCAAAAAACAAGAGCCTATTGCTTAATTATATATGGGAACCCGAGCAGCAGCTGGGCAAAGGGGGGCGCCTCCAAAAATTAGCCAGCTTGGATCGGGTCAAAAGTTGAACATGACGCCATCTAGACTGTCGCCATGTGTCACTGCCAAGCGGAAAACAAATTAGCCCAGCGAGGAGGAAGTTCTGGGTCCACTTAAAGTGGTCGAAAGGGAGTATTCTCCCCCACACACTCGGACGCGAAAAATGGTGAAGGACACAACAGTTTGGTGTCCGTGGTGGACTCTCTCTTTTTAATTACACAAATTGCTAATGAACAATTTTCCGGTTGGTGCCAAAAATCCGCGGAGACTTGCCGTCGCCGAAGTGATTTAATTTCCGTTGAATTTGTTTTCCTCGAGAGTGTAAAAATAAAATACCAATAACACTAGGATTGTTGGTGTTGTCAAAAAGCTATGCAAACAAGCACTTAACCCCTTTTATTTTGACAATTCCATTATTTTCGCAGCGCCAATAAACCGAAACTGCAAATGTATTTTGAACAAATACACAAACACTCTCTCTAACGGAGCATTGTACATATACATACATAGACATACTCGTACATACATGGCCGCAATGGCATGCTGGTCATGCAACGCTGCGTATACGTAATTTAGTTGTTTGCCCGTTAATAGTTGACATGCAGTACATGCTGGCGTCATCAGAGGGCAAAAGGAAAATATATAGTTCGTTCCCCTTGAAACGGAGAAAAAAGAAAGGCAAAGAAGTAATGGCATTGGAAAATAGTTTCCCCATTCGTATGGGAAAATATTTCCCATTGGCTTGAAATGTGTTTTCAGGCTCTTGGAAATGATTCAGATTTATTTTAATATGTAACCTTTTTCATTTTAGCAGCCTTTCACTCATTTACTGTCTCTTCTAAAATATTATCTAAGGTTCAGTGAACCTCAGACATCCGTCTGACTTTAGTCTTATGAATTATATATATTTCGGTTTATATTTATACGATTATGGAAACACGCGCTTCGATTTTAAGCTAAGATAACGCCTAGATCCCTTTCGCATTCATTCGTTTCTGCTATTTGCATAACTATTTTGCATTATTGGTGCAAAAACTGATTAAATAAATATTTGGAATTGTGAAAAAATTGCAACTACCCCAGTCGTTGACTTTGCTGGACTTCAAGTGGAAATGACAAACTCTTGCCAATCGATTTTCAACATTTTTCGTTCGACGATGGGGCTCCCAGCTCATAAATTCATTCGCCGCGTCGGTATATATCTTTATAAATGTGCATCGATATATGTATGTATATATATAGGTATATATAGCTTGGCCAGATAAATCAACGGGCGACAAATTAATGCTGCAAATGAAGTGCAACTGCTGGCATCGAACGCGCGAGAGGAATCGTGGACCCACCTGTCCAGGATAACGATTATTTTCGCGCCTCTTGCCCGGACTTGCCTTCTCCTGCCCCTCGTCCGATGTCGCCCCAATATGCAGTAACAGTAAAAATAAATGAAGGCAGTCAACGTTTGCATATTTCAGTGGCTACCGCCGCCGTTTCTGCCCCTACTCAATATTCCCAGACCTCCTCCTCCTGGATTTTGTCGTTTTTCCTGTTTTGTTTCTCTCCCCGAAAAAAACCTCCCCAACTGCTGATATAATTACGTTGATACTGTCAATTTCCCAACGATCCATGTCCCATATCCATGTGCACTCCGCACGTTCGATTTCGCACTGTCGCTTTAAAGTCGTAAGCCAGCCGACCAGTGACTGGGATTCCACCGAGTTCGAGGGACTCATCAATTTTTACACCCGATTTATTGAGTGAGCCGTGGATGGAGGGTATATCTCGTAATTGGGGCTATCTTGGATGGTGGGAAAGTCGAGTTTCTTTAAGAAAATGTATAAGTTTTAGATATTTCAAGCAACGATTACGACATTTAGCAGGTAGAATTAGAATAGTCTTTCCCTAGATTACAAATTTAACTCCTATAATAATAATAAGCTGATATCATATAATCATAAAGAAATAATATATTAGTGTAGTGTAATATTTTTCACAAAGAAAAGGATATCATCAAGTCGAATACTGCCTACATTTTGATGACATTTTTGTTTTTTGCCACAGCATTTTCACTTTTTTCCCATTGAAGCATTTTCTTTTGCATACTTTTAGGCCGGCTGACTCGTGATTATTTTGTAATCCACGACGCCTAAAGCATTGATTACACATTTTCCGACCATCTGTCGGACAGGTTGGATTGGCAATGGAAATGGCCAATATGTTGGGGTTATATATTTTTGGGATGGCACTTTTGGGGCCGAAAGTATCGGACAGAGATGGGCTTGCCAATGGGTCGCAGCCATAATGCGCGTTAATCAGGCATCATTAACTGCTAATTAAGTGCGGTTGGAAGTGCAACCAACTGTCAATTGTTGGGTATTCGCCATACCTGGCTCCTTTTTATTTAATCGCCAGTCCTTCGGCATGACCGAGCAGAGTGCAATCAGGCTGAAAATTACCCAATCCAGGCCGAATAGTAGTTACTATTGGAATTTAAACTAATCGCTGGAGGGGATTAGTAAAATTGGGCATGATAGGTAGATGATGAGATGGGGACAGTTTATTACAATGTGAGCAGCTAAACAGTGGCATTATTTAGTTTTAAATATTCTTAATGAGATGGAAATCGAATTATAAGAATGTTAACCTATAAATATCCCAAGAAAAGTTCGAACAAATAAGTCAATGTTGGGAATCTATCCCAAAGTAAGTATAAAAAGGTATAAAAATCAAACTTTTGGCTAAAGAAGTTGATGTAAAATGAAAAAATACTTACCGTAGCCTAAAACAAAAACATAAACAAATATTTAATTTGCCCACCACACAAACTAATCACCGCTGATTGCAGTGCGGTCTGCCCGAATCGTCTCTAAATTGTAATTGCCTGTCAAATGATTTTAGTATTACCCATTCCCCTCTACCTCATAAAAAGGATCCTCTATGCCGCACAAAGCAAAAATGTGTTTTAATTCATTTAATTGAGCTGCCAATATTTGACCAGAATGCAATTAACGAAATAAGCCAGGACAATCAATCTATTGTGGTTTGGGCCAAAAAGAGGAAGGGAAAGGGGCGGTGGCGCATAAAAAAAAATGATTTTGTTTTAATTACGCAATTAATTTTAGTAGCTTTGCTGTTTGTTTTTGTGCTTTTTAATTAGTATGCGCAGTGGCAAGTGTAATATGTGGCTCTGCGGTTGTCCCGGAATGCTGCCTAGGAGGTTGGGTTTTGGGTTCTTCCAAAGTCTCAGCCACAGCCAGACATTTCCCTAATCAAATTGCTAAGGGAAGATAGCTCCGTAGACATTTGTCGCTGCATTTTCTTGTTAATTTTCCTCAACGTCTATAGTCTATAGTCTATGCTCTGTCGATGTCCTTGTTCTTGTGCTTAGCTCGCCTTCGATTTCATCCTGCCACTTGTTAGCAGCCACAAGTGGTCAGTGGTCGGTCTGATGAGGCCAATCCACTCGGTTCCGTCTTCGTTTCGATCTGCAGTTCCAGCTTCATCGATTTCGTGTGGGTGCACCGACAGAAATATTAACTAAATTAGGGATAAGTCATATTAAGTTACAGGTTACTCACCTAATGAGCTTAGCTTAAAAGGCATTACTTAAGTTGATTAAATTTGAAAGTTGGAGATGTGTTTTGGAGGAGGTGGATTTGGTTAATACATCCAAAAGTTAAGTTAATTTTTATTTCCCCGATGCCTAATATATTTATTTAATTCTCTAAGTTATTGGAAATAAATTCTTTGATTTCTAAGTGCATTTGAAAAGTTTTGAATCTAACGAGAAAAAATTTCCACATCATCAAAGCTCATTCCAGGCCATAAATTTCGTGATAAATGTGGAGTGGCAAGGACTGGAGTCCGCCATCGAATCGAATCCTTTGGGAGTGTTCCGCAACTTGCTTGCAACTCCTTATTATCCTCCGACTACACCCCTTTTCCCCAGCACTATCTGTCCGATGGCAAGTTGATTCCACCATCGTCTCGCCATCTCTCTTTGGGTTTCATAAATTTCCCACTCAAATGGCCAGAGAGAAAACTTAAGAGTTGCCCCACCCTCTGGCTTCCCGTGTGATTTGCTATGATTGGAAAACAATTTGAAGACTTTTCTTTTTGTTTAACAAATTGAAGGCGGAAATTTTTTATTACGAATCCCCGTGGGAATTCGTTAGGAAACTGTTTTTCGTTGGGCTTTGGTAAGTTTAGAAGCGGTGACGGTAGACGCGACGACGGATGGTCTTGTAGCGGTATCCATCATTGGAAGCGGGCTCGATCTCCTCCAGAACCTGGGTGTTGGTTGGCTGGTAGACGGGAGCGGGAGCTGGAGCTGGGTGGTAAACTGGGGCTGGAGCCGGAATGCTGATGGGAGCAGGAGCGGGCTGGTAAACTGGAGCTGGAGCTGGGGCAGGGTGGTAAACTGGAGCTGGAGCTGGGATGCTGATTGGTGCAGGTGGGACATAGGTCCTCACGGGAGCTGGGGCTGGGATCACAACTGGAGCTGGAGCAGGGATGACAACTGGAGCTGGAGCAGGGATCACAACTGGAGCTGGTGCAGGAGCTGGGATCACGACGGGAGCAGGAGCTGGCTGGTAAACGGGAGCTGGAGCCGGGATGCTCACTGGGATGGGAGCAGGGGCTGGCTGGTAGACCGGAGCTGGTGCTGGTGCAGGAGGAATGTAGGTGTTGACGGGGGCTGGGGCAGGGATCTCAATTGGAGCTGGGATGCTGATGGGAGCAGGAGCTGGGGCAGGCTGGTAGACTGGAGCAGGGGCAGGGATACGGATGGGAGCTGGAGCTGGCGCTGGGTGGTAGACCGGAGCTGGAGCTGGGATGCTGATTGGTGCAGGTGGGACATAGGTCCTCACGGGAGCTGGAGCTGGGATCACAACTGGAGCTGGGGCTGGGATCACAACTGGAGCTGGGGCAGGAGCTGGGATCACAACTGGAGCAGGAGCAGGCTGGTAGACCGGAGCCGGAGCTGGCTGGTAGACAGGAGCCGGAGCAGGCTGGTAGACCGGAGCCGGAGCCGGGGGAGAGTAGTCGTATCCCAAGTGGGAGACATCGCCATAGGCGCAGGCCAGAACGGCAAAGGCAATAACCAGGAATTTCTGAAAAGCCAAACGAAAGGAAAGCCGTTAGTAAAATATAATCCGTGATCCTCCGCCTAGTGGGCTAGCTCACCATGATGACAGCTGCGATCTGTTACTCCAAGAGCGTTTGAGTAGCTTCTGTCTGAAGAGGCTCAACGGCAAACTATTTATACGAGAGACCGAGCCCAAAATTCTGCAAGCCAAAAACTTGAACTGTACCTCTGGACCGACCGCAGATCATCATCGTCAGCATCAGCGGCGGTGGCGGCTCATCTGAATATTCAGCGCAGATGAGATATTTTTCGTTTTCTTTACTGGTTTTGTTTTTGGGGGTCGTTAGAATGAAGTAGCAGCAGACGCATTCGATGGGTCCGGACTTAATTGGCTTATTGGAGTTAAGGAATGAAGATTAACACGCTGATAGATAGATGGATTATGGCCATAAGCCGGGCTAGTTGGCAACACCCAAAGTGACTTTTAGATGACATTAATCTGCTGCAGACTGCTAACGGCATATTTTATGGGCTCATCGGAGGTTTTATTGGGCAGTTGGATTTATAGATTATTCGTATTTTTGGCACATGCGTCAGGTGTAGCCGGAAATTTGCAATATTTGGTTTTAAGGCGAATGCAGACGCTGAAACTGGTTGGGTTTTTACGACTAGTTCGACAAAGGTTAGAAGCTATTGTTCTGGACTTAGAGAATCAGAAATTATTCATCTGTTTTTTGACGATGTTCTTGCAGACCTCTTAATGGAATCTTTTGTCTAGAATTAGAGGCGCCCACTATCCATAACGGATTTAGAGAAGATTATGCTAATACTGTGCTGTGTATGTTTTTACAAAACAAACAGATTTGTCTGTTAGACCTATAATTTTGTTATCTAATGAACCCTTGGTGGTCAATTAATTTCCCTAAACCAGTTGCCCACGATTATGGTCGTAAAAATAAGTCTAGCCTAAAATTATGAACTTAACTAGCTGATTTCAAGGTTACCTCCATTTATGGTTCAACGTTTCATAGGAAAAAGATTCAAAGAGTTTATAATTATATATATGATCCACACCTCAGATAATTGCTTGGACCTTAGCCATATACCATTTCATTTTCATAATTATGAATGCTTCATTGCTCTCTGAGTTGGCTTAAATTATTTCCTCTTCATCTTGATTAAATGTTTTGATATTCCTCGCCTCTTGCTTACCTATTTCTTTAATTTGTCTCCCTAGCAAATTGCAAACTAGTTAATGATTTAGTTTTTAAGTCCATATACTGTCCGTCATCTGGTGTTTGTTTTGGCAGAAGGCAGATTTGTTCGGGGTGTTGCTTGAACTTCAAGTGCAAACTCGTTAATCACATCATTCATGGCCCGCATCTAGTCAAACATTTAAAAACTTGTTGTTAATTTTCATAGTTTAGTTTGGACTGCCAGGCATCCAAATCTTTTTTTATTTCTGCATTTGTTTAGATTTCATGTATGTAAATGCCGATCGTGTTAGACATGCCAGATAGCCAGCTTGGTGTTGGTTTTTGGCTAACATTTGCATGGCAAATGGCTTCCGTTATTGTTTTTACTTGGCCCGGTTTTATGGTTGTGCATAGCAGCAGATGTCGTTATAGGCGAATCCCAATTAAACCATTGTTTATTCACTCAGATGTTCATCCAAAATCGTTTGATAGCTTAACCAAAAGCCATCATAACTGGTTTCGATATACAAAACATTTCCTTGGTCTGGCTTAGACTATTTTCTGGCATTTTGTAAACTGAAATTTTCGGGGATTTCTCAGTTTTTGGTTTCCCGTAATTAAGATAGACTTGTTAAGTAGCCATGTAAAGGTCGATCATATGATTATTATTAATACAATTTACATAACTGAATACTAGCCGGTTTTTTCTTCTTCTCAGATACGCCAGTGGCAGTCTTTGTGTTAATAAGATTTACCGCGTTCTGCCCACAAATAACCTTTGGTTGTCGGAAGAAGAAAATCTCCTTAATAAATTGCTGTTCTTCTTGAGGCTTGAAAACGTCAATATGAAATATTATATGGGAGCATCCATTAGTTTGCTGTGAAGATCTTGTTGGAGTTTGCATAAATTTGAATGATATTAGGTCAATTCGCTCCCACAATTCAATGGTCACTATAACCGGTTAGCCGCTAATTTTGTTTTGCCCTTTTTCTGATAAGCTTTTGAATTCATAATTTTGTGAATTAAACATGCCGATTCGTTAGTAAGCTTCACAAGTTCATTAATTAATATCTATTATGTATTAGCTATTGGAAACATGGATGTGTTTCAAAGACACTCGTTTACAGACGTAAAGACGTAAGTTCTACCTACGTAAGAACTTAGAAGTACGTGAATTGCTACGTCATAACTAAAGCTATGAAAAACGCAGATGGAAAGGGAATATTTTAGATAATACTGCTATAACTATATTGCTATTACTATATATTTATATTACTGAATCAAATGATTATATTTCGTGTGTTTCTTAAACTCTAAAAGCTGCCCTCGCTTTGTGATTGTGTTAAGTGCTTAATCAAACTAGTTATATTTTAGCATCTAATTTTATATTCATTCAGTGAATGGCAATATAGAATGTAGATCCCATAAAACACTCACATTTAGTTTTGTTTTAAGTACTGGCATATTAATTTCGGTTGCCTTAACAAACCACAAAAAACTAAAAATAAAATAAAAGCTGCCAAAGAAAACAGAAGAAAGTGGAGAGAGGGTGATGGAAAGGGCAATGGGGTCCGAGTGGGTGATAAAAAAAAAAAAGGAGGAGTGAAGTTACGAGCAGTGCACAAAAGGCAACAACGGAAATGAAATCACGTACCAGGGGCGTTGTCATTCACAATGAGTGTGTGTGTGAGAGAGAGTGTGTGTCTTGGTGTTCAGTTCGTTGTTGTTCGCGTTGTTGTCATAGATGTGGTTGTTGTTGTTATTGCTGTTGAAGTTGTCAGCAGTCGCAGCGACGACAGAAGCTGCCATCTAAATATATATGTGTGCAGTCGAAAAATAAATAGTTTTTTCATATACAAAATATCTTAAATATTATCGATTTATTAGAAGGCCTAGAAGTATGCTATAATTTATATGGAACCTCCGTGATATTTTACTCTTACAGGTCTTGAATTTGTTTTAATAATTTAAAACGTACTTACAGATGCATTTTATTTACATGTTCTATTTTAAGTATTTAGATATAAATATCTTTTCCTTTTGCCTCTCAAAATCTCTGTCTTGCAAGCTTAACCCCCTTACTTTACACCCCAAACTTTTTGCTTTATTTTCTCACAGTGAACTTTCTTGTTTGTGTGCGAGAACGTCTAATGTCCAATTTCAATTTGGACTGGCTGGCTGACAGAGCTTGTCGCCGACCACCGCAAATGGCAAACAATGTATAGAAGGTGCCCCACCACCAAGCAATCCAACACTCCCCCTTTCACATACGAGGTGTGTTCAAAAAGTAAGGTGACTCTTCAAATTTCGCGAATTTCAAATTTTTCGATTATCGAAACCTTTTAGAAGTTATACGAGGTGTGTTCAAAAAGTAAGGTGACTTTTCAAATTTCAAATTTTTCAAATTTTTCGATTATCTTCAGTTTTGGGAACAAGAAAAAGTCACATGGGGCCAAATCCGGTGAATATGGTGGCTGAGGCATTATTGTGGTGTTGTTTTTGGCCAAAAAATCCAAATCCTTTGATCCATATTTTTCGATAGCAAAAAATCGCCGAGCTCGCAAAATAACTTGTAACTTTACGCCTCTCACAACCAAACAAAAGAGGATGTTCCATTGAAACTTGGTACAGATGTTAGGGAAGAGTGTACCAATATAACAAAACAAAAAAATCGATAATCGAAAAATTTGAAATTCGCGAAATTTGAAGAGTCACCTTACTTTTTGAACACACCTCGTATCTACAGGGTGCGAGAATAGAAGTCAGAGAGGTGAAGTTGGGAGCTAAGTTTATTTACTTTTAACACGAAATAATAAAGTTTACAAAAAGGAAACGTGCGCCGTGTGCTTTGCTGCACTTCTTAGCGTTATATCGTTATGCTCGTGCTCACCGTTCGAGGTGGTGACTGTACCTTTGCCTTTGACAAAAGCCATTTTCAGGGATTTTTAAGCGTACAAAGCGAAATTTTTAACTTTGAAAGAGAGAGAGAGTTGGGACAGAGAAAGTTGTTAATAGGTATACGAAAATGGAGTGTCCTATAAAAGTGAGTTTTATTATATAAAATAAAGAAGATTCATATAAAAATCATAGATTCTTAAGAGAAAGACTCTCAGGAGCTGTTAAAAAGGTGAGAGTTCTCTGTCAAAATAATTATTTGGGAGGTTCTAAGCTTATATTTTAATATTTAAATTTTAAAAGCCAAGGTTCTTTAACATATTTTAGAGGCAGTCAGCTTTTATAATGCCAAGCCAACTCCTGTTAATCCCGCCTTACCCTTATCCCCCATTTATCATCCTCCAGAAAGGCCACCTCTTTTTTTCCCAGAACCCCCTCCAAAGAAAAGGGAAAATTTTAACCAGCGCATTGCAGTGAAGGAAACTTTGTGCCCGAGTAGCAAAGACGAAAAAAAAGGTAGAAAAATTAGCGACATGCTGTGTGACGTGACTCGACTGCATTACGTAGCCGACCCGAAAGCCCGGACTTCTTGTCCTGCCAGATGCCTTTGACAACAAGGGGCTTGGCCACGCCCGGCCTAACGACACAACTAAATTATTTAAAAACTCTCTAAGAACAAAGAGGCTTTGTGCAATTAAATGCGTTCGCCAAGCTCCACGCACACATGTGACAACTTGTTCGCCGTCTCCGGACGAGCATCCCTTTTCCCTCAGTAATGTTAATAATTACACCGCAGTTTGGAGTCCACATGGACACATGTGTTAGTGGTGATGGCGGGTTACTTACTTGGATGGCATGGAATGCCCGGTGCTTGCGTGTGCGGCTAATTACAATAAATTTGCCCAATTATTGTCTGGCATTGTTTTGGCCCCTTACGGCGGCTGTAAACTCTCTCAAGTAGCTCACAAAGACCCGGACCAAGTTTCGTTGCCATCGATACGTGTTTTCTCTCTGTTTTTTTTTTTGGTGGGGAACTGAGTTTCCGTATCGAAGGAGCACA